CCTTGAAATTTACGGGAGTTTCCGAAAATTAGGGGTACCTTTAAAGGGATCCTTTAAGGGTTCTTTTAAGGGATCTATGAGGGTTCTATAAAGGGTTTAGGGTTTAGAGTTTCCGAAAATAAAGGACCCTAATCGAGTACCCTAAATAATACCAGGGTTCCTTTAAAAGGGTTCCTCTAAAGGGGTACTATAAGGGTTCTATAATCTGAGATGCGAGTTTCCGAAAATTAGGGGACCCTACGTAATATCGCACCCGAAATAATAGGATCCTTATGATAAGGGCCCCCAAATAAGGTATCCCTAGTTTTCGGAAACTCCCAGTACATGTTCGAAAGACACGCCGTAGAAGTATCTTTGAAGCCCAAGCAGTGATACCGCAACGAATGCTCTGGGCTAAGTCTGCGGCGGTGATGTGCACCCCCAGCTTGCTCAGGCGGTTCTGCACAGCAGAATGTGCAAACTCGACGTAGACAGCAGAAGTGCGTCGCCAGTAGTAACAGTAGCGATTGTGATTTTGCATGGCTTACCGGCTCGACAATATTCCAAATCGCAGCTCAAGTTGGGCGAATTCAGCAGATCAGTCTACTCCGGGGCTAACCGCAGGAAGCATGCATGAAGCGGGCGCACCGCCAACTCCCAAATGGGTTCAATCTGTTGGCCACCCCCGATTGGCCTCTCCTGCCAACAGGAAGCAGTGACGATGGAGCAATGGCATGTGGCTCTTGCCCGTGATGCTCAGCTCTGAGAGCTTAGGGCTTACAGCGGTCCCTGCCATCCCATACGAGGCTGAGGGCAATGCCTCAAGCATCTATCCAAGCCTCGAGGTCTTTCACAAGCTTCTTGAGGAGTGCTTCACCTGAGGCGATGCGCGTCAGGGCAGAATACTTCCCTTCGCACAATCCGCATGGGCCGTGGCTCAGGGCGAAAGCGGAGTGGCCCAGAGGATAGGCCTCTGCAAGCAAAGCGAGGCTCGACTTAATATGGGGGTTTCCGAAAATAGGGGACCCTAACGTTGTACCCTGAATAGTAGGGTCCTTATTGTAAGGACCCCTAATTTTCGGAAACTCCCAGATTGGCAGCACTCAGCACTTGTCCGCTGAGTGTGGCGCCGGTTCCTGCTGGTAGTGGTGGACGATGGACACTGAGCAGAGCGCAGGGCATCGCGGCTTTTGTGGCAATCCAGCTGCCTACGTCATGTAAACATATGGGTGGTTGTCAATATTAGGGTCCCTTTTTGGGTCCTTGAAAAATTACGGCACCTAATATTTAGGGTACCCAAAAAGGGTCCCTGATCTTGACAACCACCCATATACAATCTGCTTTTGCAAAAATGAAGGCTACCAGTTGCTTCAGCATTGACAGGCATCGAGGGCAGCTCTGAGAAAAGCACTTTGGTCGTCCGTGAGCCCATGGCCCATATACCAGGGTTCCTGTCGAAGACTGCCAAAGGCAGAAACATCATTGAAACGTCAGTCTATCATCAATACTTCTGCGGCGGTTGCGACTACAGCAGTCTTGTCGCAAGCTTCTGCTCGCACCAAGCATGAAACCAAGTATCCGTGCAATCCACCAAACACACGCCTTTGTGTTCAGCAGTCACCCTCGTGACACTTCTTACAAGTAATATAGGGCCCTGAATAAATAAAATAGGGTTTTGGGGCCCCTTCGACTATGACTAGAATAAGGAACCCCCAAAATAGTATAGGTAACTACTAAGACCCCCTATATTGCGTCAGGCTTCTGCTGATTTTGGAGGCTCTCGGGGAAGTGCCTTTGCATCGTAGCTTGCCAGAATCGCTTCCAGCCTGCCTGGATCGACCTCGGCGTGGCGACGCAGAGGTATCTTGCAGCCCAAAAACACAGAGATTCCAAATATCCCTTAATTGAGGAATATACCTTATAAGTTAAAATAGGATCCCCAATATGATTTAGAGTGTATTGCTTAGTAAAAGGAGATTGGAGTCTCTGGGAACACCACTGCACATGGCTACCTGCTCCTGCGCCTAAAAGAGCAGAGACCCCATGGGTGCTGCAGCTGAGGGGCCATTGTCGCCGGCTCGGCAAACACAGTCCAGCGCTGACCTTCAATGCGAGCAGCTAGGGGGGCGATGATGCCCAAAACCAAACTCTGAGTCAACTTAACCGCTCTTGTAATATGTCCCACTTTAAGGCAAGTTGAAGCATCAAGCGCCTTCATCAAGTTGAGAGGACAATCATGGTCGTCAGTTCTCGAACGAAGCCCAGCCCAATGAGATGTAGCTGGGTGTCGCGCTTCCACCGGCTTGCCTTTTTCCTGCCAACGGGGGTGATCGTTGCAGTTCTGCCAAGCTTAGCTCGGATAGGATGGATGCACACTTGCAAATACGGCATTTGCGGGCTTGACCCCGCTTGCTTCATCCTGTCTGTCCGCCTAGTCTTTAACATCTTCGAACTGCGACCTCCCCACCGGACCGATGCCTTACATCTCTGAAGCCCCCCGCCAGGGTCTTGGTACAAGCTGTGGGGTCCACTGTCCGCAGGGCTAACTACGACAAGCCTACATTCGACTAGATTTGCTGCAAAGGTCCTCGTCCACTCCCCTTCCGCTTCTGCTCCGACTGCCAGATCCAGGGCCTCCGGATCCAGGGCTCTAGCCTTAATTCCTTCTGATTTTTTTGTCGAACGCTCTTTTCTGCCTGCCTGTTCGGGGTTTCAGGTGTAGGGTTTGTGGACAAGGGCATAAAGGGTGGTGTAGTTTGTGGACGACTTGAGTCTGAAGGATCCTTTGTCGGGACCTTGGTAGAAACTGTGGCGGCTTCCTAATGAGACTCGGCACATGGACAGAGTTCGCAGCAATACATCCAAGAACTTGCTCTGGTACGTATGCTGCTGCCCTAGTCCTAAACCCCAAACTTCGAAACTTCTAGATGTTAGATTCTGTTAGATCATCTAGTCCTAAACCCCAAACTTCGAAACTTCTAGAAGTTAGATCATCTAACCCCGGCAAGCCGCAGAGCAGGTCTGTGCTGGGTGCCCTGCAGGAAGCTCCAGAGGCCCTGATGTCTGAACTCCTTCTCGGCCTCTACCATGCTGACCTCAAGACAAACTCCATGGCTCTCCACTTGGGGGGTCGGGGGACTTAGTAACTGGTTATTTTGGGGACTTATAAGTACCACAACCCCAATTAGGGTCCCTTTTAGGGTACTTATAAGTCTACTTACTAACTACTTACTAAGTCCCCCGACCCCCCAAGCAGTGTTCTCAACTGCTTTCCCTGGACCCATTCATGCTTGCGTCATGGGGCCAAAAAAGGCCCTACATCATCGTTTTCTTTCCTTCTTGTGGCGGGGAGTGTTTGTCATATGTATATATATATATATATATAATTTACGTGCATATACACTTAATTAATTGTATATATATATATATATATATACATACACACATACCCAGACGAATACACAGACACCACAACGAACTCTCAGATCAGATCTCCGACGCCCAAGGAGGCTGAAAAAGACACCCCCACACCCCGAAGCATCGGAACCCAGGCGGGTATGAAAGCCAAAACCCAACCCTGAACCCCTTATAGAACCCTTAGAGATCCCTTTAAGGAGCCCTTATAAAGATCCCTTGTAAGGTACCCTAAGCCAAAACCCAACAACAGCCCCAAGGCTTCAAAGCCCCAGGCCCCAACTCAAGGCAGCGCATGCCGCACCCTTGGAAGACTCAGGCAACCCCGAAGCAAAAGCTGGCATGGTCCGGGATTTCAGCGACGGAGCTGTGGGGCCAACCCGCCTCAACTACCTCGGATTATATTGTACTAGTTATACGGTATTATATGGTATTATATGGTAGTAAAGTATAGTATAGCGCTTCGGGCTCAGGAGTGTAGGGATCGAAGTACAAACTCCGCTTGAGCTCTACGGCTGGGCTTCGGGTTCGCAGCTTTGGCTTCAGGGTTTGGTCGGAGGGATCCTGACGACGCGCCCTTCGCCAAGGGGATGTTGCAGAGGTTCAGGCAAGTATTTAGAACACGGTGACATAGTATACAATGCGAGTCGGAAGCTAGATTTGGGCTTTCGGGCCACGACTTTGAAGTTTGGTTGTTTCAGCGATGCCCGACGGCAAATTACCGTTCCTGGGACCCGTGACTCCAGAATAGGATCGGAATCGTCCCCAGCCAAAGAATGTAGGGGCCTTAATGTTTAGCATGGGGTTTTGGGGGTTCCTTATTGCATTTACAGCATAAGTATACGCCCAAGCCCTATTCTCCTCATACAAGATTATCTTGAGCGTGTCTACGGAAAGCCGCCAAGAGATGAAACATGAGTTCCGGGGTCCTGAACACTGACATTTGGTTAGTAGGGGATGGAAGAATGGTAGTAGTAGTAGTAGTAGTAGTAGTAGTAGTAGTAGTAGTAGTAGTAGCAGTAGTAGTAGTAGTAGTAGTAGTAGTAGTAGTAGTAGTAGTAGTAGTAGTAGTGGTAGTAGTAGTAGTAGTAGTAGTAATAATTGTACCCCATTCCTCCATTCCCTACTAACCCAAGGTAAGAACATCCCTCATCGAAGATCGACTCCGGGCTCCGCGCTGCCGCCGTCAGCTCGTCTAGGGCTCTCTTCTGATGTGGAAGATCCTGGCTTCGCACCTCGGTAGCATATTATAATTTGTTGTAGTATAATATAGTATATTGTAGCATAGCATAGTATATTGTAGCATTCTATAGCACATTATAGTATATTGTAGTATTATATAGTATAGTATGTTACAGTACAGTATGGCATACTATAGCCCCTCGCACCGCAACATGGAAAGATGTTTTTCATGGCTCCGCGAGTATGCCGAAACTCGTCTCTGCTCACGGGATTCCCTATCTCTCCAGAACATGCAGAACTCTTTTCACTTCGACCGCCTTCAAATGCGCGCTCAAACGTGGTTATGCCATATGCCGACTCCTCGTGGAACAGCAGGTGGCACCTGCGAGACTTCGACAAGACATGCACATGCAAAGCCCCCGGCTTCATTCCTTCTTGGAAGCAAACTGAAACCGCCGCTGCCCTGCATCACGCTTTGGCAGAGGTTCGGGGATATTAAGGGCCACAACGATGACGGCAGAATTATCGGCCGCTGTTACATTTGCTGCTGCTTGCAAAACGGCTTTTGCAGCAGCTTCCGGGGATCGTGTCTCCCGCAGCACTTTGCGGGCTGTGATGATGGCTGTCTGGTCCCGCAGACCATCCCAAATACCATCAGTGGCAAGAAGTAAGAACTCCGTTGTGTCTTTGACACTTACGAAGTAGACTTCCGGAGTGCAGATTATCCCTGGAACTTTGTTCCCAGTCTCGCCGACAACATCTCCAAAAGCGCGAGAAACTTGCACTTTACCATCCACATATCCGCCCTCCACGCTGACCCCCATCTCCTTCAACCGTTGCTTTTCCAGCTTGTTTTTTTCCGGGGCGTGGTCTGCTGTCGTCGTCGTCACCTTGCCATCTTCACATAGAACTGCTCGACAGTCCCCCACGTTCAGAATGACGAGCTCGTCCGCACGAAGGAGAGCCATGCATGCCACCGTTCCGGAAGATGTGCCGGATGCAAGCACCTTGGCTTCATCTGCAAGTTTCTTCTGCATCAACTCATCCACTGCCATGAACGCCCTCGTGGCAGCTTCCTCCTTGCCAGATGCTTTCTCGTCCTTCAGATGTTCTTCAAGCTGAGTTGGCAGATACTGTTGTGCTAGTACAGTTGCCGTTTCGCCTCCATGGCCGTCGAAGACGGCGAAGCAGGCATGGCCTTCGACGTTGTCGTGGATGGATACGGCATCCTCCATTCGAAGTCGGTCGTTCTTGGCGAGAGCATACCCGTATTGCGGGTTGCCTCCTGAAGCATAAGGGGGCAGCAAGGACCTGTCTTTGTCCCTCAAGGCACAACATGGCAGCGGCAAGATGTTGCCCATGGCTACTCGGGTATGTCGTCTTGACAGCTGATTAGAGTATGCGTTCGAAGCTGTAAAGCTGCGTCCACATCAACATGTGCGCAAAGGTCGTGTCACAGAACCACCGGAGAGCCCTCTTTGTGCGCGACAAAAAATGGGGATTTTTGACTCTTAAGGTGCCGACGTGCAGACTGATCTCCAGTGGTACCCTGCTGGCAACCGGCAGCGGAAGCAGCAGCCTGACATATGGGTGGATATCAAAATTAGGGTCCCTTTTTGGATGCCCTAAATATTAGGTGCCGTATCATATTAAGGACCCAAGAAGGGACCATGATTTTGACAACCACTCATATAGGTCGAAACGACAGGCTAGTTGCAATGAAAGCGTGAAGCTCAAAGGTCACACTTAAGCAGCCAGGGAGCAGCAAGGAAACAGCAGTCCGATGGCAGCTGCTATGCGCAACCTGAGCGTCGGCATATCATGGACACAGCTGTGCTGGAGTCATAACAATGACCATTGCAGCCATCATGCTCAACGCAAGCAACATCAGTATCAGAATCAGCACCATCACCATCGCGACGATCGGTCGCTGAGTGAACGTTTGGAAGATTCGCAAAGGTTTAGATCTACATAGTATAGCAGAGTGTAACCTGAACTCAGCGAGCCCTACGGAGAGTTACGGAGCTGCGTGGTCTGTGACCGCATGGGAGTTTCCGAAATTGGGGACCTTATATAGCACCTTAAATAGTAGGATCCGTATCATAAGGAACCCAAAATAAAGTACCCCTTACGTTCAGAAGCTCCCGCATTGGCTACCCTTCTTGCTGATGTACGAGTCTCCACGGCAACTGTGATCCCAAGAGCCGTGGCAGGGACAGGTTGAGGCCAAAGTCACTTTTCACCTGCCTGCACTAGGACCTCAAAGCCCAGGAAAGCTTCCGGTTCTTGGGATCAGGAACCCCCTAAACCCTAAACCTCAAGCACATGCCCGGCTTTTCTTCGCAGCCTGCACCGCGGTCTCTATTTGCTGGATCAGGCGTCCCGATTGTTGGAGCCGCTGGAGCTCTTCACATCCACCTCGGGTTCGGGGTTTAGGGTTTAGGGGTTTAGGGTTTCGGGTAGGGTCTTCATCAGGATGTGTGTCCACAAGCCGCCTACCTCAACCTACCAGAACCGGAACCTGCTTCTGTCATCGAAAAATCCTAATGCCATATCCCCATACCTTAAAACAGCATAAAATCCCAAGCCTCAGACGTCCCCAAACCGCAAAAATCCCCGAGCTCTACATTCACCAGGTCGGAGGCTAAGGCGAAGCCGCCAAGCCCTAAACCCTAAACCCTCCTTAGTCGGCCTAAGCGGATTATGGGCTCTCGGATTCCCCTAAGGCTTCCCCCAAGGCCCGGCTTGAGGGATTGGTCATGGGTCTGGGCTCGGGCTCCAGATTCTAGGTTTGGGGAAGTTGACTTCGAAGGCTGCGAGTAAGTCTTTCAGTAGCCCTCAACAGAAACCCACTTGCCCACCCTAACTCGTGAACTTCAAGCGGCGTCGTTTACACCAACAAGAATATTGTGTTTCTATATGGAATGTACCAGGAATGTGTATGTGTATTATATATATATATAAATATGTATATATATATATATATATACATATGGCGCCTAAAGGAAGCCAAAGGCACCAAGAAAGGTGCCACCGACGAAGATCTGCGGGACCTCGGACGCTTGTCAGCTCTGCCACCACTAATAGCTGACTACTACTACCACTACTACTACTACTACTACTACTACTACTACTACTACTACTACTACTACTACTACTACTACTACTACTCCTACTGCTATTAATACTAATACTAATTACCAATACAAATAGTATTAATAGCAACTACTACTATTACTGCCTCTGGTACTACAGCCGTTGCTAGCCAAGCTTGACCCTTCGGCCGTTGGCCTCGCAGGTGTAATGAACTGCTTGCTTTCCGGGTGCGGTGTCCATGCCGGTCATCTTGCTGAGCTCATGCAAGACCTCGAAGGGGCGGTCTAAGAATTGGTGAGCTTGTGAAGGTCACCATACATTGGTCACATAAGGGCATCAAGGCTCCAGAGCCTAGGTTCTGAAGGTGAATTGTGTGCTCAGAAAAAGGACAAGATTTTTTGAGCAGCTTGCTTTGTCAAGTAATTACATGTGTTTACGCAGTTCATAGAGTGAAGGGGTCGCAAGAGTTATCTCCAAACGCATCCACATGTCGACCGCTACTACATTCGTGCGACTTCCAGGCCATCTGCTCAAGAATGCAAGGGGTCAGGTCCATTTTCTAGTTTCCGCAATGCAGCACCGTCGTTCTTCTTCGCTTGCCGTTGTTGTCATGCAGAGGCAGCCTTTCCGCTGAGTGCTGGGCAACGAAGCCAAAGCCTGCACGAAATAAATCTGATGCTTCTGATTCTGTATGTTTTGGGTCGCTTCATGCCGCTTCTTCCGGCAGACGTGTCTGTCAAGTTGTTGTGGTATCTCATAGTATGTTCTATTATATGATAGTATGTTAAAGTAAATCATACAGTATAATGAGACATCTCAAAATCATCTTGCTCGCCGGCCTTCCTTGGTAGTGGACATTCGGCCGCTGCCCTTGTCCTCCCACATGTCCTCCTGCGCAGGCACGACCAACTGCTACCATCTGCTACCTATGAGACCCATGCCAGAACCAGGGCAGGCTCCTTGCTGCAACAGCTAGCTCGCGTCACGCGCACGTGCCAGGTGCAGGTCGCTGTTTGTCCGCATGCGCGCGCGCAGCTGTTCTTCTTTGGCGCGCTCGCCGGGCTGAACCAGTGGAGTTTCCGCCAGATGTCATTGACATGTGGCTGGGAAGCTCTCGTACATGACTACCACGTCCCCTTAAAATGTGCCAGCGCTGGCTGAAGGAAGGGGAGTCAAGGAAAGACACCATTAAAACTTGAAGTCCTACTAAACAGTTCCGTTCACGACTGCCTGCGCATCTACAGCTTGAAAGGCTGGTGCAGCCATGCAAAGGGTTGATTTGGAATCAGTTCTGGCTGATTCCACGGTGGAGCCGGAGGCGACATCTGTACCGAGATTCCTGAGCTCATGATGTGCCATGCGAGTTTCTTCAGGCAATGATTTTCCTGCATGCATACCTGTTGTTCCGCGCCAGCTCGCATGAACTGACATTCGAACGGTAATTCTGGCACGAAACACCTGCCTGCGGCATTTGTGGGGCTCTCAAAGGACAATATTGCTTGGAGGTTCATGAGTAGATATAGGTGGGGCTATTATCTATAAGTAGGGCAACCATTATTCCCACCCATACTAGGGGACTTATAACTCCACTTATAACTACCCATGAACCTCCAAGTATGGCAGGCCCTTCTAGTCGAAGGGGCACGAAGCTTGCTGAAATCCAATCCCTACCTCTGCCATGTACTACAATTGCGACAGGTTCTTTGATGTTATGTAGGGGCCTTGATAATTACAATAGGGTTTTGCGTCCCATTATACTATATTCATAACCAAGGAACCCCCAAAACAGTACAGGTTTTTTTTAAAGGCCCCTGTACTACATCCTTATAATAGCCCTTATAGTAGCCCTTATAGACCCCTTTAAAGGAAGCCTTGGGAGGGGTAGAGATGCTTGGTCCCAGCGGCGCCGCGACAAGCTCCATGATGCACCCGCCTCCGAAGGAAGGGCCACCTGTCGAATGCTTAGGCTTCGGACCGGGGTAGAGTAGTGATGCTGTTATTATAGAGGTCTTAATATTCAGAATAGGGTTGATTTAAAGGGTTCTCTAAGGGATACCAAAGGATCTATAGAAGGGTTCTACATTAGGGGCCTGAATAATTAGAACAGGGTTTCCGGGCCCCTTTATACTAGGAGTATCATGGCTGTTCACAGTCGCTTGGAACTCGTGAAAGCGATCTTCACTGACCGGCGGCCTGCAAAAGCTGGGCATAGCCAGGGGCGATGCAGTCCACAGATGCGCCTCGGTGTCCAAGAACTTTGTAGCAGTCGCCGAAACTTTGAACCCCAGAAACCGTAGGATAATACAGGGGCCTTCATCATTAGAATAGGGCTTTGGGGCCCTTTATACTATCACCATAATCAGGAACCCCTCCAAAGTAATTAGCCCCTATCTTACCTCGAGGCAAAGGGCACAGACCTCGAGAGAACTGGAGACTGCTGGTCTCACAGGTCAGCTCCACGTGCATGTAGCCACGTGATCGGTTTTCCGCCAAAACGACGAGGCCTTCCTTGGGTGCGTTTCCCAGCGTTTTGGGATGTAGTAGGCCATAGCCACATATGTCCGTGAGCCCATGGTTCCGCATCAGAACAAGGTTCGATGCCTAATGAATACTTGATGCAGCTGTCATGCTACCCGAGCTTCGGAGATCCGGATGTACAGATCCGCGCCGTTCAAAGAGCTCTTATCCGCTGGCTTTCCACTCTTGGCCTCGCAAGCAGCACTGAGCAACCTCTAGCTACGGTTCCCGCTGTACCTGACGTGCTCTACCGGCTGTGGCTGCAGAAACCGCACTGCGAGTGTTGCCCGGGGGGGCATCAGGCAGGGTCAATGTCGGTTAATATAGGGCTCTTAAAAGATACCTACACTATTCTGGGGGGTTCTTTATCAGTATGATAGTATAATCGGCTCCAAAACCCTATTCTAATTATTGAGGCCCCTGTATTAAACTTCCAGCCGAAATGCGTATGCCGCCCATGCAAACATCACGGCTTGGCGGTCCAACGAGCGCTCTTCTACCACCACCTACTGTTCATGGTTGGGATAGGATTGAAAATGTAAGTTTTTGTTCCTTATTGGGTTTAAGCAGCCATAAAATGTAAAATGTTACCCATCTATGACAAAGCCACGGGCAGGCTGCTCATCACCGCCACCGCAGCGCTTAGGGAAGAGCCCGAATTCAGGCACATAGGAACCTTATAGGAGGATCACAACTAGATCCCTTAATGGGGGTTCCTGTAAAGTACCCTTAGTAGTATAGGGCCCCAGATAAGGGGATCTACTATAGCTTGCGGAGCCTGCTCCTCGATGGGAATAGCCTGGTGTCAGGTCATATGTGGCATCTCTTCAAGTCTTCGTCTTTTGGATGCTAAAGTAGCACTCTTTGGAACAATGGTACTATGCCGACCATTGGTTGCCTTTCATGAAGTAGGCCCCTTGTAAGATCTGGGCTTTTGCTGACTCGGGGCTAGGAGGTATTCATCCTCAGGCCGCAGCCAGCAGTCCTCAGCAAAATCTGACGACTGCGGCAGTGGCAGTAGAGGGCTCTTGGCACACCGCAGGAGAATGCATGACAAGCATACGGACTTGGACGCATCCTGCAGTTCAACGTGCGGCACGGTTGACTCAATGCCAGGCTGACAAGTCGTCCCTCACCAATGTTGCCATTCTGTTCATCGGGCTAGCAGCACGCTGGGAAAAACCCTTGACTGAAGTTTTCGCCAAGCGTCTGTGCCCACGACGCCCCGGTTCTTGAGACCGCTGGCAGCAACAAGGGAAGGGGGATGAGTCTTCCTCGGCATGGAAACAGTGCATTCCAGTCAGATTTTATGCCTTTAAACGTACAATCAAATGTGCATCAATCTGGCAGGTGGGTTTTGGCCTATGGTACTCTTTGAGGCTATACTGGATGTATGGAAGCATTCACTCTCTCTCTGAGCAAATCCTAGAACATCACCGAAACCACAAGAGCTTTCCAAGGAGAGCGAAGCGTCATGTTGAGGATCACCAGGCCCACGCCTCAGGAAGCACGTGCTGACTCACGACTCCCCACTGACTGCTTTTGAGTTGGCGTCCATAAGCAAGTTCTCCCCCTAATCCCTAAACCCCCAAACCCTAACCCGAAACCCCTAATCCCTAAACCGCCGAGTTTACAGCTTTGGAGTCGAGAGCCAAGGCACTTGCAAGCTGCTCGAAGAGATGGTTGTAGAAATATCCTCCTCGAGCTCGCTCCTGGACCGTCGTTCGAGGTAGGGGCTTGGGGCCTTGATAATTTGAGAACGGCTTTGGGGTCGATGCATTGTGCAATATTGAACGGGACTGTAAATAAAGGGATACGGGGCACTACTACTCACTTTAAGGGTTTGGGGAAGTTTGGGGCGCGAGCTTTTGGGACTCTCGTCTGTACTGCTGTTTTGCTGATCCTGTGTATGGCAGGAGGCCCATGGACCCGGAAATGTCCGTATCCTTTCGCAAGGGAGTCCTCCGAAATCCGCCACCGTGTTCCTGATGAAATTGAAACCTTAATTAGGGTTTAGGGTTTAGGGTTTAGGGTAAGTAAGGCAAGGGTATTCATGAGGTTGGTGAAATCATGAGATCCTGGGGCTTCTCTTCTCTGTCTCCTCCGGCTGCGCCAGGCTCACCAGGCACTGCGCAGTGGCACCACAAGCCTCCAAAGCGAGTCCGGAGCGCGGCACCTGTGCCAAGTCCAGGTGGAGTTCTTACAGAAGTGTTAGGGAGTAATTTGGGCTGAGGGACTGCATGTAGGGTTCAGGATGAAGAGCTCGGGAGTTTTCAAGTGGAGTTTTCGGTATAGTTAAAGTGACCGCAGTGCGCCGGCCTCCAGTCGAAACCGACTTCAGATGCAAAGACAACCATGGGAGAAACGAGGTCTCCCTGGGGCCAAATCACCACCCTTATAGAACTTATAGTCCGCACAGTACCGAAACTGGTAAGTCAGGAGCCTCCTGTGATGGCAGCGGCACCGCCACGCGTGCTTCGCACCACTCCGTGCCATGGATCTGGCAGATGGTGCACCTGAGATTTTAAAATGGCACCGGGAAGACTTCGGGTCATGCCTGCAAGTGGAAGCCATCGTCCGTCTTTTACCTGCTCAGATCAGGCACTGGTCGAAGTAAATGATGAAATCCGGCATCGCCATGAAGAACATGCCAGCATCATCATCGGCCTGCAGTATGCCGGACTTGTAGGAGCCTTTATTTCAACCGTTCGCCTTTAACGAAAACCAGCACCTCACGGAAGAACGATGATGCTTCGCAAAAACGGTGGACGAAAGGCCTGAGTGCCCCGATTTAGGGTTTAGGGTAGGAAACCGAACCAACAAAGCATTACAGAAACCAGAGTTTGCATCCTACGACAAACTGATGAGTCGTTCGCCGACATGATCCTTCGACCCCTTAATTAACAACCTCAGGCCACATCTTCAGATTGAAGCTTACCACCAACTTTGGACCCCGAGGAGCTCTGCAAACAGCCCCTGGGTTGTGAACGGTGCAAGATACCTGCTGCCAATGGCAATCCCAGCAACAATACGGGGTGAAGAATGTCCGGGTTTGTTCTCTCTCACAGATTAGTAATATGCCCCAAAAGCTGACCGTCGCAATTGGACGTATCACGCCCTCTACCTCTACCTCTCTTTCGCTTTTTCTATCTCTGCCTCCTTCGCTTGGCTTGGCTTCGTTAGATGTGACGAGGCACAGGGTATCGGAGTTTCGAGCGGAGCTCCGGCGTCCAGTTGCCGCTCCGCTGGGACCAGGCCTCGGATTTTTGGCGGGTTTTGGGCGCAGGGTCCGGGAGGGGGCGTGGGGGCTTTGAGGTGTGGTGGGGGTTGAGACTGGGGTTTCCGGCATTCTGCCTTTGTGAGGATTCTTGAGCTTGGTGCAGTTGTTTTGATGCTTCACTTCTGTTTCACACACCTCCCGGACGTTTGTCTCGGATTCGAAGATCATCTCGCACTTGTGCAATCATCTCTGACAAAAAACAAAGGGTGGCGAGACAGCAGCCGCTTGAGTCAACAAGCCCCAAGCGCAACCAGGAGGCCCCCTTCCAGGCGCAGCGCGCGTGGGGGTTGCGAATTTGGAGCAGTCGCACCTGGCATCCGGGGATCTGGCACTTTTTGAGGGCCTTGTTCAGGGCACTTTGGGGTCTGGCGTTTTCTGGAAGCCCTGCTTAAAGCCGACTCTCTGGCACAAACTGATGGTCCTTTGTGAGTCAGGCCTTCTGGCTCTTGTTGTCGGAAGGAGCTTGCTTGCACCACAGGCTTTGGGCTTGAGCTATGTCAGCTATGTGGTCTCTGGTGTTTGCTCCCGGTGTATGCTGTGAATAATACGAATGAGTACGCACTTGGGTGCTCCAAGCCCTGCATCCTCGAGCTGTAATAGTCGTAGCTGCCGACATGCAGGCCGTTGACTCCGGACCACCGAGACATCTTCAAGTGCCAACTCCCAAGTAATCGAAATCGGTCCAAAGACACATCCAAAGCTGCAGGTGGCCCCCTGAACCCTGCAGAAGCATCCCGTGGATCTTTCGACGATCGCTTCACAAACCCCGCGCTTCGGGGCGCCTGGCCCTCACTGGTGGTGACCTCGTGGACTGCCATCAGGGAGTAGGCGTGGTTCGGCGCCAGGCCAACCTCAGACCTGAAGAACCGACAATTGGGATCAGGGTTAGGGTTATAGAGGGCTTATGGCTACTACTTGTATATTATATATGGATTAATTCTAAGGAGTTTCTGGGTCACTATCCGACATGTGGGATGTTTCTGAAAATGGGGGTCACTGCTGACACTTAGGGGTCCTCATGTTACGGACCCTACAATCATCAATCCAGGATCTCTACGTAAAGGTCCCTCACGCTCCGCGCTCCGAAACCGCCAGGTTCAGGGATCATGATCAGAAGAACACAACAGTGACAGCCAAAATAGGATTCATAACCCATAATGGTAATGCCTGCCCTGTTGAAACTGAAGATCGCTTCCTGACAGCGATGACACAGAAAGGTACTTACTGTGACATCACAGTAGTGGATTCGATCACAACCCGGACGACCACTGAAGAAGCAAGACCAGGACCAGCACCGGTGCGAGTCAAACTCAAGTGGCGACGGTAAGAGCACAACTAATTCAGAGACTCCCCCCGCAACGGGTGCAGGTGTGCACGCACACTGCATACATGTATTACACGTTCACTCCCCTGACCTGAACTCTTCTACCATTCCCTCTCGCGCCTGAGCTCCTCCCCGCGGCCGGTGGAGCACGTCCTAGGCAGAGCGTGCGATTTAAGATCAGGACATAGGATTGGAGTCGCCGCCATGTCGGGGCGGGCTTCAGATCCAGGGAAAGGATGCACCGGATGCAGAACTACTGTTCGACAGTCAGCTTCATTATCGTTTCATCCTGCGTCAACTCTGAGCCTGACCCAAGCCTGAAACTGTGTAAAAACTGCACCGGCTCTAAAGGTTGAGCTTAGGGTTCAGGTCCTTGGGAGTTTGGCAAGGGGGTCGGGGGACATATTAAGTAGTTAGTAAGTAGACTTATAAGTACCCTAAAAGGCACCCTAATTGGGGTTATGGTACTTATAAGTCCCTATAATAAACCTCCAAGTAACTGCTGCTTTCCCTTCGCAGGAGAGAATCCTCTGAAGGGGGACCCTGGCCTTGTTCCCAGAGCGAAGGCTCTTCTTCAAATTCCCAAACTCCCGCACTGTGTTGAGCCTGGGTACAGAAGGAAGCCGGCACTGTAGGACGAACAGAGCGAAGCCCACATCAAGTCAGCATCGAAGTCCTTTCGCCCAAACCTCGTCTCAGATTCTGGAGGGTCCGGGTATCTGTTCAAGGCTTCTTTCGAGCCTGCGGCTATGAAACTTTCGCACCGCGACGCTATCAGGCAAGATCTGATAATAGGGCGGGCCTTCCTGCTGCAGGCCACAAGATGAGGCAACAACCCTGAATAGTAGATAAAAAAAGCCTCTCGGCCTTAGCCAGGACGAGGAACGAGATAACCATGCAGGGCCATCCCGTGAGGACCGCCAGAGCTTCGCTGGGCTGACCTCCCAAGGATGTACAGAATGCAGTGACAAATTTGTAGTTACTCGGTAGGTTTCTATGCCTGGAGTGCGATTCCATGTCACTGTTGTCCTCCTGAACTTAAAGTGGGGCCCAGTCGAGTGCAATCATGCAGTCCTACGACGACGCCAAGATCTCCGCCAGCTATGTGTTTGTGCTCCGCGTGCTGGCCCACCTCCCACCAAGGCTTCGTACGATCCGCAAGCTTTTGCAAAAGCCTGGCCGCAGGGAAAGTGTGTGCGTGTGATTCTTGCGCAACTGCAAACGATACAGCAATTGCAGTACTGCAAGTAACGCCGCTGGCAGCAGGCCTTCTCGATGATGCTGGCCCAGAGCTGCAGCCGCAGTGTGGAGCAGTAGGCGAGCTGCTGATGATACTGGCCCCCACCCAAGCCGGGGAGCCGGTCATCCACTATGACTTCCCGCCAGAAGCCACCGAGGCAAAGCCGGACCATGTAAATGCCCGCGGGGCTGAGCCTAAGAAGCCGAAGATGAGCAGCGGCACAGTAAGTCGTGTCTACATCTCGCATGGACGGGTTGTATGTTGGAGTCGCACCCACTCTGGAAAAGCTGCACACCACACCTCGTTTCATCCGAAAATCCTACTCCAAATTCTTCAATCCAAGGCCCTCAAATCTGTTCGACCCATTTCGTATTGTTGTAATTTTCTATTGTAGAGCGGTTAGAACTATTTGCAAATTAAGGAATATAGAAGCTCCTCATCCACTCCCTATGACAGGGTGCGAGCTCTGCTCCGGGAGGAGCGCCCGCAGAAAGCGGCCATCCTGGTTCCAGGGGCTCTTTGCTGAGGTTTCAAAGGAGTCCCTGATACATTATTGATTATCTTACTATCTTCCGCTATAGTGTGTCATATTATGTTATCGGATACGATGTTATGTAAATGTTTATGGTTTAGGATGCCATGTCATGCGCCCCTTGCTTGTGGGTGGGATACCATTGGCGGCAGGACCAAGTGCCCAGGTCTTGCAGAAGACAAAACAAAGCTTCGGGAGGTTACGGAGCTGATGCTTCAGGTCCTTAGGACCTTCACAGAGTGCAAGCTGACAGGGATGAAGGGCCCCTGACACCCGAAAACCTCGGATCCCCGCCAATCCACGGCTTGCACCCGCGATCCGCTCGCTCTCTTCATCTCTCACACATCGGAGTCCTGGTACTCAGCCAAAGCGGCCAGCGAGGAGAGGAACCAGCAGTCCTGGAGTTGCTTTGCGCGAAAGGCTAGGCCCTCGGCTATGCGTGAACGTAAGGTTCAGCTAAGGGGCGCCGAGCTCTCCTTGCCGCACATCCTCTGCACGGGGGCGGCCTCGTAGGAGCTGCCAATCCTCCACGTAGGGGTTGTTGGGCCCTTTTGTTTCTTTCGAGGCTGGCGGACTTTGAGGAGCACTTGGGGGATCTTGCCAGCATGATGCTTTGCTCTACACGTAGGGCTAGTCACTGAAGCGTGCAGCATCCTAGGTTGAAACTTGGAGGGAATCTTAGGAAAACAGTTTGAGGAAGCTCTATGTTGTCCATGTGCCTGCGAGAAGTCTGCGGAGTAAAGTTCTGAACTTCTCCCCGTCCTCATTGGCCGCAAGCGGTCGACCATCGTGGTGCGTAAGTTCCTGCCACAGTCTCGTGCTGGAAGTTAACAATGGAAAGCTAGCAGACGTCTGAAGTTGATAACTGCAAGGTTGAGGTGTTGGCAATCATCAGAAACCAATTTAAGCGAGAGCTACAGCAGCCATCCTTCTTCGGACAGGTGCGGAATACGCAAGCAGAACATAGACAGTCATGAGATACCAGCCCAGTGCAGGGTCTCACATTCTATATTGTGACTATGCCATACTCGAATGTACTAGAATATACTAAGGTTATTAGATAAAATTTTGCATTGTATCGTGATACATTGTATAGCTTCTGCCAACCAGGCCTGTGGCCGTCTCCAACCGGTCACCCGGCCACCCACAACGGGTGGGAAGTCTGGGTCCTGACCCACTGTTGCTCCACTGAAGATGCAGCGGGCAGAGGATCATGTGACAGACATGTTTGCGACTAAAACCTTTATTGCTTCAGTCTAGTCTATGAATCTTTCCGTTTCCGTGTTCCATGTGTTAAGCACTCTTGCCTATACTTTGCCTCTTGCTTCTTTTTGCGTTCCGTCTGTCTGTTTGTTTGCCGCTCCATGCCTAAGTGCTACATGGGTGGTTGTCAACATTATGGCCCCTTTTTGGGCACCCTAAATATTAGGTGCCGTATTATGATAAGGACCCGAAAAGGGACCCTAGTATTGACAACCACCCACATGGTTCCCATGCGAGGCAGGCTCCTCGAATTTCCGGCCGTCCAGCTTGCAGCAGAGCTCCAGGGAGCGCAGCTCCGCCATGGTCTTGCTGGAGGGCGCTTGGCCGCTGGTCGTGCGCCGGAGGCTCGGACGACGACCCAGCGACGCATCCTGCACAAGAGTAGCGCAGCAGTAACAGCAGTAGCACTTGCAGGGGGAGGAAGCAGAGTCCTAGCCTGTCTCCGCCGTTCAGGGTTCAGGCTTCCTAATCTAGTATTAGGCAGAGTAGTCGTCGTGGTCATACTATTAAGTTTGAGTTTGGCACAGGCACAGCAGTTCTCCTGTTGATCTGACGCAGGCGGCAGGGATTGCCCGGCATCTGCAGGAGCCAGACGAATGTCCCTCTGTGTGCCAGTTTGCAGATTGGTCCTCAGACCGCTTCGTCTCAGAATCTTTCCTAAACAAGCTATTACAACCCAAAATTGGGTGTTTAAACTAACGTTGAAGAAGCATTTCCTGCAAGACAGCACAACCCAGCATTCTCTCAGTTTCTCGTCTGAACGACATGCCTACATGCACATACAGCAGGTGGAATATACCAACCGACAGGTAGGCCAACAGATTGAAAAGACAGGTCTACCCTAGGGCTCCATAGTAGTTCCTTTTGGGGGTCATAGAATCCTATAAGGTGATCCGTATAAGGGACTACTATGGAGCCTCTGGGTAGTTTCGAAGCAGCAGTTCAGCTTGGGAGCTGCTTGCGCGTGTCCAGAGTAATCTCGTAGTCTGTTCCGGCCCACCGATAACCTTTGCACTCGGAGTTTCAGGCCGTGGGATCTTAAGGGCTCCTCTCTGGTTGGGCTTCGGGGTTCAGACGGTCTAAAGAGCTGAATGCCGAGTTCAAGGAGTGTTTTCCCTACTTCAGAGGTCTTGGAGTCCTCTTTGGCTTGGTTTGGGGTTTCAAGAAACTTCTGTGCTTGATTCTAGAACTCAGGGACATAGCGCTCTGAAATGGAGCGCTGCGATGAGTTTCCTGGGCACCTATGTGTGGTGGGCCCTCCCAAGCACCCGAGCACAGCCGAGAAGCGGCACGAGGAGCGACCTAGGAGAACGGCCTCCTGGATCGCTTCTCGAGCCTCCGGAAACAGTCCAAACAGGGATGGACTAGCTTCATCCGACGGCCGAAGTAGCAAGGTCATTTATCAGGGCTTGCAGTGCAGGTTGCTCAAAGCCCGGAAACTCATATACTGCTGTCCCACCATTGCTCAAGAAGCATTGCTGATATCTTTGAGGCAGGGGATCTCTCTGTTCAGCAGGCACCGAGCGCTGAGAAACGAACACTACCCGCCTCCGGGCCCATGTCGATCCAGGTGTTTGAAGCGCCATAGACCTGCCAGCTTCTGCCGAGGATCCTTGGCTCGGAAGGCAGATTGGGAAAGCTGCAGCGCGACGTGGCAACAGTAAGCACCATCTTGCTAGAGTCCTCAGGTTATGCTATATCGCAGAGCACTAACGCATCTGCCAGATGGGATGCATCAAATCTTCGAAACCCAACATCAAAGGCGGATGCGCTGGTTGTCACAGTGATGGTAGTGGTGGTGATGGTGATAGTCGTGGAAGTAGAGCGAGCATCAGTGATGGTAGCAATGGTGGCAATACTGTCGAAATGGTAGTAGCAGCAGTGCTGGTAGTTGCCGCAGTAGCCCGAAAGACACTCCTTGTTGTTAGTCAGGGTGCTCGTCGATCTCTAAGCGGAGCTTGCTGGCATCGCTGGTGCTCGTCCGGCGCTTCGGACGCTCAAGTGAATTCGCTGCTGCTTGCTCTGCCTGCACGGGAGACCCCATTTCATTCTGCAACTGGAAGAGCCTGGACCCAACACACTCCAAGTTGCGGTGGTACTTCTGGTCCCTACTGAAGTCCTGGATTTTTCAACTCCCCCTCCTGGCATCAGGTTACTCCTGCAGGAGGCCTCCAGCTGTCAAAGCCCTGTGCGGTCTAATGTAGGAACCTGATTAAGAAACCCTGGCCCTACAACGCCGAAATACATATAAGGAACCCTAGTAAAAACCCAAGGTATCTTAATCAGGTTCCTACAATTAGTAGAGTTTTTGATTCCCCGCCTGGATGGCCTGCAGAATGGCTTCCTGTACACGCGGGTTTACCAGCAGCTCCTCTGCCCCCAAAGGGGGCCTGGGCCCGGGACCCCGCTTCGGCCGCGAGGAAGGCTGGCCCATTGCTGGGAACCCTGAAGCCTCTAAAGTAGTAATAATAACAATAATAAATAGGAATACCACAGAAGTTAATTATAATAGTAACAATAATAACTATTAAAGTAGGAATGGCAAGACGGCTTAGACCTGAAGGAGTCGAGGTCAGGCTATTGAGGCCTCGTGGCTCAAGCAGCTGAGCAAGAGCTTAGCTGCGTGGTGTTGCTCTGCTGATGACATACTTTCTCATGCTTCGTTTGTCTGGCCGGCTGCAAGCCTCTTACAGGGCTGCGGCATGAATTCTATATTGCCAGTGTCTCGCGGTACTTCCTCTTAGAGCTTCCTTTATGCAAGTCGATCCCAAGACGTCTGCATTTCGAGGGAAGGGATTAAACGATACAAGTAGCAGGCAAAATTCACTAGCCTCCTAAGCAGAGCACTTTTACGTCCATAGGCAGGCGGTCCATGGGTGCATGCGCTGCATCTGTTTGGGTCCTCGAAAGGCCAGGAGCTCATCTGGTCCAGCTCCTGGGGGTCCATGGCGCCAGAATGGCAGGGCTGAATCTTCGTGAAGATCTTTACGACACCCACGGTGCAAGGTAGCAAACAATTCAATGATGTACGCTTGGTTTCTGCTTCGTGGTTATGTCTCAGTACGGATCGAAAACATAGGGGCGTCTACCACGAAAGTAAAAGCACAAGCAACCAGATAAGCGCCCAAGAAGTCGTTATCCAAACTCGAGCTACAGCACCTTTTGCACTAGATCGTCAGCACCATGTTGACACTTATGCATAGCAACTGACTTGGTCCCCTGTGTCAAACATGCCGGGACACTAGCACTCGAACTCCCGGTATGCCAAGGACCTGCATTGTCAGCGAAAGGTCAGGAAGCTGGGAGAGACTATGAACGAATGTCGTTTACGACGGCCTCGTTCTAGAGCTGGCTGATGGTTTCGCTGGGAAGGCCGCTGGGCATGCAGAAACCGTCTGGGCCTCTGTTAGGAACAGTTGGCAGCTGCCGCTGCCCTGCGAGTGTGCGAAGATGAGGACGGACTCCTGGTTGGACTGATTGCAAAACAGCGTGCTGGTGGTGGCTGACTCATGATGCATGTTTCCACTAGTTTCGAAAGTTTCGTTCTCATATCTGCTGTTCTTCGTTCGTCTAGGATTGCCACCAAAATGCCCCGCCCCTACAAGACCGTGAACCCATTGCACGTGCTCTCCAATGTACTCGAATACCTCTTCTGTCCTCCAGACAGATCGGCTCAAACTCAAACCCCTGGTATGCATGTATGCTGGGCTATTTTCTCAGTGTTCAACTCAAGTCCCAGGTGCGGAGCTGCACTCAAGACCTTCCGAAAATTGGCCGTGCCCACTCTCGAGCAGAGTCCTCTGCGATGAGCCGTTCCAGCCACGACCTAATCCAACGGTCACACGGTCACGCAATGAGCCGCATACATCCAACCCCCACCGCAGTCGCCAACCATCGCGTTTGCCAGCTAGCCTATACAGCTCCCCGAACATTCCAAGCAAGATGATCAAACTGAGGCGTCATTCCGGAAGGCTTTCGTTAAGGTTTTCCTCCTACCCTTCGAGTCTGGCCGAAATGACGGTGCATGCAGTGCAAATGCGCTTGGTCGGGATGGACTCTGGCTCTCTCCAAGCTCCGAGCCGCAGCGCGCCTTCTTGGCTCGCGCCGTGAAGGGGGGCGAATTCAGCGCGAATGACTTCCTGAGCCATCGGAAATCGAAGACCAAGTTAGCGGATGATGGGAGGAGAGCTCCGTGCAATCTGAAGAGACTGAGGACAGCTCCCAGGAACATTGGGGCTTCTCGATCTCTCCTGCAGCCAAAATGAGAGAGGAGTCTTTGCCGGACTCACACCTTTGAATGGCATGGATGAGCTTCAAAGCACAAGCCGAAGCTCTGGCGCATAACTACGGCCCTCAGAATCGAAGCTTCGTGCCGATCGCACCTTGCGCGTTCTTCATGCAGAGATCTGCCTGAGCTGGCCCACCAACACCCGACAGCGCACCCACATTGCTCTTCTGCAACTGCAACAAGTAAGCAGACAGCCAAGGCAGCTAACGTTACAACAACATGCAAACAACAAAGAACAAGACCCCAGGGGGTGAATTAAGGGCACACACACACACACACCTTGACGAACCAGTACATCCACAGCAAATCCACCAAAACAACAAAAAAACAGAACACTTTGGCGAGAGAGTTACTTACCTTAGGTTAGTAGGGAATGGAGGAATGGGGTACAATTATATAACCACTATTACTACCATCCTTCCATTCCCTACTAACCAAAGGTAAGGTTAGGGAGAGACCCGACCGACATAGCCGAGCGACGAGGCGGGGAAGCGCCTCCTGGTTCTCGATGCGCGCGTAGAAGTCCACAAATCTGGGAGTTTCCGAAAATTAGGGGTACCTTACTCAGGGGTCCTTATACAAAGGATCCTACTATTCAGGGTACTATATTAGGGTCCCCTATTTTCGGAAACTCCTATCTTGGGCTCTGCTTGCTGGAGGTTCCATGATGTTTACCGTGTGCAGAACTTTGGTTGGTGAGATTTGCTGTTTTGATCATAATTGCCGAAGGAGGCTCCCGGCGATTACGGACGAACTTTACGAAATCTGTGACTTCAATGCCTCGTGCTGCAAAGGCTGGTCAAGGCTTCGTCTCGTAGCACCCAGAAGCAGAAAGCTCACAGGAGAAAGCTGAGCATCTCTCACGTGCGTGCTTCGGGGTTTGGAGATCGACGTAGATGCACGAGGTCTGAAGCTTCTTAGTCCTGAAGTACCTGAGTCTTCTCGACTGGTATTCATCATGGACTTCCCTGGCAAACTAGCGCGTAGACTGGGACAAAGTGTAAAACCGAAACCCCTGAGGATGCGACGGCCGCAACTGCCGCACCGCCTACGGAGTGTGTTCGACAGGATTCCACAACTGACATGCTGTGTCTAAGGTCGCATGACTTCCGGGTTATCTTTCACAATGAACCTTGAGTACAGTCTCCCGAAAACACTTTATGCTAGCACCGACCCGGAGCGCGACCATTGCTCGGGAGCGCCACAACATGCTGGGAGATTGTGCTGTGTCTTTACCACCATAACCAACTTGCAACACTGAAGCTGCTCTGCCCAACAGTTCCGGGTGGAAAGAACATGTCACACACCACAGCCCGAAGAAAGCTATTGCCTGCAAAATAGTTTGATAGACCGGATTTTCACCTGCTCCTGCCCGATTGCCTGCGGCACCTCGTGGTAGGACTTCTGAAGCGCGTCCTGTTTGCGAAGACGGGCCAAGGTCGGTCGCTTGCAACGAGTGAACCAATCGTGCGAGATCAACCCCACCCCACCAGCAAATGTAGGACAAATTGAAAGCGCAGCGCATCCCTACACTCTTGGTAAATCATTGTTCCATGGCATGTCGATCCCTTGGCTCTGGTCCTGAGGCACCACGCGGCCAGTGTGGGTGGCCCGAGTGGCGACGCGGGCTTGAACCGTCGTCCAGTTGGCGACCTGGAAACTTGCATGGTCTCGCAATGGCTCGCACGGACGGCTAACTTTAACTCAGCGTTGCCAGCAATCTTCCGGTAGCTTATAGGCTTACATAATGTGAGCGAGAAATGCTGGAGGCGGGGGCATGCGGAACATGCTTACATACACAGGTTCTTTAGCAGTCAACGAGAAAGTGCAAAACCACGGCAAGGACTCCAGCCACCCAAGGTCCCTGCGACATGGTAGATCGCTATCCTGTACTGCGGATGCTCCTGGCTTGTATGCACTTGCCATAAAACGCTTTGCAGCAGGGAGATCGCTGAACTATCGCTCCTTTCGGATTCGACGAAACTCGGAGGCATACCTTAGCAAGAAATGGGATGCCAGCCCAGCGAGTCTTTTGGTTCAGTGCACTAGTCCGCCATGTGCTGGCCTATTGAAGAGGCTAAGACCCTGACCACTCAGCATCGTGAAGGGATCCATCGACCCACACGTGTTTGCATCTTTGGAGTGCTGCCTTCCGCAAGCCCCATCTGCGAAGCAAACTGCTGTTGAACATGCGCCATGCCTAAAGAATAGTAATATCGACAGGGAGACACCAAGAGAAAAGAGTGACGAGAACACACCCAGAAGAAAGGGCGGATATGAAGAGAAGCAAACCCAGATGGACGTGGATGCCAGAGACGGATGGAACATACGCCGCATGTGCCCGGCCTCTTGTGCAATTTCGGCACAGTAGCCTGCAGCATGCAGCGGGTCAGGCGACTTCGATGACGACTAATTAATTGGATGGTAGAAACGGTAGGCATCAGTGTCGTCTTCCTCCCGCACCCCTCCTGCTTATCATCATCCTTGAAGCAACATTGTGATCGCACCTTCTTCTCGCCACGGCTCTCATCAAGGCCATCATGCTCAGAATCGCCATCATGACCGCATCGACGTCGTCATTGGCATCCTCACCATCGTCTGCCATCACCATCATCACCATCAGCATTGAATCAGCATCGTTATCATCTTTCTCATCACCAGCAAAAGCCAAACCCAGGACGCCCCTGGCACCAGCACCACCATCGTTGCCATGCAGATCAGCATGTGCATCAGCCCTGTCCGCGTCGCGTCTCCAACCATTATCATCACTCCGATGCTGACCCGAGTCGTTGCCTGCCTGCTTCGCGGTGTGTAAGTGCGCCGGCCGAAGCCGAATTCCGTGCGACATAACCTCAGAGTCGGGGCACTGCTTCAGGGGAGGTAGTTGAATTTAATAAAGTAGCATCTACATACAAGCCTGTGCTTTGCAGATCTTAGCAGCATCAGGAGAAGTGAATGCACCAAGTACGTGTTTGTTACCAAGGTCGAGAGCAAAACAACTCCCCCCGTTGCTAGCACTAAAGGTCGACTTGGGATGATGGCCGCCAGCACAGGATGCGACGAAGGACCTGAAAGCCTCCGCTACATGGCAACAGCAAAATGACCTATTTTGCCAGCTTCAGCCCTAAACCCTATAAACCCTGAATCCTAAACCTTAAACTCTAAACCCTAATCACAGACCAAGCTTCAAGAAGCCCCAAGCTGCCGAGAGACCCAGCCACTCCGGCAGCTGTGTGCGGAAGCGGTCCAGGTCGATCTGTACCTGGGCGCACGCGGGAGTTTCCGAAAATTAGGGGTACCTTATTTTGGAGTCCTTATAAGGATCCTACTATTTAGCGAAGGCTCGAGACTTCGCAGCTGCTGCTGGTGATCTTCATGCCCATCAGTGGGCAAGTATGATTGCCTAATTGTTTGAGCTGCCTATCGTGTTGATGATCTTCGCATGGTGGGTAGAAGGACCGGCATAAGCACATGACGCTCCTGATGCTCGCCCAGCTCCGTCGGAAGGGTGCTCGACATGATGATCAGTTAATCATAATCATATCATCACTGTAACTCGTTGCCTGCCGGTGGTCCACTAAAAGGCCGGGCAGTTGCAGAATATAACTATCCAAGAGTTTCCTGCTTTAGCGCCATCCATGGCTGGAGGGGTGCGTGGCAAAGTCGGAGCAATCAGGATCTCCGGTATGAGGTGGCTGGGACGCCCCATAAATGCAGGGCAGCCATGTTAGTTCACCGTGAAAACCCGTCGGACAAGTGATTTGCCAGCGAGTAGCAAAGATGGGGAGTGCAAAGTAGTCGTTGCGAGACCTTGGCCGAACAAGATACTTGGAGGTTCATGGGTAGTTATAAGTGGGGTTATATGTCCCCTAATATGGGCTATAAGTACAGTTGCCCTACTTATAACTCTACTTATAACTGCCCATGAACCTCCAAGTACTCTCTGTGGCCGCCTTCCCAGCTGTGGCATCGAATCCAAGGGCCCGCACAGCCAACGCACGACATGGGATTTTCCCGCCCCCATGGCTCCAGCGGTATACCTGGGCTGCTGGGCTCTGGGCTTAGCGATCCGGGAAAGCTGCACGACGGAAAGCCGCAGCTGTGCCTCTGCAAATGTCTTCCTCTTACTTCAACCCTCAACCAGCAAACATACATTGTAACGGCAGGGCCGATTTCACTGCCACGATGCACGATCCACGGACGCTCGTCGGGCAGCCCACTGGCCAGAACATCTTGCAACAACTCGTCCTGCACCCAAAATACAGGTAGTTTGCCACGGCTGATCTGGGCTATGTGCACATGTGTCTCGATGTGTGTTTAGCCAGTCGCCCCTGGCTGCATGGTAATTACCATGGCCTGCAGTACTTGTACCCCCGAAACACAGGCTCCCCCGCTGCAAAATCAAGCAGCATGCATCGAGACAGAGTCCTGCAATCGCTGTCTCCGCTCGGTGTAGTAGCCATGGTAGTCCGCGTCCAATCGATTGCGGATGTCGGCGAAGAGCCCAGAGCTGTTGACCGGCTCAGATGCCTGGTAGTTCCTCGGCTGTGAAGCTCGGAAGCACCAGGCCTATAAAAGACCTCTGCGGCCGGAAAGGAGCTCTGCAGACCACGCCCCTACACAGAACCGTAGCACACCCTCTGGTCGCACTACAAACCATCAAAGGAAGGAGCGATTGAGAGTCAAGGCCCCTTAATCCCGTCTTCGTGGAACTGCAGCCGTGGGGCTCGCTGCTGGGCTTGTCCCAGTCCTAGGACGGGACCACAGGCTCTGAAGGCGGAGGCCAAGTCCAAGTCCGACTCATCGTTAACTACTCGAAGTCATGACTCGAACCCTGATGCCGTAGACCTTAAATTATGGACTCATGAGCTCATCGCACAGCCAGGAAGATCCATTTGTAGGAATGTCACGCTCAAGCAGTCCGAAATCGAGACCACGTCATTCCCTGATACTACAGTACAGTGTCTGCTACGCTGCTGCATGGTCAGAGCTTACCTAAATTGGGAGTTTCCGAAAATAGGGAGACCCTAATTTTGTACCCTAAGTTGTAGGATGCTTATTGTCAGGACCCCAAAATAAGTCCGACCAACCCCGGAGCCCAGCTTTGACGGTAATGAGGCTGCGGCGTATTCGGGATCCACCTGCCAAAGGTACTGCAGGGGCATGAAAATGCCTCGTCACGCTCGGGCACTTGGACAAGTTGTGCTTGTTCCGGGGCAGAAGCGCTAGGTAGAAGGTTTCAGGCATGAGGATGCAAGTTTCGGGCTTGAATGTGCATCCGCACAACAACGCTGCCAAAGAGTTAGCTGCTTCTCTCAGCCTATATGCCTCACCCTTGCCAGACTTGGCGAAATTGCAAAAAAGCCTGAGTTCTGAACGGCGACTCCCAAACCGTGAGCCCTGCCCCGAACCCCAAGCCTAAGATTCGTACAACACCTGACATTCGCATGCCCTCCTGAAACCGAACACAAGCACTGAACACCACGTCTTCCCTCTAAAGAGAAAATCCCAATGTTGAGACAACCTTCTTCACATTCGAAACTCATTTTCTCTTCGAGCACTAAAAGCTCACGTTGAGGTCAGAGCCGGTAGCCGAGTCCGGGCCCATAGTCCTCGACGGACGGAGTTTGATGGCACTTTCACCGTCTAGCTGCTCCCTTTGGAACTATGAGTACTTGGAGGTTCATGGGTAGTTATAAGTAGGGTTATAAGTCCCCTAATATGGGTAATAAGTACAGTTACCCTACTTATAACTCTACTTAGCACGACCCATGAACCTCCAAGTACAGCTTGCAAGAAGCAGGGCTCAGGGCTTCAGGGGTCTACGATTTGGGTACCCGGTCTCTCTGAAGTCGAAGCTTTCTTGGCCCATGTCTTTAAGTGGAAAAAGCCTTCAGACTTCAGGCCTGGCCGTGCAGCTTGGGGCGGCCATGAAGAGTGTTTGCTGCACCATGCAGGCCGTCAACACTGGTCAGAGTCTGGCAAAAAAACTATTGCCGACCACGCTGCAAGTCGTGCAATCAATTTTTGAACCCCAGGCTATAACCGGTTCAACCCGAATTGCCAAGCAACACAATTCTACCCAATGGACCGAACCCCGGCATGCCCCAGCAACGCCAAGCTTTGGCTTTAGCAGTCACAGCCGCTCCTTAAGGAAAGCACTTCCTGCCGAAGCTGTGGCGCGGGGCCAAACCCCAGAGGCCTCACGGGCAGGATTCGGAGTTTCAGCTCGCAGATCGCTTGGCTTCAGGCTGGCCCGAAGCCTTGTGTGAGTGGGGGGTACCTTCTGACATGAAGAGCCATTGCTGCAGGACCATTGTTGTCCGGAGATCGAGATTCTAGACAGCATTCTGTAGACTTCATGCCCTTAACGGTCTTCTACACGAGCTTGACAAGGCGATAGAAGGGAGCACGCCGGAGTACTCGATCCCTTCGCAACCCTTCAGGAAAAACACCATCTTTAATATTCTCTTGGGTTTTGTATGAACAAAAATAAAATACGATTCCTACAGAGACTATAGGTTTGCGGATCTGAGGCTGGGGCGTTCGAAGAGGCAAGGCTCCCCGTAGAGAGCACCAACATCTCTGAAAGCCTCGGGACAAGGGGGCAACTCTTAAACCCTACTATTGATGTTCTAAAGTCGACCAGATTCCCCAATGCCCCTACATCCATCGACCTGAACATCTCACAGCCCCTGATCCCGAAACCCTCAGAGACCCTACCGTAGACTACCTATCCACCAAATAGACGAAACGAGACGAACAAAAACGCCCGAAAGCCCCGTGTAGACAGAGCTCGGGCCTCGAAAAGAGGAGGCGCCGACGACGTGCCCGGCGTCCAGCAGAGATCTCCCACCTCCCAAGGCACCTGCAAGGCTTCGACTTCGGGGTTTTCAACTTCCGAGTTCCAGGAGCTCAACCTTACCTTTGGTTAGTGGGGAATGGAGGAATGGGGTACAATTATAATCTACTATAACTACCATTCTTCCATTCCGTACTAACCAAAGGTAAGCAACTTGGTGAGTGAAACCTCTGAGGAGCTCTATGCGTCTTGGCTCGACAGCTGCAAACTTTCGGAAGGCATAGGGGAGGGCGTTCGAGTTCCAAGCAATGTCAGCACTGCCGAGGCATCAAGGCCACGCTAGGCAATGAGGAACGAACTTGACTTTAAAACTGCCCTGGCATCTTTGCGGATGGTAGGGATTCTTTTGAAACTCTGAAATTACACGGTCAGGTCAGACCACCCAGGAGTTTCACATGTCTCAGTCTGTCTTCCCGCCGCTGCTGGCGACCTGGCCTCACAGACCAGCGATTTGGAGCACAACATGACCACAGGTTGTTAGTCGTGCATGCCGAGCTCCGAGCTCTACACACCTTCTGTGTCACTGGTTGACACTGCGCGTGCCTTCGTCCTACGAGTACGTAAAATCTCAAGCGAGGTAATATTCCTCGGCTGTTGCCATGAAGCAATCTTGTGGAAGCGATGGTAATGCACTATGCAGGTCTTACCAGAATATCTCTTCTTTGCTGACCTCAGGATGCCGAGAACCACTGTTGAAATTCGGGTGCATCCGTGAAAAGGCAATGTTCCCCAGAATGGAATCTAAAGGAGGTCAGGCTCTGGGGCAATCCACCAGCGAGCTCCTTCAGAGATGCATCGGTGAACAGCTCGTTCTGACAAAAGTCCAAGCTCAAGGAGGTCAGGCTCTGGGGCAATCGACCAGCGAGCTCCTTCAGAGATGCATCGGTGAACAGCTCGTTCTGACAAAAGTCCAAGCTCAAGGAGGTCAGGCTCTGGGGCAATTGACCAGCGAGCTCCTTCAGAGATGCATCCGTAAACAGCTCGTTCTCAGAAAAGTTCAAGCTCAAGGAGGTCAGGTTCTGGGGCAATCGACCAGCGAGCTCCTTCAGAGATGCATCCGTGAACAGCTCGTTCTCAGAAAAGTTCAAGCTCAAGGAGGTCAGGCTCTGGGGCAATCGACCAGCGAGCTCCTTCAGAGATGCATCCGTGAAGTGCAAATTCAGGTGAAAGTCCAAGCTCAAGAAGGTCAGGCTCTGGGGTAATCGACCAGCGAGCTCCTTCAGAGATGCATCCGTAAACAGCTCGCTCTCAAAAAAATTCAAGCTCAAGGAGGTCAGGCTCTGGGGTAATCGACCAGCGAGCTCCTTCAGAGATGCATCCGTGAAGTGCCGATGCGGGTGAAAGTCCAAGCTCAAGGAGGTCAGGCTCTGGCGCAATCGACCAGCGAGCTCCTTCAGCAGAGATGCATCCGTGAAGTGCCGATTCCAGTTACAGTTCAAGCTCAAGGAGGTCAGGCTCTGGGGCAATCGGCCAGCGAGCTCCTTCAGAGATGCATCCGTGAAGTGCCGAAAGTCCAAGCTCAAGAAGGTCAGGCTCTGGGGTAATCGACCAGCGAGCTCCTTCAGAGATGCATCCGTGAAGTGCCAATTCAGGTGAAAGTCCAAGCTCAAGAAGGTCAGGCTCTGGGGTAATCGACCAGCGAGCTCCCTCAGAGATGCATCCGTGAACAGCTTGTTCTGACAAAAGTCCAAGCTCAAGGAGGTCAGGCTCTGGGGCAATCGACCAGCGAGCTCCTTCAGAGATGCATCCGTGAAGTGCCGATTCCAGTTAAAGTGCAAGCTCAAGGAGGTCAGGCTCTGGGGCAATCGACCAGCGAGCTCCTTCAGAGATGCATCCGTGAAGTGCCGATTCCAGTTAAAGTGCAAGCTCAAGGAGGTCAGGCACTGGGGCAATCGACCAGCGAGCTCCCTCAGAGATGCATCCGTGAACAGCTCGTTCTGACAAAAGTCCAAGCTCAAGGAGGTCAGGCTCTGGGGCAATCGACCAGCGAGCTCCTTCAGAGATGCATCGGTGAACAGCTCGTTCTGACAAAAGTCCAAGCTCAAGGAGGTCAGGCTCTGGGGTAATCGACCAGCGAGCTCCTTCAGAGATGCATCGGTGAACAGCTCGTTCTGACAAAAGTCCAAGCTCAAGGAGGTCAGGCTCTGGGGCAATTGACCAGCGAGCTCCTTCAGAGATGCATCCGTAAACAGCTCGTTCTCAGAAAAGTTCAAGCTCAAGGAGGTCAGGTTCTGGGGCAATCGACCAGCGAGCTCCTTCAGAGATGCATCCGTGAACAGCTCGTTCTCAGAAAAGTTCAAGCTCAAGGAGGTCAGGCTCTGGGGCAATCGACCAGCGAGCTCCTTCAGAGATGCATCCGTGAAGTGCAAATTCAGGTGAAAGTCCAAGCTCAAGAAGGTCAGGCTCTGGGGTAATCGACCAGCGAGCTCCTTCAGAGATGCATCCGTAAACAGCTCGCTCTCAAAAAAATTCAAGCTCAAGGAGGTCAGGCTCTGGGGTAATCGACCAGCGAGCTCCTTCAGAGATGCATCCGTGAAGTGCCGATGCGGGTGAAAGTCCAAGCTCAAGGAGGTCAGGCTCTGGCGCAATCGACCAGCGAGCTCCTTCAGCAGAGATGCATCCGTGAAGTGCCGATTCCAGTTACAGTTCAAGCTCAAGGAGGTCAGGCTCTGGGGCAATCGACCAGCGAGCTCCTTCAGAGATGCATCCGTGAAGTGCCGAAAGTCCAAGCTCAAGAAGGTGAGGCTCTGGGGTAATCGACCAGCGAGCTCCTTCAGAGATGCATCCGTGAAGTGCCAATTCAGGTGAAAGTCCAAGCTCAAGAAGGTCAGGCTCTGGGGTAATCGACCAGCGAGCTCCCTCAGAGATGCATCCGTGAACAGCTTGTTCTGACAAAAGTCCAAGCTCAAGTTGGTCAGGCTCTGGGGCAATCGACCAGCGAGCTCCTTCAGAGATGCATCCGTGAACAGCTCGTTCTGACAAAAGTCCAAGCTCAAGGAGGTCAGGCTCTGGGGCAATCGACCAGCGAGCTCCTTCAGAGATGCATCTGTGAAGTGCCGATTCCAGTTAAAGTGCAAGCTCAAGGAGGTCAGGCTCTGGGGCAATCGACCAGCGAGCTCCCTCAGAGATGCATCCGTGAACAGCTCGTTCTGACAAAAGTCCAAGCTCAAGGAGGTCAGGCTCTGGGGCAATTGACCAGCGAGCTCCTTCAGAGATGCATCCGTAAACAGCTCGCTCTCAAAAAAATTCAAGCTCAAGGAGGTCAGGCTCTGGGGTAATCGACCAGCGAGCTCCCTCAGAGATGCATCCGTGAAGTGCCGATGCGGGTGAAAGTCCAAGCTCAAGGAGGTCAGGCTCTGGCGCAATCGACCAGCGAGCTCCTTCAGCAGAGATGCATCCGTGAAGTGCCGATTCCAGTTACAGTTCAAGCTCAAGGAGGTCAGGCTCTGGGGCAATCGACCAGCGAGCTCCTTCAGAGATGCATCCGTGAAGTGCCAAATCAGGTGAAAGTCCAACCTCAAGAAGGTCAGGCTCTGGGGTAATCGACCAGCGAGCTTCTTCAGAGATGCATCCGTGAAGTGCCAATTCAGGTGAAAGTCCAAGCTCAAGAAGGTCAGGCTCTGGGGTAATCGACCAGCGAGCTCCCTCAGAGATGCATCCGTGAACAGCTCGTTCTGACAAAAGTCCAAGCTCAAGGAGGTCAGGCTCTGAGGCAATCGACCAGCGAGCTCCTTCAGAGATGCATCCGTGAACAGCTCGTTCTGACAAAAGTCCAAGCTCAAGGAGGTCAGGCTCTGGGGCAATCGACCAGCGAGCTCCTTCAGAGATGCATCCGTGAAGTGCCGATTCCAGTTAAAGTGCAAGCTCAAGGAGGTCAGGCTCTGGGGCAATCGACCAGCGAGCTCCCTCAGAGATGCATCCGTGAACAGCTCGTTCTGACAAAAGTCCAAGCTCAAGGAGGTCAGGCTCTGGGGCAATTTACCAGCGAGCTCCTTCAGAGATGCATCCGTGAACAGCTCGTTCTCAGAAAAGTTCAAGCTCAAGGAGGTCAGGTTCTGGGGCAATCGACCAGCGAGCTCCTTCACAGATGCATCCGTGAACAGCTCGTTCTCAGAAAAGTTCAAGCTGAAGGAGGTCAGGCTCTGGGGCAATTGACCAGCGAGCTCCTTCAGAGATGCATCCGTGAACAGCTCGTTCTCAGAAAAGTTCAAGCTCAAGGAGGTCAGGCACTGGGGCAATCGACCAGCGAGCTCCTTCAGAGATGCATCCGTGAACAGCTCGTTCTGAGAAAAGTTCAAGCTCAAGGAGGTCAGGCTCTGGGGCAATCGAGCAACGAGCTCCTTCAGAGATGCATCCGTGAGCTTCATGCTATTCGCGAAATCCAAGCCCAAGGAGGTCAGGCTCTGGGGCAATTGTTCAGCGACGGCCTGCAAGGAAACTCGGAGGTGTGCCTATGGCCTATGAGTCACATTGCAGTTCCTTCACGGCTTCAGGTGCTCTCTTCATGTACACTCTGCGAGTAGTCAACTATGCAAAATTACTGTTAAGTCTGAGAACCAGCTTGAAGCCAAATCACAGGCTTGGAACAAACGACGACATCACGCCTGCATGGTTTCGTCAGTCAGCTGCATGAGCTCAAACAGCTGCACCAAGAGCGCGGTTTCCAAGCAGCCCTGCTTGACTGACATCTGGCATAGCTGGGAATCATCAACATCTTCTTGCTTCTTCAAGATGTTTACCTCCAGGGCGAACGGCTCCAGAGTGGTCGGCTGTGCTGCAAGCTTGACCACACCGTCATAAGGTTGTACTGCCTGCCGAAGCTCCCCGCACAGCCCTATGGCAAACGGTATCTTGCCAGTGCCTTCCAATGCAGCTGCTTCCAGCAGTGAGCAGATCTCCAGCGGTGAGGTGGCCTCGTCCTGCAGCAGCTCTTGCCAGTCGAGGCTTCCAGTCAAATGCTCCGACTCGAGTCGAAACCGCCGGAGCTCCTTTCTGTGATTCTCTCTGGGCGCGCCGCACGCCTCCATGGCCTTGAGCAGGACAAGGCCGGCCCGCAGGAAGAGCCCCAAAAAGGACCGGAAGATCCTGCAGGACTGGTCCCGGAGCCCAGCAATGCAGGCCTCATAAACCTTGCGTTTGGCCGCGTGCAGGCGCATGAACCACTCGGGCATCTTGCCGTCCTGCCATGTGGGCAGCATGTCCGGGTGCTGAACGACCAGGTCGACCATAGCCTCCAAGTCGAGCGCCCTTTCCCACTCGCTCGCGTGTATGATGTAGGATCGCAGCTCCCGCGCCGTCTCTGCCATGCCCTGTGCCAGCCGGGCAAGGTCACTGCGCACCAAAGCCACGTCCACCTGCATCTGCTGCCTCACCTCCGTGGCCACAGTCAGGAAACTGTTTTCTTTTGAAACTGCCGAGGCCGATGTCCCAACGAAGCCTGTTTGCACAAAGCCCACCAAGGGCAAATAGGGCTCGGCATCTCTCAACATTGTCAAAGCCTGCCCTGTCTGGATATGGCCCTCCGTGGCATCGTGAAGTGTGCTGAGATACGATTCCGGGTTGCCGGCCATCGAGTGGCTGTAAGGTGTAGGCACCCAAAGGTTGGTCATTGTCCTTCCAAGCCAAACTGCTGGCACGACATGCTGAAAGTCGCAGAAGCTCCCTACCAGCTCCTTCAAACGAGGAATCGGGTCCGCCCGGTTCGCGAAACGGACTGTCACCCTGTCCAAACCCATGTCTGCATAGCATTGTCCTAGCTCCTCACTTCCTAGCGGCGGGCTGCCAAAGGTGACCACTGCCGCCACAGGCCAGCGGAGAGCACAGAGATGGACGGCTGCCAAAGTGGCCAAGGTCGCACCCAAGGAGTGACCTGAAAGATGGATCTCGGAGGGCGGTGGACGGCGGCTCTCAAGCCACTGCACAACATCTGCCTTCACTGTTAGATATGCTTGCTGGAAGCCTTTGTGCACCAGAACGGCTTTGGAATCCGAGCCAGGCGCAAGCTGAGGGCTCAAAGCAACGGCCTTTGTGTCCAGATCGGCAGAGAGATTTGCATAGTTGCCCACACCAGTAGAATCAGCAAACACTGTGCCTCGGAAGCCCAACTCCACAACTCCAGGACTCACATCGCGGCCAACTACTCGCGTGTTTGTGGCTCGTCGGTCGGCCACGACCTCCCACAGGAATCCTGCCTCTTCGACAAGAGTCTGGCCCAAATTCTGGCGGACGGCATTGTAAGGAGCCCTTGCAAGTCGCCAGTACCCCTCGAGTTGGCTGCCCTTGAAGGAGCCACCGGCAAGCAACTTCTCTGCTAAAGAGAGTCCCCCCGCTTCGCCGTCGGGCCAAGCCGGAGATGGAGCCTCGCTGCATTCTTCAAGGCTTGCCGGACAGCTGGGCCTAAGCAGAGGTGCCCTCAGAGCAATGTTGGGCACATTCCATGGAGCTTCACTTCGAGCAGTGGGCTCGCATTCATCGGAGCTTGCTAGACTATTTGCGGGAGGCTCTTGCAGGTCATGATCTGTGCCATCTGTGCTCATATCAGCTGGAACAACCACTCTGCTAGGTGTGCCGGGTGCGGCCAGGCGCAAGGCCTCTTGAGCGGCTTCCTCCGCGCCGGCCCGCAGCTGGTCTTGGAATGCTTGAAGTTGGGCATGTCTGCTTGCCAAGTCCTCACGAAGGCGTTGGATCTCAGCCTCTTTGCTCGCCAAATCTTCGTGACACCGTCGCACCGTGCTCTCCTTGGCCTCCAGGCTTGCCTCTAATCGAGATAGCTTCTGCAAGATCTCGGGGGACAGCGGCAGGGCACTGTGTGCCGTATCCTGACCGCTCCCAATTCCTTCCAGGTCCTTTCCCTTGTTCACCAGGAGCTCCAAAGCCTCTGTAAACTGCAAAGAACCCGATCGCATGATGTCTTCCGCTGTCAGTTTGGTGAAGCTGAGCTTTTCCAGGCATTGCAGAAAGTCTCCCTCGTCGTCGCTCTCAGCCACAACGGTATGTGGAGGACCCCGGCTGGCCACAAGCACGTACTTCTTGAAGCTTGAACCGGAGCCAGTGAGCATGGAGAAGAGGCCCCAGCCGACTTTCCGGAAACCTCGCAGATGTGACACCAATCACCACAAATTAAAATCAAGCAGGCAGCAAACTGCAAAATCCTCCCCTCCCGGAAGGAAGTCCCTCAGAAAAAGCACATCGGCCTCGAAAGGCGCCTGCAGCATTCACCGGCTCCCAGTTGCCATCGTCCTCCCACTCCCGGAAACTCGCGGTCTCGAGGAACGGCATCACCTCAGCTCCAAACCGCCGACAGCCGAGTAAGCTGCCTGCAAACTACAAACTACAGCAAGGCAGTAGAAGCCATCACCATGCAAGGACAGCAGCGCACAACAACAACCACCGTCATGAGGCATTTGCAACCGTGGCAGGAGTAGAAAGCCAACCGCTTGCTTCACATACGTGACGTCGTGTACGAAAGCCAGCGAGTCACACCTTTTCCATCTAATCCTGCCGACCGAGCTGTGTAACTCACAGTTTCCACACGGTCCAAAAATATTTGCAGACGAGCGGCGAAGCAGTGAGAGGAGTGCAAGACTACTGCAGAGAGTGTGGGGCAAGGGGTCCCAGGTTTTCCTGACGTGTGCGGAGCCGAAACTCGGCGCGAGCCATGACATGCCGAATATTTCTCATCCTGACGGACACCACAGAGAAATTGAATGAACTAGACCGTGTCTGGCACTTTCAGTCAGTTCTTACAGCCTGCAGCAATCCTTTGGCACCTCTGCGAAGCATGTGGCCCGCAGCTTGCTGTAGCCAGGGCCTTCAAGGAAAGCATCGCAACAAAGATACGTGGAATGCATAATATCACAACCTGGACACGCAGGCCCCGAATGGAAGAACCTGTGAGCCCGAGTTCTTATATGGGCTATGCAGGGAGTGGATGTGGCGACTCGGCTGACACTTGGCTCATCTGACCAGGGTGTCGCAGGCCTCTGTGGTTGGTAAACACACGCCGAACTCGAAATTGAACGTATAGATTACATAGGAGCGCACCTACATGCATGCATGCATACATGCATATGCGCAGGACTACACCTAGCACTTCTCTTCGGACAGGAATGTCGAGGAGTCTTTAGCCTGGGTTTCGCATCCAAGTCCGATGCCCATCGTCTGGTTTTCCGATTCCAAGTTGTAGCGGGCTTCTAGGGTCTGATCTGTGCCCGGTTTGCGAAGGCTGCTAGGCATATCATCCAGCAAGCAGAGGCCGCTTCTAACAGTGCAGGCCCAGTCGCGTGATGCGGGTGCTTACGGAGAACACGAGCGCCACGAGGGTCAGCTTCGAGGTCTTACCTTCGAACATGATGAGTGGCGAACTCAGCCACTAGCTCACAAGCTGGCAAACCCTTGCAACTAAAAGCCGTATCATCTATTCAACTCTATCAGCCTGGGTGATGGGAAATCAAGTGGCAATCAGCACAACAGGTCGAGGGTGAGTTGTCCCCTGGAGATCCTCCAAATCAGACTCACTGGAGATGTCGAACACCAGCGGGTGACAATCTTGCAAACCTGGTTAATGCATGTTAATGCTGGGGCAACACTGTTTTAGTTTAGGGTGTTGCTAGGGATCATCAGGTTGTGACATTGCAAACCTCGATCCCCAAATTACGGCTCAGAATTTCCTTAGTGATGCAACACCCTAAGTCCGCGACCAACCCGAAAACCTACTCTGGGCCGCGGGCTCATCCGTCGAGCGGTCTGGGGCAAATGTTGCGCCGCAGCCATGGTCTTCTCTCATTGGGGGCTTAGGGCTCTGGGCAGGTATAGGATTTTTTTTGTAAAGTGGTGCTTGAGGCTTCCAGCCCAGCTGTGCACAAGATGCCAAGCCTAAGGAGGCAAACTTCCTCAGTCTGGACCTGCCTTGCTGTCTCTCTTCAGCGCCATTGTGGTCACGGTGTGATTCGAGGCTGCTCAGCTTCTAGGCTCTCTCGCCATGCTCGTGCAGAACGTCCCCAGCCCCGTTGTTCCTCACATGTGCCCGCTACGCTTTGAGCCGGAGGCCCGAGCATTGCAAACACTGTGAGCTTCCGATCCTATGAAGTGTTGGAAAGCTGCTTCGGAGAGTAAGAGCAATGAAACCAAGTTCCCTTAAGCCTTACACCTTTCAATCCCACATCCCAAGCCTTGAACTTTAGTTCTTGAGCCCCAACACACACTAAGCCCTAAACTCCAGCCGAGAAGCTTGCCCTGCGGAGAGAACTTGAAAGGGCCCGAAGGGCTTGGAATTGGAGAGCTCAGGAAAGCTTCAAGGAAGACTCCGCAGGGCGTATGTAGCTCAACCCAAGGGCCCGCGGCGAAGAGCCAGAGTCAAGAGTACCAAAGAGTATCCTGATGCCGTAGTGATAACGGCCCTAGAATCCAGAAGTCCTGAACCTGTAAGGGTTTCCTGTGCACCAATACTATTTTGGGGGTTCCTTATTATAACTATGGTAAAGTATCCGCCCCCCCCCCCCCCCCCCCCCCCCCCCCCCCCCCCCCCCCCCCCCCCCCCCCCCACCGAAAAAAATCTAGTCTAATTGCTCAGGCGCTTCTATTACTACTCTGACCCAGCAAGTCGGACAGGAGATCGAGCGCCCACTGAGAGCAGGAGCCCAGCTGCCATGGTCTCCCCGAGCCATCGGCACAAAGCAGAGTCGCCTTGGGATAACACCTAAGTTCTCGGCGGTGTATGTGTGCAGAGAGTATGGGTTGTGGCTTTCGCAATTCTTGGAGGATGGTGCGCCATTTAGCTAATCGGTGGCTAATCGCCAGCTCGTGCAATGGTACAGTGTGGACAACAACAAACTCCGGGGTGCATGGTCAACACGGCCGTGCACCACAGAATACAGTTGCAGCAAGACGTGGAGCAGCTCTTTTTGTGGGTCGGGCTCAGCTTCCATGTCCAAGGTCTGCAGATCGGAGACCGCTGAGCCGAGAGCTGCTGGGATGCACATGAAGGTCTCCTACGGCTACATTACCTTTGGTTAGTAGGAAATGGAGGAATGGGGTACAATTATAACTACTACTACTACTACTACTACTACTACTACTACTACTACTACTACTACTACTACTACTACTACTACTACTACTACCATTCTTCCATTCCCTACTAACCAAAGGTAAGCTACAGAGATCCCGTGTCCTCATGAGTCTGGCGGGGTTTCCGGTGGCGCTCCCAAGGGTCTAGCAGCAAAGGACAGAAACCCGATTCTTTTCCAAGAGCCACACCTCCTGACAGGTTCTCGGAATCAAAATGATTCCACACCCTCTCATGGCCACCGCCAGAGGGGCATAGGAACACCCTCTTTTTGGGAAAGGTTCAAGCCCTCTGTCCAATCCAAAGCTTGCCATAATTGCTTTGGTTTCCATTTCCAACCGCATCAGGAGAACTATACCATGTAGCTTGGGGCGCGGGTCTTGCTGCAGGTAAGCTTGTGCAGGATGGAGACTTGGTGTGGCAACTTACAACACTTCAGGAGGGCATACTGTTGGATGCCGCATCCAGAACACTGCCACACATCAAAGAGACGGCGCTTGCTAGCTAGCTGTCTCTTCATTAATATGGGCCCTGCTTTGATGCTGGCTGAACACGTGCTGCTACTCGCGAACGCATCTGGCGCAATGCTTCCGAAACCACAAGGACTGCAAGACTCAGGAGCTTGGGCAGCACTTCCACCAAGCGGACGCGTAGACTTTCACAGGATAACATGTGCAGTGAGAGGGAACGACATCTTGGAAACCAACATCGGCAACATCTGTTAGCCATTAACCTCCCCAAGGACGAAAGACATCCTTTTTCTCGAGACAGCTTTGCGAATTTTTGCGAAGATTACAGCCCAAATACCCTTACGTAAAGTTCGCTGAGGCTAGATGCCGCTGTACCGTAAAAGGGACCCCCAAAATAGGTTCCCTTATAACAACCCAAGGACGACTCGGAACCCAGTGTCTTCCAGGCTACCGTCCCATGAAGCTCCAGAGCTGCATGGTGTTTCGGAGCATATTGGCACACCATCAGCGCAGCAGCCGGCAGATCTGCTAGAATCTAGTAACTAGTGAAAAGGGCAGGCAAGCTCGCAAGACTTGGCCTGAACTAGTAATAACTAGTGCCATTGCGGTTTACAAGTTCCAACACTCTTGAAACCCGGGACGCTTGCAGAAGCCTGCACAATGTCACTACTGCATGTCCCCCTGCAGGATGTTCGGCAGAACCTGAGCAAGCGTCATGACGCAACACAGCACTGCCGCACTCAGACTTGAAGTTGCAAGATGGATGCCAAAGCGTGCAGCCCAGTCCCCTGGTGCTGAGGACTACACCATCTGGAGCAGGTGGTTCCTGGCAAAAGGCTGCTCAAGTCGCACGTGCCGATGCACCCCGGGGCATACATGGAGTGTTCTCGCATGTGTTGTGTCTGAGCTAAGTGCACGAGTCACGGCGGAGTACTTACTTGGCTTGCACTACAAGTAAGGGCCGTACACATGTCGTCCATCTTCTTCCAGCACGAGAGGCTCTAGCAAGATACAGTTCAACCGCCGCAGTTGCTGGCATCAGTCTGGAAGCAAAACATGCAAGATTCGACGTTAACAAAGTTGCGCCCTCGGCATCGACAGGACCTGACACGACAAGGGATGCGCAACTGCAAACCACAGGGTCAAGGCTGCAAGCGAACCTTGCTCTCGCCAATCTCTGTACAAGACATTGCGAAGATAGACAATGCAGTTTGATTTCACCCAGGCTTTCGGAGCATCCGCGGCACTGCCCATTAATTTGCTGGCGCTGCTTCGCCAAATTCCTACTGCCAATCCCCTCCGCAAATGCTGCGATAGTTTGCTGCAGGAAAAGATTCTGTAGGAAGTGCCTTTTCTTGTAACCGGTCAGACCTGTTCGGATACCCCAACTTGCGGGATGTTTCATCATGAATCATGAATCTTGTAGGACAGTTCCTCATAATAAGCGATCTGCCGATACCTGGAACTCCGCACAACCCTGACTACCGTGCGCATCCAGGGGCCACGGTTCGCCACCAGCTTGGCGAACTTGCCACTCCAATAGGAGACCATGGCTTCGTAGCCAGCCTGGCCCAGGGCAACCAGAAAGATTCCACTTCTTCGAGTTCGAGCACTGGTCTGCTTGTACCCTTCCCCAGCCAGCTCGGCAAGGCCAGAAACCAGTCATTTAGTAGCCCATGAAGCTACTTGACAGTCGGGCAACCTTCATGTTCTAAGCGACTTATCTTCAGCTCGTCAGATCCTCGTGGCTTTACGTCCCGCACAGACTCCAGACATGACTTCAACCCCCGAATCCAAACATCAAGTGCGCCAAACAAAACCTAGCTTAGCCCCAACCCTATCCAACCCTTGAAAAACCGAAGCTTCTTAACAACTCTGCGATACAGACCACTCCCACCCCCCCCCAAAGGCATCAAATTCTTCTGGCGCCTGGGCGTTGAGCAGCCTTGATCGTTGCAGGTACTTCACGTCCAAGAACCTGAGCAACTTCGTCAACTTTCCGGGTTTCGTGGGGTTCCTTTGACGGGGTCGATAAGGGTTACTATAAGGGATCTATCAGGGTACTGACTAGAATAGGGTTTCACGGGGCAGTGACAAAGACAACTCGATTCACTACCTGCTGTAATACGCCGCTGCCTCGACACATCGAAGGGGTAGAAGTCAGAGGGTAGGCATCCCAATTGCGGTGCTAGTGCTGCAAGATTGCATTCTCTCCCGGCCCACGCTGAGCCCGGAAGGATCGTAGGCAAAAGCCAGATGCTCTGGATAGAGGCCGAACTGGCGACAGAGCTGTAACCTGGGTTGGCTTGACAAGAACACCGAACCCTTGGAGCAACCGCCATTGATGCTAAGCGTGAATGCAACCACCCTGCTTTCCACCTCTAGAGAACCGACTCGCTTGTTGGAGTTCATGGCCACGAAGCGCAAAAAATGTTCTAAGACCATGCCAAGCTACAGAAGCTGGATTTCATCGTCAGATGTTTCCACCATTGGCGGCTGCACGTCGTTTGCTGCAAAAAGTGGGAAGCCTTGCACAAAAGCAGCGCTGTTGCAGTGTCTCTCAAGCCTAATCGGCCCAGTATGCTTGTCTTCAGCTATCCCATGCTGTTCACGGTCATAATGCCAAGTAAATGCGGTCACAGCAGTGTGAACTTACCTTTGGTTAGTAGGGAATGGAAGAATGGTAGTAATAGTCGTTATAAGTTATGATTGTACCCCATTCCTCCATTCCCTACTAACCAAAGGTAAGTGAATGCAGAAGCCGAGAGTCGCTAGTGGCATTCTGCTGTGGCGGATGCAGGCAAGAGGCTGTGCTGATGGCTGCCCAGGAATCCAACGTGCCGCCAAATCCGAGGCCCTGTCATGATGACTCTGCTGCATGCTCGTAACCGTGATTGCGAAGCCGAACTCCCACTCCAAAAAGGCAACATTCCAGAATCGAAAGCTCCCACAACTTCACCAGCCTTGATTCCAAGAGGAGCTTTGGGATCCCCCGGATTCCGGGCCCTGCGCACGCTGAGATCATGTCAAGCTGGCGGTTTGTGAGGAAACCTTGTTGTCCCCTGAAATGAAGTCTGGTGTTGGCACGGAATGAGGCTCATGCATCATCACAAGCTCTTCTCAATCGCCATTTCTGGGCCAAAGCTTCGAAGAGCCGGGCTGTGAATATACGTGCTGAACAGGTCAAGCCATTGTGCGACGAGACTTTCATTACGGTAACGACATCTACCACCTCCAGCATGCCCTACAGGAGTACATGCAAGGCTTTGCTAGCCACGAGCACTGCCGAGCCGCCTATCTAAATTTGTACCTCCCCTCCGCCCTAAGCAAGGCAACACTGGGCGAAACGAGACAGCCAGAAAGAGACTTTGACAAGTAGCTGCACTGAGCAAACAGGCGCAAGTAAACATACTATTTAGGTGCAAGCAGATCATGTATGAGGGCACATGTCCTTGTCAGCAGGCTCCAGCAAGATACACTAGAGCAGCCTGAAACCTGCTATCAACCTCTTAACCGCTCACTCCGGCTCCTCTTCTGGAGGCTGGGAGTGGTTCACGCGATCGTAGGCTGCCTGCACTTTCGGATACATGCTCAAGGTAAACAAACCACGGTGATCCATTCAGATCAAGCACTCCCCGCGTTAGTTCAGTTAGTTCCCCTGGAATCGGCCGTCGGATCGCCGTCGTCAATTTGGACCATCGCACCTACCCATGAAGAACACAACATGCCATAATGACCCATACTATTTTGTAGGTTCCTTATCATAACCATAGTATAGTGGGCCACAAAGCCCTATTCTAATTATTAAGCCCCTGTGTTCCCCCAGCCTGGAGTGCACGATTAAGATCCAAAGGCACGGGTGTCGGTGACGGCGCCTGGCCCGGCTGTCACGAGAGGCGTAAGATTCAAACGACCCCTATAGATCCCTTTAAAGGAACCCTAGGAACCCTATAGATCCCTTCACAGGAACCCTAGGAACCCTATAGATCCCTTTAAAGGAACCCTAGGAACGAGAGCAAAGCTGCCTTGGCGGCGAAGATGCGCAAGCCCTCCTGGCATACGATAACAGTCTTTATTAGGGCCCTCATACAGTAACAGTCTATAAAGGGCTCCTGTCAAGGTCCTAATGGCGTACGATAGTCTATCTTAGCCTGGCGTGCTATGCATTATAGCATATTATAGCTATGCACCCCCATAGGGGTCTGAGAAGACGATATCATGCCGACCACACACTTCCTGCACTCAACACTGCTAAGCAGCAAAAACGCTGCATGCAAACTCTACTCAAGAGCTCTGGATCCAAATTTTACTCCTGAGGCTACAGTATGCTGCAGTAGTTCCAGCTCACGCACGAGCATCTCGACTCTCCTGGATTGGGTCGTCCACCCCGTCGTCCATCGTCATGGATCGTGACTGGGCCTGCCGACGCTTCAGTTTGTCTTCGGCTGATCGATTGGGGACGAAGAGCTTCGTCCTGGTTCATGCCAATGTCTGCAGAGTATGCCCGACGAGCCCATGAAGTTCGAACAAGGCTTTCTTCGGAGCTCCGAAACCGAGGGTGACATCTTCAGTAGTGATTCTCCTCTCACAAGCTGCAAGGATCACTGAATTGGGAACCTTCCAAAGACTTCAGCGCTGATGCCTGGTTCAACTGGATCTGATGCCAGTCAGCGGCCGACAGGATCGGCTTGACTCTCAGCACTTCCGTGAAGAATTGGTAAGCCGCCTCTTCAGGGCCACTCCCAAGATCCACAGCGCATTTATCTGGTCTAAACCGCTGAAGATGCATGCACGAGCTTCTGCAAAATGGCTGAGGTCCCGAGCTGCTGTTCGTTTTTGTCGTACTTTCTGGTCTTTCTGAGTTCAGGTACGAAGAATACGAAAAGACTGCCCGCCTCCCTTTCTTCACCCTGGCCGTAGTGCTTCTCCAGTGCAGACTCCTGGTGCCCGGTCAGGCTTGCAAAACTAGATGCACAAACACGAGGAAAAACAACTCTAACATATGACCAATGGCAGCCGCAACTCAAACCGTAATGACAGTGATGATGACAATGGTTATGATGATGATGATGATGGTATGATGACGAATATGCTGATGATGCTACTGATGATATTGATGACGTTGGTGGTGATGATGCTGATGATCATTATCAACATGATGATGACGATGATGAGATGAGGAGCAGGACGGTGGACATGGTGACAACTTCGGCATGGTGAAGAAAACGATGATGGTGATGATGAGGATGATGATGCTGATAATGGCGCTAGTGGTGATGGGGATGACGAATATGCTGATGATGCTACTGATGATATTGATGACGTTGGTGGTGATGATGCTGATGATCATTATCAACATGATGATGACGATGATGAGGAGCAGCACGGTGGACATGGTGACAACTTCGGCATGGTGAAGAAAACGATGATGGTGATGATGAGGATGATGCTGATAATGGCGCTAGTGGTGATGGGGACGACTGTGATCGTGGTAGTGATAAAGGCTGCTGTAGCTGGCAGTGATCATGGACTGTGGCTGTAAGTCTGCTGACATTCACAACTGGTAGGCTAAATCTGCAAATTTAGTGGCGAGAAAGGCCGGGTTTTGCAACCCACATACGCCTTGGGGCTCTGAGGGTGAAGCCGGGTGAAGGGGCATGCACTAGAGTCCTTGCCTCGGCCAGGGTTCCGTGCAACGGGGCGTCCACCGACCAGTAGGCTTCGCTCATCGTCAGAATCCTGCGGTCGAATCGGACGGGCTGAGACCTTCAGGTCTTAGTCTTCTCCTGTGGTAAGGTCCTATATCGATTAGGTGGTGTCGGGGGCAAGGGCTGTGCAGGAGACAGCGGCAAGGATGTAGGAGCTACTCGAAGAAGGCAGCGCGCCCTCACGCCGGCTTTGCTCAGATGCAAATCGCAAGCTTGAAAGCCGTCTCCCGGTCGTCCATCCTAACTTTCCCTGTGCTCGAGCGTACACAACAACCCTAGTAGCAAACTGCATGCCCCAAAGACCGAAAACCATCTTCCGCCATCTGGCGGTGAACTCCGAAACTTCAGTCAGTCACAATCGCCGGCAGCACAGCAGCACTACTCTCCTACAACTGATGCTCGGCAGTCCTGCATTGCACATCAAAGCCAGGAATCACGATCATGCGGTGCTGGACGAAGTGGTTGAACACCGTTGTCTCCGGACCTGAAAGGTTTCAAGCCGCGATGTGCTGCTTTTGCTTGACTGTGGGGGTCGTCAGGCCTGTGTCAATCCGGTGTTGAGGACTAAGCAACATGGCTTGAGCACTCTTTTCTTTTTCCTGTACACCAGGAGCAATTGACTGCGAGCGCATAATATCTGCGCGAGAGTGGTGCGGAACGTTGCAGGTTGGATAGCTCATGCCACGTAAACATCAGTGACATAACCGTTTGTTAACAACAGTGACTCATTCAAGTACAGCTTCTGCAGCGAATATAGCAAAACACACAAACAAACACACGGGCGGCAAAATGAGTCTTTGCAGTTCTAACAGCTGAAAGACGGGGCGTGATTGCTACTGCTGGTATGGCGACATGCCACTACGTTAGTCGGCCGTTCACCATATATTCCTATAGATGGTTGCGGGGAGCTGGCGAGTTCAGCAGGAGGCACTCCTGCCCTTTGTAGCATCAACGTGCTGACGTATGTAGTGCATGCAGATGTGCGAGAACCTACCAGTGTGTGACATGTCTCGGGATTGATAAACAAAGCAGCTGCATAAAACAACCCGCTCATTCGTTCGCTTGCAACAGGCGCGGAGTACTTATATGTGACGGCGACTCTCAGCCCTTCCTGCATGATTGCCACAAGCGCTTCCAATGCTGCCTTCAAAGGCTCCATGTACCTTTAATTATGGTAGATACTTAAGCCTTCAAGAGGTCCCCATATGGGTACTTTAAGGCCTAAGTATATACTATATGGGTACATGGAGCCTTAGGGGCTGAGGATTCTTCTCTAGGTGAAAGCGAGGGGCGCTTGTTTCCGCCGACTGGCGGCTGGAATCGCACCTAAGCTGTGCAAACTGGCTGAGTGTTTAATTTAGGGGTCTCAATCATAATAAGGAGCCACCAAAATAGAATAGGGTTCTGGGGCCCATTATAATACTATAGTAATGATAAGGAGCCCCCAAAATAGTATTGGTAATTATTTAATCCCCTATAGGTCGCGGCCTTAGACACACAGTGCAGCAAAAGAATTAGGCCCATATATCATGGGGATTCGGGCTCGAGAGTTAGGCTGTGCTGAGCGGTCAAGACACGAAACCACCAATCGGATCCACCTCCCCCACGCAGAGCTTCACCAGCTCCTTCGGATGTACTCTGACATAGAACCAGCGGTTTATGGTTTAGGGGCTTCATCTACCATCTTTTTTTCTGCCTCTGCAACTAGCTCCCAAAGCCTAACAAAGACTTGGCACAACCATTCCCTAGAAGACAGGAAGTTGCAAACCCCAGCGATGAGCTCGAATGCTTGATCTACTCCTACAATTACTTCTAGTGACTCTAGCTGACCCGATCGAGTCGGGATATTGCGTTTTGCACACTGCGCGCCCAGTTTTCCTCTTTGCCTACGGCTGTCTTGTGTGCCTCGCTACGACACATACGGGTAGTTCTTCGTGGTCTCTGCTTAACTTAAGTCTTCATCTGTCCCAATAGCTGTTGAACTTGCTTCTACTATCTTGGCTGACATGTTCCTTTGCCTTACTGCCACTATAGTCATGTTGCATGTCTTACATATTACTGCTACTGTAAGTATAGCCGGGCTTAGAATATCAAGAGGTTCAAAGCCGCGCTACAAGAGTCTTCGGTCCGGAGCTGAAAGCCATGAGCTACAGAGGAAGCCTCGGCTGCAGAGCATGGTTACCCAGAGAACCCAATCAATATCCCTGAATTAAGGAATATACCAAAAACAACCTTAAAACATAAGATTAAGCCCCCTAGTACTTAGATTACTTAAGGTATATATACTCCTTAACTAAGGGGTATTGGGATCTTCCTTTTAGGGACCGGAGAGGCTTCAGCTTGGGACCCTTCCAGGCCCAGGCTCCTCCACGACCTTCTTGGCTGCGGGAAACAGCTGGGAGGCTGCTGTCTGCGCATGGATAGGCACCTTGCCGAACTTCGAGGCTAAGGCACACCCAGAAGGAGGGAGGAGAGAGAGAGAGAGAGAGAGAGAGGGGGGGGGAGCGGGGGGAGGGGGGAGGGGGGAGGGAGGGAGGGAGGGAGGGAGCCTTGTAGAGTTAGTGTAGGCAGCTAGGCTGCTTCTGAAAGGATCATGCAAGCCTCTGCGGTGTCTCCTTCTACTCCGTGGCATGTTTGGGTCAGGTGGATCTCGAGAGACTGCTGCACACCCCGCAGCTGTCCAGGGGACCCAACCCTCAACTTGAACTCTGCGTACCGAGGTGCTTTGCCAGCCATGCGCTCTGGTCGAAACGGATGAGCCTAAGAGAAAACATGCTGCTGTTTCACGCCGGACGCACCGCAAAAGGTCTCTTGCTGCGTTCCGAGCTGCTCGCGAGCCTGAGTGCTGGAACAAGGGAAATCCGACGAGCAACACTTGGGAAGCCGATCCCCGCGGCACTTAATTTACTGCGACGGTCTGCGAGATGGAGGTCTACCAGAGCTCTTAAGCCGCCGTTGTAGTTCACTCAGCCCTCACTAAGATGGGCCAGCCGGGGAAGGTCCTTTGTAGACTCGTTTTCAACGTGCTCAACTTGAGCTGCTTAACCTGACCACGGAGCGCAGCAATGTTCTAATTCTAGACTGGCCAAGGAGAACCAGTGCATCTCCAACAGTTTATTTCGAGTTGTCACACGTGTTTGCTGCAAGATGGCATCTGTGCGGCAGAGACTGCTGAAGCCATGCCCTCAAGCCGACAGTGCTGGCAATCCGATCACTTTGCCTGTTTTCAAGACCCAGCCAAGGGACAGTCGATGGCCTGGAGAAGAGCCTCACACAACTGTGTGGCAGAGTGCTCGGGCTTCTCCTTGGTGACAAGCGCTGATGCAGGGGGAAACGCGTGTTTGCCACTAGTGTGGCACTCACGAAAAAGCGTAACTGGAGTCTTTGTGGGCGAATCTCCTGTCCTGGATCTGTCCCAAGAATCTGAAGGGCCCGAATTGAAAGGCAGCGCGAATGCAGCGCGAAGTTGTACAGATTGCAAACTACTGTCCGGATGAAAAAATTGAAACCTATACAGCCAAGCAGCCAGGACCCAGGAGGTGAGAGCTTGCCTGCGATGAAAGGATCAAAAGATGATGCTTCCAAGCCTTTGCACCAATCTTGGTTTGAGTTTTTGAGTTGATGTGTGGCGATGTTGGATGACCAAGGCTGGTTCTGGGCAGACCATCAGTCAGCAACCATCTCTACCCTGCATTCCGCATCTGTATCCTTCTTGGCTTCCTGTGCTGAGCTTCAACAGGGCTAACGTCAGAAGCACTAGCTGCCCGACCGTCCAGTCGTGCATTATCAAATCAGGAGCTGGCCCGTGTTGTCCCAGCGAAAACCAAGCATCATTCGCGAGTGCCACAGACATGCGTGATTCATGAGCGTCAGCAAAGGCCGTTCAGTATAGTTCGGTCATCAAACTGCAACAGCGCACATCATGGGCGCTGCCCGGCGTGTCGACGAGCACTGCCACGCGAACATCTTCATGAAACTATCGTGAACGGCGCCTGCCCTGCGATTCGCTAAGCAATTTTTCAAACCGCCGACACCTGGAGCCAAAATGCAAAAATGAAGCATCGGCTGACCGGCAATGCAGGGCACCGATCAAGGCCAAGCATCATGCGCATTTATGACTCTGCCTCTTAAACAACGCCGTCAAAGGGCGAACCTCATCGACATTGATTGACCAGCGTCAAATAGTGACAGTGAACTGCAGCACATTGAAGAGCAACGAAAGTATCATGAGCTTCCACACAGCATTTTCAGAAACCCACCACAGGATGTGCACCATCAATATCAGCCGCCCAACGCTTCGACGATCGCAAGCACAATGCTAGTGGAGCACTGAGGATCAAGCATAATGAGCATCAGCTGCCCAGCATTTTGAGCGTCAACAGCCAAGGACAAGCATCATCAGCATCAGTTGCTGAACGTTCCAACGATCACAAGTGCAAGGCCAACGTAATGAGCATCAACGGATCAGCAACTACAGGAGCACCGACGAGGGAGCATCATGAGCATCAGCTGCCCAGCGTCTTCAGGAGCAGCAGGCAAGGGCTAGCATCATCAGCATCAGCCGCTGAACGTTTCAACGATCGCGGGCACAGTGCCAGCTTCACTGAGCATGAGCGAAACAGCAACTACAGGAGCAGCGACGAGGGAGCATCATGAGCATCAGCTGCCCAACGTCTTGAGGAACACCAGGCAAGGGCGAGCATCATCAGCATCAGCCGCTGAACGTTTCAACGATCGCGGGCACAGTGCCAGCTTCACTGAGCATGAGCGAAACAGCAAGTACAGGAGCAGCAACGAGGGAGCATCATGAGCATCAGCTGCCCAGCATTTTGAGGATCAACAGCCAAGGACAAGCATCATCAGCATCAGCTGCTGAACGTTTCAACGATCACAAGCACAAGGCCAACCTAATGAGAATCGACAAAAAAAGCAGCTAGAGCAGCAACGAATGGCACGCATCATGAGCATCAGCCGCTCGACGAGGCAACCATCAAAGACAACGGGCCAGCGTGATTGGCATCAGCGAAACTCATGCCGTCGAGCACCAAGGAGCGAGCTCATGAGCATGGCAGCATAAAGAATGTTTAGCATCTTACAGATGGTGACCTGACATGCTTCTTGATTGAATCCACTCCATGCGCAGCAACGGTCACGAGGTTCAATGAGTTGTTAGTTGTTGTCAATGCCCCCACCCCCAAACAATCATTGAAAAATGGGTGTAGACATGCGTGGTGCCGAAATGAAGGTCAAGTGCAGAGAGGCAGTCGCCAAACAATGTCTCCGAAGCCACACATCATTCTTGGCGTTCCATTTGATTGGCAGATCGCATCCAAGCGCAAATCCATCCCTCGTCACGAAGAGCCCTGCAGTGTCGATCCTATCCAAACCATAAACCAATAGAGTGGTGCCTGACTCCCATCCCAAATCGGCTGTAGTGCTCCAATAGGACCTGCGAGATCGCACGGCCAGACATCCAAAATCAAGCCCTCCTCTCATTCCTCCCTCAAGCACAGTAGTGGGGGGAATTCGGGCTTCAAGCCTTCACCACGAGCTGATACAAGATCAAACTTTCTGTGTCAAGGAATCGTCTCAAACAACGTGGGTTCATCAATTGCCTGTTCCCTTGGCAAAGCTGCAGCAACTCGCAGGCTTTGAAAAAGCGGTTCTGATCGGTTTTCACCACTGCGAATGCGAAAGACAAAAGGTATCGGGATTCCGTGGAAGCCAATCAGAACAGCATGGCATTTCTCGGCGAAGAAACTTACGCACTCTGGTTTGGGCCTACTGTACGTTCCTGTCAAGTAAGGCACCTTTGCATTGGTCCTGGAATGACTTGTAATGCTGCTGGTGATGAAAATGATGATGATGATGCAGTGGCGACGACGATAATGATAATGATGACGAACATGATGACGAAGATGATGATGACGATGATGATGATGATGATGATGGCGATGAAAGTGAGTAGGCGAGGCGGACAAGCACTATGATCCGCACCTTCGTATGGGTTTGTAAATCGATGTTTCTGCATTGTAACTGCTGATTTCTGACAAATGCCTGATTGCAATGTGGGGCACTCCTCATTCAACGTCTCGCGACGACGCTCAACCTCAACAATGTCGATGAACGTGATACCACCTAAAGGCCTAAGGAGCACTAGGGCGCAACACCGCGAGAACGCTGCTCCTATCACCAGAAGAAGCGCTCCTGCTCATAGCAGATACGACTCGACATCTTTGAAACCCAAGCCTCCAGGTTGCAGCACTTCTGCAGCCTCATGATGCGGGAACTGTTGACAAGAAGGGACTACCGAACCGATGTGGAGCCTGGCAATATTGGATCCTTCTTGCAGGGGCCACGAAGTTTAAGGCTTACCCTTGTCTGGGGAGCGGGGGGGGGGGGGTTGTCAATTGAGCCGGTTTCAGTGGCCTTGGGCTTGCGGACTCATGGGTTCCGGAGGCTCCAAAGGTGGCGGCGTAAGTTTCTCTTCAGGGCTGAAGGGGCTCGGGGCTACCGGTTACCTCGCGCCTCAAATCGGGGGTCTCGGGATGCGGCTGGTGGTTGAAATTCTTGATACTTGTCGTGATTTCTGGTGATTTAGGCCTTCTGCTGTAGCAGTTGAGAGCTCTTGGCTTTCGCATCAAGAACCACAGTAGGGATTCATGGGGACTCGGGGCCTGGAGCGTTTGGTTGTAAGGGTTCATGGCTATAAGTCTAGGATCTAAAGGGTTGGGGTTCATATAAGACTTGCATGGGGCGTAACAACTCGAAAGCTTGACCCCTCAATTGTTACCCGGGTCAAACCCCAGACACTGATCTTCAAGCTCTCAGTGCGATAGCAAACTGAGCCATCAGCAGATCAGTGCTGAACGGCTTCCAAACGCAATCCTCCTTCGCCAAGTAGCCTCCCGGGCAATCTTTTGCAACTACGCACCGCTCGATCCCGCTGCATTCTTTCTTTCTATACCCATGCCAAGACTCTTAGTCACCCCTCAAGAGCTGAACGCGAAAGGATGATTCATTGAAACCGCCGTACCCCAAATCGAAGTAACTGGCAGCCAAACGAACCACTGAACGAAACAGCAGGACACTATTCTGTCGAAGTGTCACGGCCCAGTCTTATCTTGTATCACGATACAGAGCACACGAAAAACACCCATAACACCAGATGAAGGAACATAGATCGTGTTAGCCCCGACAGTCTGCAGCCGCGAAGGCAAAAACAAACGAGACAACGGCGGGAAAGACGTCAGGAAAACACCTTGCAATGGCTCACTTAATGTTGCACTTCATAAAAGCTGTTGGCAACACATTGACGTGGGACATCATGGCAAGCGAAACAATGCAAATACCCGAATGCGTCACAGGCTCAATGACAACATTCCAAGGGTAAAAGGAGGGAGCCTTAATAAGGACTCCTAGGTATATACCCTTAATGTAGCGATTATATACCCATTATATAGCCCATAATAGGGTAGGGGTCCCCATTAAGGGTCCCTCCTTTTCCCCTTTGAAACATCGTCAAACCGTTTGCACAGCTCTACGGTTTCACTTTCAATGGCATCTTGCAACACCGAGCTGGGTGATTGTCAAGCACTTCCTAAATTCTCCCAAAGGGTCCAAGTATCATTATGGTATATACTTAGACCCCCAAAATACCCTGTAAGTATATACAATGATACTTGGACCCTGTGGGTCTTGTGTCGCTATGAAGCCTGCCAAATAAAGTTTTCCAGTGCAACCCTACGCCATACATAGCGCCAAATGGGCAGCCTTTGCCAGGCACCAAAAACATCTTCTCACTGCCGGGAACAAAATCACGTTCGTGAAGCAGCCGGTAGAGCTCCTGAGCCAGTGGTAACAAATGGGGGTTTCCGAAAATTCGGGGTACCTTGCTTTGGGGTCCCTATAATAAAGATCCTACTATTTAGGGTACCATATTAGGGTCCCCCATTTTCGGAAACTCCCGAATGGGCCTGAATACTTAGAACATGGTCTAGGGGACAATGATACATTGCGTATACAGGGACTGTAAGGGAATACTATTGCCAAGTGTTCCGGCCCCCTGCGCATATATATATATATATATATATATTTTTTATGTATATACATATTAAATTCTTAGATATTGGTTCCTTCGTCCAATCTGCGGTGCAGCAGGCGCATGGGATTGCCAGGCCCCATCAGCATATTGACAGGATTCGATGGGCATGTACACCAAAGCTTTCATCCAGGTGTCTTGACTCTATGTACAACAGCAGTTTGGTATTCGTGGACAGCACCAACAGAGTCAACCTACTCACTAGGTGCTAAACTAGACCCCAACCTACATTCGGCACGGCAGGACCTGATCGTCACTGATGTCCGATTTGTGGCAATTGTCATGAATGAAGCCCGTGCTGATCAACACCTACAGCAATGGTGATATGTTGCACAACCATGAGCTTCGTGGAAAGCTCATACAGGCAACAAAAACAGATCCATCACAAGGTTTACAAATTCCACGACTCACGATGAACATACTGAATAACAGCAGCAGCTGCAAACATTGAAGCTCGTGGTGACCCTAACACTGCGGCAAATCACCGTGGCTATGTGACATTAAGCACGGTGCTTCTGGTCTTGCCAATCATAATAGTGGTCATGTGAGGAAATAGCGATAAATTCAGCTTGGCAACAGTAGAATAATCAAACGGAAACGGCAGCTGTAAGACCACGCGCGACTGACAAGAGTGACACCTTCACATTCTTCGTGATGCTACTGTGGCCAGAACCGCGAAAATCTGGGTCGCACCCACAATGAATCGTCAACATCATCATCGTCATCATCATCATCATCATCGCCAGCGTTGTTACCATCACCGGCTTAGCAGACGGTCACTACGGCGATGTAACAGTCGGCAACGTCATGGTGCTACCATTACCACAAGCGAATCTATCATCAACCTTTTTGTCATACAGCCTGGCAGAATCCGTATGGCCACGCAACCAGCAGCACCAAATCAAACCACGAATCCATGCCTGAGCTCAAGGCTAAAGAGCTGAGTAGTCATTTTGCAAAGGGTTAAAGACTCAAGCACGATGTCGCTAAGCAAAGCGAAGCCATGTTGGCGAGACTTTTTACAATCGCGCGTGCAGAGATGTGGGATCCATTTCCGATGGTCCCCTACCCGGTTTCATAACTGCTGAGCCATAGAGGCTGATACTCACAGTTCGTCTGAAAGGTTATTCGATCCGAAAGGTGCTTCGCCGAGAAGTGGTCCACTTTCAAAGAGGGAGTGCGACGGAGCAGTGGCGAAGATGGATGACTGTGCAGTCGTCAATGGCGCACTTCCGCTTCCAAAAAGGGAGTCCGCAAAGCGAGACGATGGGTCTTTGCGGAAGAGGGATGCCGGCCTGTCTTTCTCAAAACCTGCAGCTGTCAACTCGGACTTTGTGAATCCTGCTCGTGCCAAGGTATCTGCTACCCAATACTCTTGTCCTTCGGAGCTCAGGATTTGACTCAAGGCGAGTCTAATTTCATCTGCTTGCAGCATGTTCTTGATTTCTGCGGCTGCAATACCTGCAAGGACAAGGTCTTTTCCACAGAACCCGGCCGCAGTGTGTAGATGATGAGCGGAATATCCCATGCCTGCCAACTCCCGGGCTCCGATGCCTGCAGAACGCAGAAGATGCGGCGCGAAGGACAGGGCACCCATCATGCGGATCCATGCACTTCTGTTCCTGGCCTCCACTTTTACAAGCACCTGTTGACCGACTTCTGCATCACGAACTTCACGCAACCATTCCACCAAGGGCAGGAACACCCCGGGACAGTAGTCAACGAAGATATTCCCATCAGCATCCAATGGCGCCCAACAACCAGAGCTGATTGCCGACAATTTGTTCGCACCTGCCACATCGAAAAGGTCTGGATTCACAGTGATGAGCTTCTCACCACCGATGTTGATCTTCACGGGCTGTTGGGCCGTCTGCTGTTGCTCAGTTTGCACCATTGCGCCTATGGATCTCAGGAAGCTGTGCAGCAGACACTGCTCAACTCAGTGAGTTGGGCTTGATGCTGACGCTGTGGATCACGGCTTCTCGTGTTTTGAAAAGCTACAGGAACCAAACCAGAGTGATGATGACTCCACGACATTCATGCCGGACATAGACACATCCACAGTGACACTGTGCTCGTGGTTCAAAAAAAGCACGGGAGAGTATTCTAGGTCCATAGTTGTGAGGCAGGAAGCTTTGGCTGTGGCTGTCTCCGGACTAGAGAAGCCTGTAGGCTGGGAAACGGTTTGCGAGCGCCGCAGTCCAGGACACAAAACTGCGAAGTCCGTCTCTCCAAAACAAGCCCTAACCTTCGCGCGCAAGCCCTGAGTCCAAAACAAAAAACATTGACAAGATTTCCGAAACCCTAACTGACCCTACATTCTGCAAGAAAACAGAACAGACTAAGTTGCAGCTGGGGTCAGAAACCAAGCCGAGGTCTTCGACCTGCGTCTCCCGGACAAACCTTGGCTCTCGCGAGTGGGGTTTAGGGACTTTGACGGGTTGGGGTTCAAAGACGTGGGGTGCACATTGCATAGAGGCTGCGCTACTAAGCACATGATCTCCCCCTCGTCCATGCCAGCAAAAAAAAACTGAGGCGGTTCTCATTTCTGGAACCGGTCGGCGCACTGACCCCGAAACAAACTGCCAGAAAAGCCCTGAACGCCACACTGAGCTCGGGGCCGCAACGCCTTCATCAAGCTCGCCTTGCAGCAAGCCGGTTCACATGAGCCGTCTGTAGATGTGTCTTCGGTCTTAGTGGGGCAGTTCCACTGCAAAACCCATGGACGGTTTCTGAGTACGAACCTCACTGTGTTTTGTTCAACTTATAAGAGGACTAAAGAGGCCGGAGTCTTGGTGAAGGTACGACTTCACCAGGGCTCACCTGCTGAGAGTTGTCAAACGAACTGAACGAGGCTGGTTCGGGGTGGAGGTGCCCAAAGTTCAGCTTCCGGAGCCCTTAAATGCCACAGAAACCACACAGACTGTCGGAAGGGCATAGATACGTTGCTTCCTGATGCTTGCTGACGGCTCAATCATTGCAGCCGAAAGTAGGCAATCACTTACGTTATGTTCATGGTAGAAGAGCCAAGTGTTCGAGAAGTGATCCAATCGAAGACGTGACGCAAGCATGAGCCAACGCATACTCATGTAGATTTTCTTGCGAGACTCCAGAAGTCTACCGCAAGGGGAACGAGGCCTGATCCATCGTAGCGGACACACCGCACCATTTCAGCAAGGCCAAAACCCGCCTCAGAGACTTTGGCTTCCAAGAAATCTGGGAAGTTACCGGGGTTTGCCATGGTTCGGGGAGATGAGGTACTTTTAGGAGCGAAGTGCTAGTAGCAGTGCAAGGGGCAAACTGTTGCAACGAGCTTGGTAAACGAGATTGACATGCTGGCTGCGGCCGGAAAAACCATAGACGACGCTCGGATACTGGCAAGGGAGGCCCATGAACATAGAGGAAACAGTGACACTTTGCTGATCAACAGGGCACAGCCTCCTTTCACCGTATCTCTGCTGATAGTCGGTTGTTTTTGCTCCAGTTCCACCTCCGACCGCTGCTTAGGCGAAGTTTGTGGACTGCAGACTAAGTGGGCAAGCACATTCTGTTGAAAGTTGTGATCTCAAGCCTGTTAAATTAAGACCATGAGCCCGATAATCCAATCTCATACAAGTTGTCTCTGCATGATGTCTACAGTACGAGTATGTCTAAGATGCCTAGTGCCTCGCAAGTGGACTTGGAAAGCTGAGGTTCAAGTGCAGCTTTCTCTGGCTGACTGCTGTACCCTTTGAAAACACATTGCTGCCCGGCAGCGGGTCGTCCGGGAGGGAATCCATGTAGGGCAGATAGCAGCCAGCAGTACCTTGAAACACCTGCGGAAATCACGGCTGCAAGCCCTGAAGTATTTAAGGCCAAAGACTCTTAAGCCACACCCCACAAAGCCTGAACTGCTCGCAAGGGACAGGCAACAAAATCGGAACTTCTGCTCATCCGCTGAGATTTGAGGGGCCTTCATCCGTGAGTCTATGAATTAGTATCGTCTCGCCGACGTCTCGCAGCCTAAAGACATCCTGAAGAATCATGGACCGACATTGTGATCCATGGGTATGGGGTTGCGGCTCGATTCAGTATGAAGACGACTATTGGTGATGCCACATGACGATAGTCATGATGAGGATAGCGTTATTGGTGGGAGTGTGTGACATCGAGAACTCGATAGGTCCCGATGATGCTCCTGCTATGACTATAGCTGCGATTCTCAACAGTATGCTGATTCAGCGCAGCGTTCAGTCGCACGTCGGGCCTCTTTGACGAAAAGGTCCTGAAGCACCAGCTGACGCCCCGCATCGTAAGAGGCACTCCTGCAGATGTGGGTCGCTCTTTTTCAAGTCACGTCCGATACGGCTTTTCATGGAGGGCTCGAGACCTGCGATCTCTACTGAACACACTCTTCATTCTGTCGGGGTGTGCCTAAACCCACGGAGCCTTTGGGTATAGAACTGCCAGGCTACAGCCCTCAGAATCCAGCCCCGAAGTCCTGATAGCTGAATCGTGAAACAAATCCGCGTCTGTTTGTCTAGCTAAGATGCGTCTGTGCGCAGAAACATGTACGCATGCACACACACACTCACACACCCAAATATCTACTATATCTATCTATCTATCTATCTATCTATCTATATATATACACATACACACACACACACGCTTATACATGTGTATAGGGTTATACATATGTATATGCACATAGTATATACTGCAATTTCATTCTGCATGCAAAAGTGTCTGTGTCACATGCCTGCACACTTGCGGGTATGTCCGTGCACGTAGCAAGCTATAGGCATATGTATAACAGGGACATCTGTAGGTATGTAATGCGCTGTCATGCAGTGCAATGCCACGTAATGCAACATAACGTGCTGTGACCAATGCGATGTAGTGCAAAGTAACGTAGCCATGTAATGCAATGTAGCGTAAGGTGAAGTTAGTGTGCCTATGGTTAGACAGACAACCTGACAAACAGATGGATAGACAGACAGGACGAAATACATATGAAGCCCGCAAAATAGAAAGATGGATGCATGCATGCATGTCGGGGTATCATTGGCTCTGCAGCACTATGCGTACCTGCCGCAAGACTGTGTTTTGCCTCGGGAGAAGTGCGCGGGCCAGAGAGAGACAGAGAGAGAGAGAGAGAGACAGAGAGAGAGAGAGAGAGAGAGAGACAGAGAGAGAGAGAGAGAGAGAGAGAGACAAAGAGAGAGAGAGAGAGACCGAGCAAGAGCCAGTGAGAAAAAGAAGCAACAGAAGGATAACGACAGGGGGACGAACAGATACAGGGCGAGATAGACAAAGAAGAAGCAACACGAAGAAAGAACGACGGCGCCATGCCCCAAAAAAACGCACACTTTTGAAACCATTCCTCTCCCTCCTTCCCCCTCCCCTGCCGCTCCGAACTGCGAGACGCCGCAGGAAGCCTCGCCGAAGGCGGGCTGCCTCTGAGAACTGTCCTGGTCAGATTTTTTCGGAGGGTTACTGTGAGCTTAGCAAGCAGCAGGGCCTCTTGGGGGGTGAGGGTTTAGTGGGGAGCTCAGGCTCCTCGGTCCAGGATGTAGGTGATAGCAGATAAGTCAAGGGCAGCTTGGCATCACTCCCTGCTGTAGGTAAACTTTGACACCCTTTGTTACTCACGTGCCATGCAGCTCCACAAACACAAGCAGGCACCCCACCTAGCATCATGACATCGGCCAGGTATGCCAATCCAGTCGGCTTGCCTGAAGACGGACTAAGTTCAGGAGGGAATCAAGCATGCTGCCATGTAGTTGTAATCAAACAGGACTGTAACACTGTAGTAGCTTGCTGGGTTTCGGAATTGTGCTACGGAGGGAATCAAGCATGCTGCCATGTAGTTGTAATCAAACAGGACTGTAACACTGTAGTAGCTTGCAGGGTTTCGGAATTGTGCTACTCAAATTATACATAGTATAGCAAGAGAAAACTGGAGCAACACAATACAAACACAATAGCATCAACGATGCGTCATAGCAATAATAGACAAACAGTGGTTGCACCGACACAGCAGCATGTTACGCCAACAACCCATTCTCCGTGTGCTGCAGAAAAAAACCTTACAATACAAGATATGCCAATACGGCTGAAGCGAAATTGTGCGATGAGGACCGCGTGAACGTAGAACAGTGTAAGGCCAGAATGCGAGAACGTACATCAACAAAAGTACTGTGGCAAAAAACTGCTACTTTGGTTTTGCTGGGTCGAAATATCACCTTCGTAGGCTTTCATAGCCGGGTGAGATGATGACAGCAAAGCATAGCCGTTGAGCAAACTAGTAGGCGACAACATCAATAACGTGACAGCACGACTTGCAGGTGGATGAACGACTGATTGAAACGGCTGCATTCTGGTCATGTCCTCCGTTCTCGACACTCAAACCCTAAATCGAAAGTCCAAGTACTCATCAACTCCACATACCCCCAACGCTTGGACGAGCAGGATGCTACAGCCTATGTCCGGCCGTGGAGAGTAGGCGATCCCGATAATCCGAAGCACATACTAGTAGCATTCTTAACATGCGGACTCCCCAAATCAATCACATCAACAAAAGTCCCATCGCCATCTCGGTGATGTAGGGGCCTTGACACATCGAATAGGGTTTTGGGGCATGTTATATTATCAGAATAATAATAAGGTATTGTATCAACAGTAGTAATCCAGGATCGGCCTTGCACCTTCCGCCAGAAGCTGCCGGAGGCCAGGAGGTCTCCAAGACGCAGGAGAGCCTCCACAAAGCCTCTTCGACAAAGGTTTTGAGGAGGGCTTGGTATGTTAGTTTAGGGCAGAAAATGGACGAATAATTATATCCCTCCAATGCTCCCTTAAATACCAACCAAGGATTCTGAACAAGGGCTGGATTCCAAATTCCTTCACATGATTCCCAGTATGGATGCCCTATACCCTCCTATGCCGCGGCTTTTTATGAAAGGTTGAGGAGAAGCCATGGCCTACGGGATTCGAGGGTCTTCAGTTTCGTTAGGGCTTAGCGGTTTCGAGTGTGAGATGTGACTCTTGAAGCAAGATCTGGCTGGACCGGGGTTTGCCACGCAGGGTAGCCGAAAGTTACAGGCAGCGAGCCTTCCATCAATCCACGGCACCCTCAGTTTCAGGGTCCAGTGCAACAAACTATAGGCTTCCTGCCAGAGGGGGGTTTCCAAAAATAGGGGACCCTAATATAGGACATTATAGGACCCTAAAAAGTAGGATCCTTATTATAAGGACTCCAAGATAAGGTCCCCTAATTTTCCGAAACTCCCATATCGTGCCAGATTAAACCAACAGCTGCAGATGCTGTGTCTTAACGGGAAATGTCAGACGAAACACTCCGCGCCTTCAGCCAGAGGTGGACCCCCAGGCACAGGTGTGGCGAAGGGATCCATTGGCTGGCAGCCGAACACGTTGCGCAGGAAAATCTGGCAAGAGGAGAAGAAGTAGTGGTGGCAGTAAGGAGTATAGTCACAGAAGCATTTTGACAAAGCCCCTGAAATACGCCTTGGACTAGACTGCCGGGCTATTGGTTGAGATCCCTGAACCCGAAACCTACAACCTCATTGAAACCCGACGACATCCGACCTCCAAGTAAACCATATCCTGATAAGGTCCCGGTGGGGGCCAAAACCCTAGAATCTTAGAAACTTGCGGCCCAGCGACCTCCCAGCCCAGGTGCCACTCATCTGCCGGGGGATCCATCACGATGCCTCCCACAGGGCTGAGGGTTCAGGGTTTAGGGTTGAGGGATCCCAAAACATGCCGGGGACGGGGTGCTGTTCCTGTGATGAACTTGGGTCGCGGTGGTGATCAAATGGATGCTACTAGCTACTTGGGGTGCTTCTTCGGGCACCTGAAGCTGAACCTGCCACAACCGACCTTTATCCACGGTCCTAGTACGAACCCCTGTACAGACCCCACAAAGATCCACAAAGATATGAACACTGAATATGTCACGTTACCTCTGACAGTCTAAAAGTGCACCTGAAATGAAACCCGACACCCCGTGAGCTCCGAACCCCTGCAGTTGAGCCAACCAAACCAATGCCCAGGCCGCTGTTGAGCACTGCCCGCTACTATTTCGACTATATGGGGAGGTTGCAGCAAACTAGGGACCGTGCTGAAAGTCTTAAAGAAAAGTACCGCGCAGGTGTATATAGCCACAATGCGAACATGCACGATTACATGTCTGCTCGTTACTTGTCTATTTGATGGTTCGGAGCCTAGGCTGGCAGGAGGCGCTGCAGCCCTCTCCACCTCAGTTCAAAGGAGCTGGCCTGTCTCCGTCTCTTTTCGGAGTGTGAACTTTACTGAACTCGTTGATTGCCGTCTTTTTCCTGCCGGTGTGCGGTCGCTGAACTTCAAGACACATGTCCTTCATCCACGCATGTGCATGATGACGGTGACGATGTCACTGACAACGGCGACAGTTTTTTAGGATTTCACCCCGACCCACAACATCCCTGTGACGGCTGACACGAGCATCATGCTAGTATGTGCGTGTGCGCGTGCCTGTGTACACACACACACACACACAGACAGATCTCAAGCCCCCAAAGCCTCAAGTTGAGGGCCTTTGAAAGCATGAGCTGGAAACAGCTCAGGCGCGAAAGGCTGCGGGCTGCGCCCCGGGTCGATCTGCTCGATGCCGGCGATGGTGCAGATGTTGCCTCCGGGGTTCACGGATCATGACCAGAGAATGTTGAATGGTCTTTGCAAGCTCACGCTTTTCGATGGATCTTTGAATCGGCTTGGCTGCTTAAGATTTAGGAAAGGGGCAGTGTGCTACGGCCGGAAAACTGAGATGGAAAACCTTGACTTTCAACCCCGACTCAAGACACCTTTTCTGTATTTCTGGCTAAGCCAAGAGGCTGATGATGGAGGTGGGCAGCCTCCTGCAGTGGTTTTTGAAAGGCAGTGCGTTTGGGCTGAGGGGCCTTCGACCTGTCAACCGGCGAGAGACCCCGAGTTGTGCCGTGCTCACACAGACGTAACAGCCAAGCCAAAGGGAAGTGCGGATTTTGGTTGACTACCGGCAAGGCTACCCTGAGTATATCAACCGCAAAGCCTGAAAACCCTCCAACTCTAAACCTTGAATCACAACTCCAACTCCTGAACCCTCGCTCGCAGCTACTATACTGCGCCTCATAGGGTTGTGGGGCCCATTATACTCTAAGTATGATAAGGAACCCTATATAACCATAATTATTGGTAGTGATTTAGGCCCCTATATTATGCCGAGTGACAGCTCAATGCCCAGAAAGGACCAGAGCCGAAGCTGGGGTGCGGGAATCATCTGCTGGGAGTCAGAGAGCCTTTGCTGGAGCTTCCCCCCCGGTTCCGAGCTCTCAGACTTTTACTACACTATACTAGACTACACTACACTAATTACACTACATTATACCATACTATAATCTATAATGGCATGTACGATTATGTACGAATACATATCATTATGGCAGAATTGACCCCACAATGTCTCCCAAAAAGATCCGAGTCGCAATGCTACGGCCCCACGAAGGCTGGCCCAACCCGGTGCCGGCGCAGACCGACCCAACAGATAGCTCCGACGGAGGACCTTGTTCGGGACTTTGGATGGGTCTATGTTCGAAAGAGGGCATAGGGGTAAAAGGAGCAACAGCCCTTCAAAACAACATCTCACTTCTTTGAATTGGGAAATCCCTCCCCCTCCCATCGTCAAGCCAAGCGTACATCATGTTAGCTTCCCGGCCGACATGTTTCCTTGAGGATATGTGCTTACCTTTATTTGCCTCGATTGATGGTAGTATTGAGATTGCTGCTCCTTGTTTGTCGCTTGTGATTTCGAACATCGCCAAGCTGCTAATTGTGATCTCTAACAACACGATTGCTGATAGCTCCCGGGTGCCCTTCATGTTCTCGTTTCCAGTGCAGATATGTTCCATGCTTTCCGCCTGCTGGGATCTCTCCAGACAGCAATGGCAATTGATCAGGCATGAGGCGTTCCTGACAGGCAGGGTCCCTTAATCAAGGGGTCGTAATGTAGGAACCTGATTAAGAAACCTTGGGCCTTTATTAGGGTTCCTTATATGAATCCTACTATGTTCGGCCTACATTAATCAGCATCCTGCCATTTCACGATTGTCAGCTTGGACCCCTTGACGTTTTGAAACTCCGCCCATACTTTGAAAAGCCCCTGATAGCCCTAACCTACGCCCAGCAACTCCAAAATGCCGTCTCCCTGAGCACCGCACAGCCATAGCACACCAGTAGGTCTTGGCGTCGAACCCTGCCTGTCAGCTGCGCTTGAAAGGGTTTAAATTTAGGAACGACAAGATATGAGAGTAATTGTGACGCTGATCTACAAGTACTGTAACCACTACAGACAGATAGTTACGTAAAGCTTATACAGTATTTGACTAGGTTGTTGTTGGTGTAGCGACTCTATATAGTTGTGGTGATTATACAGTGTTTATAATCACACTTATGGCATATCAGTGGTCTAGAGTTGTAACTCTTAAGTCTTATTCCGCAGGGCAGGCAGATCAGGCTCGCAGCACTCCAGTCGAGCTGGGGCCTGCGACTCTGCACCCACCTTCGCCACAGACAGAAGCTTGCGGAACGCCACGGCCTGCAGCTCGAGATGAAACGACGGCAGCAAGCACGTGATGTCATGCTTGTAGCCCCTACAAGTATGCGCGATCAGGGTAGGTAGTGAACGTAGCTGCTAGTGGCAAATCTTCGGCAGCGAGACATGTACGAGTCAACTCCAAGCTCTCCCGCCCCATGATCCGACAATCAACATCTGTGTTTGGAGATCTGGAGAAGAACTCAGGCCTGTATTGGCGTGACAGCTCTGATCATGGAGCTCGGTATACAACGTTTTGTTTTCGAAGTCTGCAGCAAGTGCGATCAAAGTAACCTAGGGACTGCTTTATGCATGCTCGTGCTACTGGCAATCGAAGTGTTTGATAGATTAGTTTGTTTCGGGATATAGATATAGGGTATTATGAAGTAATAGATGGAGCCCACAGTTACATTAACATGTAAGTAGCGCGGAGCAGGATCCTTCCTTTCGGGGTTCCCGGCTCAACCCGGCCCCCCCGCTGAGGCCTCGAGCTCTTCTTCGCTCACCGCCTCAAGACCTCAGGGAGGCGGCGCATACTTCTAGCTTCAGATACAGAGGCGGATTTACAACCACCACAACAGTGCCCATTATACATATATACACACATACACATATGATAGCATCAACAGTAATCGCACAATTTCAACAAAGGCAATCATAACACTGGTACTTTCAAAAGAAGGAGCACAGATGGTAGGGTAAGGATCCGCAGTACCGATACTGAGTTTACTCGTGTCCCTCCAATCGGTGTTTCGGAGGACGCGTGCGGAAGTGTCAGCCGCACCACTATGATCATGACCGTGAACAGGAGGAGGCGGGGGAGGAGGGCTTCGGAGGCAAACGAACACTGGTGCCGATGTCTGCCACCACTAGCTTCACCAACCCGTAGCTTGTCGTCACAAGGTTACAGCAGCGACGACGATGATCAGGACAACCAAGACCACCTACCGCCATAGCTACAGCTACCATCATCACGACCACCATCTAAGCCGCAGTCGCCGACCTGTGATCAGCTTTTTCTGCTCTCTTTCTTACAGTCAGTGCGCTTGCTCTTCCTTCTCACTCAATGCTCTTTGCAAGCTCACCTCCATTGAGTCTCTCTCTCTCTCTCTCTCTCTCTCTCTCTCTCTCTCTCTCTCTCTCTCTTTCCCTCTCTCTATACACCTATGTATATAGTATAAATAAGCCTATATATGTACACATACAGTAATCTATGTATATACAACTATGTAATGAGAGAGATCGATAACTGATAAAGATCATCGGCCCAAGGCACCGAGCAGCTGGAAGAGCTTCGCGCCCCTCGAGGCGATCTCTAACGATGGCTCCACACATCGCAGCAGGTGCAACTGCCATCCTCTGGCTGGTTTTAGGGGTTTAGGGGTTCGGGGCTTTAGGGGTTTGGGGTTTTAGGGCTTAGGGTGTTTAGTATACATATACATATACATATACGTACATACATACATGTATACACGCACCTGCTTTAAAATTACACATATAGATGGCAGAAGCATAATGATGGAATGCACAGCGCATATTTAGAGACACAAACCCTCCCTCATATGCAGCCAAAACCACTCGAGCTAAAGGTGCCCACCCTAGCTCCATATCCCAAGCTCCCTGTCTTAGCCAGCCTTTGGGCACTGCACTGCAGGGCGCGGTGTGAAGATTCGTGCAGGTTGACCTGATTTGCCACAGAGGCCGATGCTCCACAGCAGGGGTCTGTTAACGAACATGTCCGTCAAGCTGCCGATGATAGGGTCTTTAGACATGGACCTTTCTGTATACAAAGAAGGGAGCACCCACTCCAAGAATGAAGCACTTGGGCCTTGGGCCGCTGCCATTGCAACCGACTGTGCTTGCACTGGATTCCGGTGATTTTGCGACCAAGCTCGCGGCAGCTCCACTTCGTTGCAAAGTGTTGCCGTCAAGGATTTGCTTCGAGCGCTAGTAACCTTCCATCCGCTGGAGTGGAGAACCTATGTATGTATATATATATATATATATATATATATATATGTTTTTATATATATATATGTAATATTATATTGTATTATATATATACATACTTTTATGTCATATACAAAAATGCGCATGTATAGATAGACAGATAGATAGATAGGGCATGGTTCTCATCAAAAACGCACTGTCTGTGTGTTGATACGACCCGCAGGGTCCAAATTTGCTCTGGAGGCCGAGTGCCCAAGGTGTTGGAAAGTGTGGACATGACTCAATTATAAGCTGGCAGCAGGATCGGAACACCAACTGTGGGATGTAGGCGGAACAACAATGCTGTCGCTCGTGACCCAACACCGGGTGCCCAAAACACTTGAAACATCAACGGTCAGTTTGATCTCTGGTCGTCCTCGTGCTTGCAAGTGCGCATGGCTGGCTACGTAGTTGAGAAACGAAGACACGGCTCTTCGTCTTTGCTGAACGCCTAAAAAGTCAAGCTGCAGCTGCCCGTGGTCGATCTTCCAAAAACCGTCAACGATCGAAATCTGCACGGTAACCGTATGAAGATTGTTATATCGATTTGACTGTGGAGACCTCTCGTTCCTCAACGGCCGTAGACTGAGAAAACCTGAGGAGCTCAGGGCCTGGATTGCATGAATGGTGTTTGAAAGTTTCGTCCGGATCCCTCAGAGCCCACTCTTCCGAGGGCGCCGCCGGAAAAATGTGCAGATTCTGCACTTGTGGCAGGCGGGCAGGGTCCTGCCAGGATGATGAGCTCTCCCAAGCGTATGTCGCATGTCACTCCGGGGCAGAGCGTCCAGACTATACCGGGAAGGGGCGATCGCAGAAGCAGTATTCGTTGACCCCTTTAGCATCCTGAAAGCTCGTGTTTGTCCAGATCTTACGTTTCATTGCTCCTAATTGCAAAGTCCGTCCAGATGACCCCTGTCTTAACCCTGGGTGTCCTCCAGAATGTTGTCGACCAGTGACTGGAACAAGTCTGTAAAGGCGGCTGAGCGCCTGCTGCAAGCAAAATCTTCGCAAACACAGCTGCGACTCGATGTTGCCTCCCCTCGCAGCTGGTATGACTTACGGAGACAACTTGAGAAAGGGATAATTAATTAGCATGTTCCTTATGTTTAGAGGCCCTGGCCAGGTCCTAACTCCAGGCCTGTCCGCAGCCCGCCAAAGGTCTTGGAGCCAGTGTCCACTCGCCCAGGATATGCATGCAACCAGCTCCTGCGTGGCAACCAGAGCAGGAACGGGTTAATAAGTTTATGAGGAAGATCTGTTCCTGGCAATGCTTGCAAGCCAGACCGTCCGGAAAGCCAACCGTGCGTATACTGCAATGCCCTGGACGACAACACCGAAAACGGACGTTTACACCACGGCACCCGAATAGTTGATGTACGCAAGGGCGAGCCGTCCAGGAAGCCAAGTGAAACGCTCCAGAGAGGCAAGGGCATGTCATCAGCAAAAGGGAAGATGAGAATCTGAAAATATCTGAAACCAATCTTGGGTAAACAAGCCCTATCGAAGGCCCAACTCTGGTGCGGCGCAGCTACGTTTATTCTGAAAGCATCTCACCTTGTAGCCGAACTCTCGAATGCCCAGCTCCCGCCCGGCATCCGCTGTCAAGCTCTGGGCCTGGAATGAAAGGCATTAGGGTTTAGGATGACCCGAAACCCTACGCTAAGGCCCGATATTAGTTCCTTTAGGGTTGCCTTATAGGATTCTAAATATGGAACCCAAAAAGGAACTACTTTGGGGCCTTTGGGTAAACCCTAAACATCTAGCGAAAGACGAAAGCTGGGCATCGCAATCACATTGAGAGCTTCATTTCCCCTACTTTGCAGGCAATGAAGTGTCGGTATACCCCAAGCAAAAACCTGACCAACACACCCCTCCACAAAGCCCCGACAAAGAGGGATCCTCCTCATAGTTCATCATGCTCTGTGCGGCCCGGCAGCCACGAACCTTAGGCCTAAGGCCTCTTCGAGGACTTCGGAGGGCACCCAGCGCGCTGCGGGGAGGCCGCCACCTCGGAGACCGCACTCATAAGAAACAAGAGCAGTAGTAGTAGTAGTAGTAGTAGTAGTAGTAGTAGTAGTAGTAGTAGTAGTAGTAGTAGTAGTAGTAGTAGTAGTAGCAGTAGTAGCAGTAGTAGCAGTAGTAGCAGTAGTAGTCGTAGTAGTAGTAGTAGTAGTAGTAGTAGTAGTAGTAGTAGTAGTAGTAGCAGAAGTAGTAGTAGTAGCAGTAGCAGTAGCAGTAGCAGTAGTAGGAGTAGTAGTAGTAGTAGTAGTAGTAGTAGTAGTAGTAGTAGCAGTGGGGATAAGGATGATAACAGCAAAAATCATATACCAGCATTCACAGCAATCATAGTAGCCACAGTCATGGGAAGAAAAACTGATATTGTTGTTAGTCTTTTCCTACTACTGCAGCAGCGGCGAGAATTTTAGTAATTTGCTTCCAGTACCAAACTGTCTAGAGGGGCAGGTATAGGGTTCAGTGGTAAGGTTCAGCACTTCCAAACTCCTGTCACTTCGCCGAGATTGGGCCGAGATGCGTAAAAGGCAGCGACCGGGTTCAAGAGTAGAACCGTCTTCAGTGACCACGCAGGCCTCGGGGGGGTGACATGCACTCGACAATCAAAAGCATGGACGAATGGGCTTGGGTGCAGTTGCAAGGTCCGCCTTTCCAGTCGGAATTACTGCGCTTGCCTCTGAAAGCAGAGCTTGAACTAGCAAGCCTTCGTGCAATGACTTTGCGAGCCCTGACAAAAGTCCACCTTGGCTGAGCAATCGTCACAAAAGGGCCACAGCCTTCACACCGCACTTTTTTGACCAGCCTTTCGATCGGAGCAACGTTCGGATGCACGTGCTTCAGTGCGATGCTGCCACTACACGTTTGCAGACTTGCTCAAGCCGAGCTTGGCCGTGAAATGCCATGAATGTTTGAGTGGTGTCGCCACACGTGTACTCGTGGATCTTACAGGTCAGCCGGCGAGAACACGAATGGCAGGGAGACACCTCCAGCTTACACTATTTGCGTCACTCCTTGCGGCTCGCAGTAGCTGCAGCTGCTGCTTCACTGGCAATCCTCAGACGGCTGCAGCATTGCTGGTCCGAGTGGTTGGTTTGTTGATCAACATCTAGTGCCATTCCAGCGATTGCTACGTGCTCTGCACCATTTGAGTTCCTATTAACATGATGCCGTGAGACTGCTCCAGCCATGTGCGATGAGGTAGCAGAACCAACCATGACTCGGGCAGTGCCTGGCCAGAGGGGTCTCGCCGCTCTAACTTCCTCAAGATCGGAGACAAGGATCTACCGTTCAATCTGCTATCCAACTCTCTCATTGCTTTGGACCGAACAGGGCGAATCACGCTGCAGGCCCTGACCGCATAGAAATTGAAATTGCCTCTGCCTGTCGCTCTGGCCTTGAAGACACTCGATACCAATATCTATCAGCTACAACCTCGCAGTTTGCAACCTCCATAAGCACGAGCTATTCCGACCGTTCAACACCTCCCAGACGTTTGCAATCGGTCCAAGAATTCAGGAAAATTCGAACCCGAAAGCCCAGAGACTCGCGGAGACACACGACAAATCCCAATGCTGCACTCAACCTTGCACGCCCTGCAAGTCAACCTCGCAAATCGACTTTCAACCTGAAGTCCGAAAGAAAATGGTGCAGAGCCTTGGACCCCAAACATCTCATATCCTGAACCCTTTGTCCTAAATCTTATAAGCCCGAAAACCCTAAACCCTATATAAACCCCGAAATCCCTAAACCCTATGCAAAAAGGCAGCCGGATCCAGAAATGCTTTGCTCTCGGCCTTAGCTCCAAACGCGCAGCCGAGCCTGGGCTCAGAAGTACCAGATTTCCAAAGGTCCTCTGGTTGTGTCCTACAAGTACCCATAGGCTCCATAGTAGTTCGTTTTGGGGGTTCATGTCTACTATGGAGCCTATGGGTGTGGTTTGGGTCGCAGTTTCTTGCCAGGCAAACAAGGGTTGCGGGAAGGGCGAGCGGCCACGTTCACGAGCAGCGGCCAAAACAATCAAAAGGACCTCACACCCATCTTTGCGGTAAGAAAGTCTGGATGCTATGTGATATGTGCAGTATATCACAGACAGGCATAAATAAATACACAAACTTGGACGAACCCATCAGTCAACAAACGAGCAGTGACACGAATGTCGTTTGTGTGTGACATCCTGCTGCACTCCACGCTACAGATCCTTCTGCCGTGTTCCCCTAAGGCACGTGCAGTGCTCCGGCCACCGCAGCGTTGGTGTCCGCATCCCCGGCGGCCATGGTCAAGAAGTGGATAGCTTGGCAGAACCTCGGAGGATGATACTGCGCGGCGCGGAGCCGTGCTGCTGCTATTCCATAAAGACTTTTGGCAAAGGACTAGGATCTATGCAACTGTACCGGCACATTTCAAAACCGTGCGAACTACGTTTACAAATAGACTTACGTATACAGGCGTGTGCAGCTGTATGCTCTTCTGCTATAGTACACATAACATGTATGTACACACACACACACATGTATATGATGTGTATGTATAAGTATATGTATATGCACACGTACATGTATGCATAAGTAAGTGTAGGTATATACATATACACACATTTACATATGTATGAATATACATACATAGAAAGACGGACCGCAGTGAGATTCTAATAAGGATGCTACTAGGGTTTCCGAAAAAAGGGACCAAAATATAGTACCCCACACAGTAGGATCCTTATTATAAGGACCCCGGAACAATGCACCCCTAATTTTCGGAAACTCCCAGGGTACTTTATTAGGGTCCCCTTAGATATGACAGCCACGGAGCCGCTCCTCCGGTCGCCCCGGGGCTTCCAGGGCTCCACGGAAGGTGGCGAGGCCGGCGGCAAGGCAGGTATTCACGTAGCCTGGGGGAGAGGTTTCATGGGGCGTTAAGGGGGGGCTCTCGTAGGTCTGGGACGTGAGGGTTTAGAGGGTCTAGACCCTCTCATGGCGAAAATGAAGCATGGCGATGCAGCCACTGCCACTAGATCTGCGACTGATACGATCTCGGACCGCGAGGCAATCAAGCTGGCAAAACTCTGGCTACTCCCCGCCTAGTGTATCAGCAGCATCGGTCACAGGCATCTCTTGTCCCCGCATAGCTGCCCGGAGCTCCTGGGAACGACCAGGTTGTCAGAGCTTCGTGTCTGTATTTGGTGTTCTCTTGGGCTCGCTGTGCATCTGTTGATCCGTGTCTCTGCGCGCAGACTTGTTGCATCGACTTAGACTTAGACTGTGGACCATCCACCTGACATTCATATTCTGGCCTTCCGGATGTATGAGTGCAAGAGGTGACCAGGGCGTGGGAATTCATATTTTCAGTGAGATGCATTCCACGCCTGGCGTGCTAGCATTCACGTAAAGGGTATGCATGCATCATGCACACGTTCACATGCATCACATGTGCCTGATGTATGTATGTAAGTATGCATGCACGTATGACTTATTTGTGCACATGCGCCTGTATCTATCTACTTCTGTATGTAATTGTGAATGTATGTATGTGAACACACCGATGAATGCATACGTATGCACATACGAATACATAGCCTCATATGTCTGTATCAACACCTTTACATGTAAACTTACAGGTATCTACATCTGTGTATCTCTAGAATCTTACACTGTGTATAAACCTATATGCTGTGGTCCACATTAATTAAGTCTATATGTATATACATACGTATGCATGTGTGTATAAATAAACAAATCTATCACTATACTAAATACAGGTATACATACGCCAACCTGCATACCCCTATGTGTGTGCGTGTAAGACCACAGGACGTAGCACGTACTACTAGTATATAGGTATATGACTACTTGTGTGCATGTGCATACACTACATGTATCTGTATATGTATACGTCATGGCCTACAGTACTTGTTTATACGAACAAGGTGTATGCAGACAAGCAATTATGTGCGCAATTCCTGTGAAGGTATGTTTACATAGACATATAGATATATAGATAGAAACACATTGATTAGATTGTAGAGAGACAGAGAGAGAGAGAGAGAGAGAGAGAGAGAGAGAGAGAGAGAGAGAGAGAGAGAGTTTGAGTTTGAGTTTGAGAGTAAGATGTCAGAAACGAGAATCTACAACGCCACGCTGTTCACAACCTTCAATCCTACTACAGCTCTTAATGCTTTGCTCACAGCACTTTTTCTCTCCCCTTCGGCTCCTTCAAGGCAGGGCCCTGTGCATAAGCCCGGCTGCGCGCCTTAGGGGGGCAGGGAGAAGAGAGCCGCGCTTGGATTCACTCTGTGACGCTTGGGCAGGATGCAGGGTCTAGAGTTTGCAGGGCCTTCGGCATACAGGCTGGAAACAGCCCTTTGGAGCTTGCTAGAACTGCAATTCTTTTATCCCCAGAGCACGACCGCCCTCCGTCCGGATTTTCAGCCGAAGACTTCGGCCTGAAAAACTCGACTCTACGACTCTGCATCTATTCAGCTGCTCTAACCCATACCTCATTCCGCAAGATCATAGGTCTCGAAAGGCCAAACATTGAATCAGCTCCCCGAGCCCAGAGTTCTTACAACCCAAACCTCCAGCAACGGACCAAAAAAATCCCAAGCCCATGTCTGAATCCGAACCCAGCTCGCTGATCTCGTCATCGAGATGCATCCTGCTCGCTCCAGGCCACGCCGAAACCAGCATGCACCGTCCCTGCGCTCAGGGAGTCCCGGCATGGATAAGTCCGAAGTCCCGCCTTCCACACCTACAGCACGAGAACTACCATGTCACTACAAGCCAATAGCAAGAATTATGCAGGTCTCTGTTTAGGGTTTCGGCCACCCCAAGTCGCTTGAGATCGCAACTCGAACTTTGCTGACCCCCCATCTCCAGAAATGCTCTCGCAGTAGGGATAGTACAGGGATCTAAAGAGTTTCGTAGCAGTATCCCTTAAAGTCTGGTCGTCCCAAGTGACAACTTCCTGTAGCTCCTTATGCTTCAGACTCCAAGGCCCGACAAACCTTGACCCTCTTCTGGCCGGCTTGCACCACAGGCATCGCATGTGGTGGCGTCTGGTGGATTCCTCGGGGGTAGCTTCAGGCTTGCAATTTTGCCGTCCATGGGTTTCCAAGCTTTGGATGCTGGATCGCTTGCGGATTCTGTCTGGATCTGCCTTGCTTCTGCTCAGGGGCGAAGGTTTCCGAATGATATAGTATAGTTATACATATGCAAGCCTACATTACTGTAATGAAAAAGAGCACTTCATAGCTTGAGCCTGGACTCCGAAGATGTAGCAGCAAGGCTTGTTTGAATACAGCTCTGAGGTTTCAGGGGAGGTGGGACCTGGGATTCTATCATCTCTACTCAAGGCTTTAGAAGTTCACCACGAGTAGCTTGTGCTACAAGTCAGGAATGTAGCCCATGTCATTGTTATGCCATGTTATGTCCGGACAAATCCACCGCCAAGAGTCTCCAAGGTGCAGAAGCTGCAAGACCACACTGCAGGAGGAAGCGGGCCTCGACCAGCTACAGAGGTTTTCGATTCTCGAAGTAATGATAGCAGACAGCAGACAGCAATCATCAAGCGTCTCAGGGTGCACGGTTGTTAGGCCCGCCGCGGCGTTGAAGCTGCAATGAAGTTGCAAGTGTTTGAATGTTTTTGAAGTTCTGCTGACGGTGATGGCCTTGACGGCCCATGCCATGGCTTCTATGAAGTGAAAAAAGTCGCAACTTGGAGCCTGTTTTCTTCGGTGGGCCGCCGGCCGTACCAGCTACGACAGTAACCACCAGAGCCAGAAAAGAAGTCGGAAACCGACAAAAAGCACACAAGTCCTACTATAATGAGCACATTCACCACGTGATGGGAAAAGACAACGAGAGCGATGACTGTGGAATGTGGCTTGTGGTTGCACTAACTGAAAGTAATAAAATGATGAATGTTCTCATCCCTCATGATCGTCATCTCTCATGCATCCGCGGTGACTTCCTCCTGCCGCCTTCAAAACGACCAAAGCTTCGGCACACATACCCGAGCGGAATGGGGTTTCGTGGATTTTCTACCAGGGTTCGCGGATGATCGGGGGGTTCGAGTGCAGGATACGTAGGTCCTTACGCTTCAAGAGAAGCACCTACTAAGAAAGCAGCCAAAGTGCCGAGGGCATCCTCGTGTGGTAGATACCGCTCTGCGGAGGTGCCTGGGCGCTGGCATTTTGATTCGCTCATCACAAAATCGATGCATGGAATTCTTGCCCTCGTACACTGACTGCATGCCGAGACACAAGCCTGTGATAACATGGTCTCAATGCCTGATGCAGCAGGTGTTCAGGTCACGTTTCTAGCGCACCGACACTAAAGCTCGTTGTCCAGTGCAAAATTTAGGAGTTTCTGAAATTGGGGCTGCCTTATTTTGGGGTCCAACTTATAATAAGGATCCTACTATGTAGAGTACTATATGATATTGGGGTTCCCCTGTATTCTGGAACTCCCATTTACGTGTGCGATGCCTGTTCCAGAGATCTGGCCATCCTCTTGCTGGAGCATGGCGGCGATTAGCTCGGCCACGGCCACGCAGGCCGCAGTGGACCTGCTTACCCAAAGTAATTCCTTTTTGGGGACAGGGTGGGAGAGACAGAGAGAGGGGAAGTCGTCTCGATTCAACATGGAATCACTCCTAATCCCCGGAGCACTTCATGAACCCTTGCCATTTAACAGCTTCACAGCAAACGCCAAAGGCTGAAGCCTGCAGTTCTGATGACCCCAAACATTACAGTTTCAGTGTAACACCTAAACTCTTTACCCATAGGCTCCATAGTAGTTCCTTTTGGGGATTCCTTTTAGGATCCTAAGTATGAACCACAGAAAGGAACTACAATGGGGCCTATGCGTAAACACTAAGCTGAAGCTCCCGACCTGGGATCCGCATGCGTCACTTCTGCAAACGTCCGCGCGTCCTCGGCGGCGCATGCGCAGCCTTCAAGCTTCGGGGTCTAAGGGACTTGGGGCTGTTTGGGGTCAGGGCTTGGGGCTTGAGTTGTGGGAATTCAGAACTGGGAAACAGGCTTGGAGTCTTGAAGACGCCTCACGCTCCTCAACTCGAAAGTCTTAGGATTGTTGCTTGGGCGAAGGCTGGTTATCAGCTGAATCGAAAGCGACGACGACGAAGACGATGACAACGGCTGCTGCCGCGGCATCGGCTGCTACAACAGTGAGAATGACGCGCCACTGGCCCACATCCCGCGAAGGCCTGCAAGCAAACAAAACGCTGAGAGAAAGCCCTTGCCAACCGCAACCTTCAAGACTATTCCTCACTAGCTTTAAACTTTAAACCCATGCCCTCAATTTTCCCCGACCGTCAACCCTAAACCCTATGTAAACAGCCTTTTCACTTTACGGGCCTCGCAACCCGGTGGCTGCTGACCGCATCAGGGCACCATTCCTCGAAAAGCGAACATCGTTAATATAGGGGCCTCAATAAGTACCTATACTTTTTTTGCGGGTTCCTCATTATAATTATAGTACAATGGGCCGCAAAACCCTATTCTAATTATTAAGGCCCCTATGTCTTATGTTGCTTCAGTCAACTTCTGCTAGCAACGTCCATCATAGTTCCAGCGGAACTTTATCCCCAAGCCAGGAGACGAAGCCGACCACAGCTTGAGATGAAAAGCATGCAAGCCTGCTTCCTTCGTAGCCACAATCAACAAGCCCCGTCCGAACTCTGAAACCCCAAAGATGCAAAACGACCGGTTGTCCCTAACAACAAAACAACAAGAATAACAACAGCTGGCAGATGGGATGCTCATCCCCAACACGAACCCCACACACCAAGCCCCCACCCCCCCGGCCCAAAGCTGAGTGCTCTTTGCTCCAAGGCTCGGAGCCAAAGATCGACCCAGAAGGTCCCAAGCGCGCCTGAAACTGCTGTGTGTCAGCGAACAGCAACTATCCAATTCCACTCCCTACTACTCGTGCTAGTACCAGCACGAGTACTAGAACTATATAGTAATTACTATAGTACTATAGTTGCTAGTGCTAGTGCAAAAGTAGCAATACTAGTACAAGTAGCCGTAGCCCTGGCCCAGCCCGAGTAATATGGTCCCAGTGAAAGTCCTGGTCCACCGAGTCCAACGGGTTCTTAGACTTATTGATCGTCGATCTGAAAGTCTACTGACAGTCGGTTGCTTCAAGTCTTCGGTCGTGCTGAACATCTATTGCCAGTCATCTGCTTGAATTGAAAGCCTCAGGACCTGTAAGATCCAGATCGGATTTCTTGTCTCCGCACGATAGGTCACTGTATGCGAAACGAGAGTGGATCTAAAGACAGTCTCGAAGTCATGGCTGCAGAACTGCACCCGACTGTAGACTGCAAAACGACGACGACTACTACTCCCACTACTACCACTAGACCTCACAATTGCGACAACTACGACTGCTCCAATACAGTGGGTGCTGGCTCTATATTGCTTGTTGCGAAGCTCTTCAAACTAATTACATGCCACGCTCCTGATGGCACTTTCCACCAAAAAACAAGCGAATCTGGGGAGTTGTCGTTCAAAATCGGGCCGAGGCCACATAGCTCCACTACGCAACCCTAATGCCCGAAGCCCCATTCAAACACGAAACAACCCGAAAGCCCAGGATAGCCCTAAACCCGAATTCCTAAACCCTAAACCCGAAATATCAAAAATAATTCGCGAATTCCTAAACCCTAAACCCGAAATATCAAAATAATTTCACAAGAGCCCTACAGATCCTTGAGCTCCCAAAGACCCCCAAAAGCCCAGGGGCCGAGCTGCGTCTGCAGGTCGTGTCAGGAAGTTCTGCTCGTCGAGTACACGCGCCGTGCTCCTTCCGGGATCAGGTGATCCGCAAAAACTTAAGGTTGAATTTGTTGAGGGCCAGGGTTTAGGGTTCTGGGTTTAGGGTATCATAAGTTTCCATGCATCTGGTTGGATAATGTTCGATATTCAGGGTGCTCTGTGCTGTTTGGGCATGGTGGGGGTGTTGACCTACGACCATGCCCTGACAGCAATCACGGCGCCTCCCCATGCCGCAGCCGCCTGTGTCACCGAGCTCCTGGGCTCTGGATTTATTATAGAGTCTTAGGGTTTAGGGTCTTAGGGTATAGGGTCTTAAGGTATTTTATAGGGCATTGGGACATGATTAGGGTCTTAAGGTACGCTACCCAGTATTAGGGTATTCGACAGCATCAAAACTTCGGCTACAAACAAGCTTCTGACCGCAAGTCGTGATGCAGGAGCTTTCATAAAACGTGCGTTTAGATGCCGCCCCAGTCTTACATACGTACAGCTCCCATGGAGTACCATTCCTTGATGGAGCCTGCCCTTCAAGAACACATAAGAAAAAGAAGAAAAATGTGACATAATAAGAATAAGAAATAACAAGAACCATCCAGAGATACCCTTTCCAACCCTTTTCCCGAAGCCAAGGCGCAGGGAAGCCGACTCGGTGCCTCGGTCGAGGTTGGAGAACCCGGAGAGAGGTGGGAAATGGGTCGATGAAAGCCTGGCCTGTTGATAAAGGCTCTTCTTGATATGTGGCATGATAACTTTCAAGGGGCCTTTCAATGCTCGATGCCAGGAATGACCGCCAGCCAAGAAATGTGTACATACTCATCATCGTCATCGTCATCAGTACCGGGCCACCATCATCATCCGTAAGTCTCATCAATGATGCATTGCTACACTTGGGGGGTCGGGGGACTTAGTAAGTAGTTAGTAAGTAGACTTATAAGTACCCTGAAAGGGACCCTAATTGGGGTTATGGTACTTATAAGCCTCCAAAATAACCAGTTACTAAGTCTCCCGACCCTCCAAGCAGGCACTCTCATTACGCTTGGGCACCAGCTCAACAGCCGCTCTGCAAACTCCGTGGCTTCGGGTGATCGCAGCGACCCTCCCCCGACAGCTGGAAGTAGACACCTCCGAAGTTGGTATGGGGGCCCTTAATGACGAGAAAAGGGCTTTGGGGTATATTAAACTATAATTATAAGATACGGAACCACCAAAATAGTCGTTTAGGTAATTGTTAAGTCCCCCATATTAGGATTTAGGACAGGATCCAGATTGAAAGGGTGGGGCCTTCAGTTTACCATCTGGAGCTGTGTGTGATCAGGGCTGGAATTGGGCCCGTCGCTTCTTCGTATGGTGTTCTGCAACACGATCTCAACTCGACAGAGCGGCCTCAAAACCAGGACCAGCTGATCCGTGTCATCTGTCCAGTCCTGAGCGTGCAGTACTCGGGGGGAACAGATCGCAGGTGCAGTGGACCCCGACTAACGCCATCAGAGCTGATGCGTATCGCACACACAACGCCAAGATGTGGACAAACATCTGTCAAGAGTCGCCAGCCCGCCACTTGCTGCGATGGCCATCTTGAACAGCATCTCCGGGTCTCAGCCAGGGCTGCTGACCATTGGCCTGCAGTCACGCAGCTTCGTGCGTTTCCACGCAAGTGCAAAAGCCGAGGCAATCCCACCGCTAAGCCTCCTTTCTGCAGTGCTTGGAGAAAAGACGGATAAGATTTCCTACAGCAAAATCACGCGTGTATCGATGGGCATATAGAGATTTGGTCGTGTCGAAGCGGCTTTGGGGTCGAAGCCTAGGCTCTTCAAAAGAACCCAATGAGGTTTTCCCATCAAAGCGATACCCAAGATCAAAGACCTGGGAGTCCAAAGCCCCTTCATTAAGGACTATATGGACTATACTGTACCTTAAAATATAACAGTAATTAACCCGAATATGGTTTAAGGCAAATATTCCTTAAATAAGGGGTTATATGATCTAAGGCATATTTCTTAACATAAAGGGAAATTTGGAGTCTCTGGGGACTTCGGAGTCTCCAAGCAAGGGGCCTTCCGGTCCAGCAAGAGCGGCTCGTAGGCAGCTTTGGCTTCGGCTGCGGTCATGAACCTTCAAGACAGGCTCGGACCGGGGTGCACAGAGAATTTAAGGACAAAGCATATTGGGTGAAAAAATATTTTTCCCCAATTAATATGCTTAAAACTTAAGGGAGGCTTGGGAGAGGTGGCCTGACTACGCCAAGGATGCACCGAGATCCGCAGTCTGAGGTCCAGGCTCCGTGGCCAAGCCCACGGCATCGCCCAGAGCGCAGCCCAGCACCAGACCCTTTACACGATCCTCGCCACGCAATATGCAAGCTTGGGTCTGAGAGTCTTCGAGTCTTGGGGCCGCCTTGCAAGCAAGTTCGTGGCGTCCATGGATGTTTTGGGTTCCCAAGGATACAATAGCACAACTTCACAGATCGCAGGAGTCAACCTATCCTTCTGCTCCTGATAATGGCGACGTCGGCTACGTGCTGAATGCAAGTCGGACAGCAAACTCTCCAGCCTGACCTGCTCCACATGATGCCAGGACCGACACTCCTGCACCCTTCAATCAGTGATCAGCTCCCCATGTTCCACCCTTCTCCCGGACCGCCCATGGCCCAAATGACACGACCGAGACCCAAGAGATGCCAAGCCGCTGCTTTGTCCATGGAGCAGCGCGCATGCCATGGCGCGGTCAATGGAAGTTCCGCGAAGCCACTTCGAGGGCTGTGGCTCTTACTGTAACGGGTGCTTCCGGCTGGGGCCTTGGGCCTTCGAGTTTCCCATACGGCCTGCAGCTGCCTGAAGGCATTGAGAGTTTGGGATGTCAAGGCTCTCTCTACACTGAGGCTTGCTGACCAGTTTGCAGAAGTTGTCGAGGTTCAGGTACCGCCGTGAGAGTCTGACATAGCTTGGAGGGCCTAAAGTGCACGCCTCCTTTGATGAAAGCAGATAGACGGTCAAGGAGCGCTAGTATCTTAGCGCTCCCCACCCGAAATTAGACCTACTCGGCTTGAACAGAGCCACCACGCTAAACCCAGCAACCCAGTGATTATTATACTTCACAGCCCCAGAGCAACCGCAAGCCGACCAAATCGAGAAATCACAATAAGAATAATACAAATATCTTATTTTAGTATTGTTATTAATTTATTATTGTTATCATTTTTGTTATTGCTCTCCCGGCAGATTTTGAGGCCCAGGGTAGCCCTGATGCCGGAAAGCACTTCTCCTGAACCCCCAGAGAACCCAATAGCCCTTAATTAAGGAATATACCTTAAATAATAGGGGCCTTAATATTATGATTTAAAGTATATTCCTTAATTAAGGGGTATTGGGATCTCTGGGCCCCCCATCTATTCAGACCTACTAAGCCTCTACAGCCCGAAAATCCCCAAGAGCGGCTCTTAAGAGCTCTGTGGCGCCAGAAGCGACTGAGCACGGAGCCAAATTTTGCAGAGCATCGACGATGGACTGGCGGATCGGGAGCCTCGAACGCCACACTTCTGAAACACGGAAGCCCTGGGCTCCAGTGACCCAAAATAGAAGCTTGACTAACCATTTCTTTATATACCCCAGCAGCCTCTATATGTATATATATATATATATATATATATATATGCTCACCCCCCCCGTTGACAGACCATGCCCTTGTGATAGTGTACTCTCGTTCGGTGACTAGGCTGAGATATTGCATCTAAACACACCACACATGACGACAATCTGTAAAGCAAATCCTTTACAGCACATATACCAAGTATACTTTTAACATGCCATGTACTGAGGACGCATGGACCCGATGCGCGACACGTGAGTTATGAGTTTTGTGGTAGCATTGATATAGGATGAGTATGAGTATCAATATTGGTATTAGTATTAGTATCAGCAATAGTATTAGTGTTTACTGTAAGTATGTATATATATAATTATATATATATGTATATCGACAGTAGTAAGTATACATTAATGTTAGTGCTCATCTTCGTTTTAGTCTTAGTGTTAGTGCCAGTGTCAATGCCAGTAATAGTACCACTGCTAGTATTAGTATCAGTCTTCATGCTGGTTTTAATATCAGTTAATAATGGCAGAGGTGCTAGTATTGGTATCAAAATTAGAGTTAGTTTCGACATGTTACTATTCTGATAGTTTCGTATATCAGCAGGTTAGTATATCAACACATTGATGTGTTCGAGAGGCAACATATTTGTATACTTGCATATTCGTAGATTTAATACTTTAGTACAACTGATGCATGAGTAAACTAGTATATTGCTGTATTAATATATTAGTATATTAACATACCAGTATATTCGTACATTAGTGTATTAGTATACTAGTATATGTAATATACGTGTATTGTCTAAAGATTTATAAGTGTGTCAGTATGTTGTCATATTAGTACACTAACCTGCCACGTCGGTATACTTGCATATTACAGTAGTCGCATACTAGTATAGTAGCATACTAGTATAATAGCATACTGGTATAGTATATTCACACATTAACAAGTAGTGTATTGTTACATTGGTATATGGGTATATGCTTGTCCTAAAACATCAGTACATGAATGCATTGATACATATCGGAATTTTAAGTTAATGGTATGTTTTCTGGTGTGCATTAGCATATGCACGTGTCTTTTGTAATGGTATTAGTCTTCACATCAATATGAAAATTGACTATTGGTATTCGTAGGAGTATTAATGTTAATATTCGTATTAGGATTATCCATAGTCGCATTAGCCTTAGTATAAGTGTTAATAATGGTATTAATACTGGCATTATCATGAATATTCAGCAGGTTATCAATGTCAGTATTAGTATTGGTGACAGCATTACTGTTAACAGCATAAGAGTATACGCAGTAGTATCCGTAGGAGTATCAATACTTATGTAAATCTTGGTGTTGGTATAAACAGTGTGATTGGTATTAGTAATAGTGCTAGTGCGAGTGCTAATATTAAAATGAGGTTATGTATTCGCATGAACGTTTGTCTTATATTAGTATTACTCCTGATTACATGAAAATACTAACAGATAAATACATGCATGAGCTGATGTATTTGTACTTTAATATAGTGGTATGTATATTTATGTACATTGGTATATGCAGGTGTGTATTAGTATTGGAATTAAAATACACTACTACCAATATGGGCATAATTATTGATATGCGTAGGAGTATGAACGTCAGTATTAATCATTATTAGTACTTGATATTTGTATGGTGCCTATTCGTATTGGCTTAAAAAAGTGTAAATATTAGTGTTAATGCTGGTATTAGCTTGGGCAGTCAGCAAATGATCAATGTCAGAATGAGTATTGGTAATAGTATTCGTACGAGTACCAATTTAGAAAAATAGATAAACACTGACAATCGTCTAAACAGACCTTGTCTTTGCAAGTGAGTCGTAGTGCATGGTCTGTCATCCGATGGGTCACAATCAGCCCATTGAAAATCAATTCCAGAAGTTCCAAAATTTCCAAAATCTCTCCGAAATTTCCGAAATTTCCGAAATTTCCGAAATTTCCAAAATTTCCAAAATTTCCAAAATTTCAAAAATTTCCAAAACGGCCCGACCTAGCCGACAGGATTTTTCCAAAACATAAGGGCGGACTTTTTGGAAATTTTGGAAATTTTGGAAATTTTGGAAATTTTGGAAATTTTGGAAATTTTGGAAATTTTAGAAATTTTGGAAATTTTGGAAATTTTGGAAATCCGGAAAGTTAGGGGAGAGAATTTTGGAAATTTTGGAAATTTTGGAAATTTTGGAAATGCTGGAATCTGCTCTATATATGACTCAAGTAAGATTACTGTGTAGTGCTTACTATGTAGTGTGTCAGCACAACCCTCATCCATACACGTGTGCTCTGTAATTCTTTTCTTGGTAGGACACCCGCGCGCCTTATCGTGCTGCTTTCTGGTCTCAGTCTTTTGGTGGTTCCAGGGATACGTTCGGAGGGCTCAAACTCGATACTCCGGAAAAAGCACGAACACGCCGGTGGGAGCGATGTTTTAAAGGGGATGGTCTGTCATGGGGGGGGGGGGGGGGACCATATATATATATATATATATATATATATATATATATATGTACAGGTAACTGGAGCCCTAGGGACAGAGTCCCTAATCCTAGTCCCGAAACGCCCTAGACTCTGAATGTGATTGAACTGGGTCGGTGGGTTTCAAACCCCGGCTTGACAATGCAGTCTGCTACTGAAAGACAGTCAACGTTGGAGGCCTGCGAACTGAACTCTTCCCCAACACGGAGCTCTCAACCGACTAACGGAACCCGTAGCACTTCACAGACACGATGCATCTAGGTCGACCGCAATAAGACGGGGAGCCAGAAATGGTCCGCTGGCTCCGTACCCAGAAACTCCACGGCCTGTGCAGCCAACCTGGGCTTCTTGGCAGCAGGGGTCTCAAGATGCATGGCCAAAGGGTGTCAGTGCTCTTTTCTTCATCTCTCCGACGATTACAGTCACGACCACCATCAAGGTTTCGGGCTTTGTGGGGTCTAGACGGTTTACAAGAAAAGAGGAAGCACAAATCTTGGAGATTGGAGTTTGAGGGTCTTGGGGCTCGCGGCTTCAGGGTCTTTGAGGTTAGGGTGCAAAGGGTACAAACAACAAGGGTTTTATGATTTTGAACCGTTCCAACATTCAAAGTCCAAAGTTAAAAATGTCAGAAGCTTGAAAGATCCCGCATGGCTGTCCGGTCCGAGTGTCTCTGAGTTTGCCTGGCATGCTTTGATGAAGGCAGGCGCCACAGCATTGCGGCGGCGAAGGTTCTCCGGGGAGCGATGCCTGAGCTCACTGGGGCATAGTTTTGTTGACGAGTTTAGGGCGTAGGTTCATAGGCCTGTCCCGATGCAGGCTCCGGAGATTAATATTCGTGGCATGAGATGTCCGCGACATCACGGTCAAACAGGAGCTGTAGAAGCGAAGGCTCTCACGAAAGATGCGCCCGGAGAACTTTCGCATTGAAGTTCTGTGCCCCAAGCCGCCGAACCCTTCTGTTCGGTGGTCCTCAACTGGCCCGACGCTTTTTAGACAAGAGGCAAATCGGCTCTGCTTGCCGTCAGGTGAAACGGTGCCTGGATGGCAAAGCGAAAGCCCACCTCAGGTACACGATGTTACTACATTCACTGACATGCAAGATGCTGTTGTTATACTTCATTTGCTACTGCGTCGTCTTGTCTTCTACTATAGTATAGTAGGTTTAGGCATGTCTAGGCCCCTGAATAGGCGAAGCTGTGGAGGGCTGGGACAAAGATAAGCCAAGAAACTGATCGCACAGGAAGAAAAGCGAAGACACGTTGAGGGGGCGGCTCCTCCACTTTCGGAAGTGCCACCAGGACGTCTTCGTGGCTGCTGATCTGGAAACGTGTCGTAGTCTCTTCCAGCAGTACTGGGGGCTCGCTGCCCGTCTGCTGGAAGCGCTGGCGTGTGGTGGCAGCACGTGGGTCTTGTGAGCCCGCCACCATTATTCTGGCCCAGGCATCCGCGAACTGCTCGGACTCCTCCTCCGCCGCCCAGTCGCCCTTCAAACTGATCTCTGTGACGCGGCGCAAGAAGAGCAGCTGAGCCGAATCTGCCTGGATGGTCTGCATCTCTGTCCGAATGCTTGGCACGGACTTGCTGGGGTCGGACAAAGGCAGGTAGAAGACCTGAGATGCACGATGAAGACAGCCGAAAGGCCGCATGTGCAACAACCGGATACACGCCCCCGGGCTGAGGTCCTCGTTGCTCTATGGGAGTTTCCGAAAATAGGGGACGCTAATGTAGCACCCTAAATTTACAGGATCCTTACTAGAAGGACCCCAAAGTAAGGAACCCCCAATTTTCGGAAACTCCCCTATCCGTCATAACACGACACACTGGGTTTCGCATGCACGAGTACCACCAACATCCCTCCAGCGCCCGCTGTCACAGGATGTCTAGCCCTCTAGCCGTATAGAACACTTAACGGACTTCACAACAGGAAATCCTAAAGTCTTAAACGGAGCTGTAAACTCAACCACTCGAGCTGTTAAGGAGCTGTGTCTCCTCGGCCATGTGCTTCCCGCACTTCACTGGGCAGCTTGCTAACCTCGGAGTCCTCCATGGGTCGGCAGGATGTACGCGGAAACTTGCGGGAGTATTTGTATAGTTATGCTGGGTGTTGGATCTGTTGGGTTGCCTTGCACCTCAGAGAGGGGGAAAAAAGGATATGGTGACATGCCGAGCGCCGCTCTTAAGTTCGCGGAACTCAGAACTCAAACAAGTCCCCGGAATCGAAGTCTGCGTTTATGTTGTCCATGTGCATGTATATATATATATATACATATATATATATATATATATATATATGCACAGTTACACACACACACACACAGACGCACGCATATATACATGTTACTACATATGTACATTTTTTGCATATAGATTGCTATGTGCATGATTCACTTTGTGTAGACAGGTTCTAAACTGTTGTGTGTCTGAATCTCTGCCTCTTTCTTGTAGCCCGGTCATAGGCACACTGACTCGTTAGCCAGACGACCGTGCGCTCTTTGAATCTTTGTGTCTCTGCAGACAGCTTTTCTATAAGATAGAGACATTGGCGGATCGATGGGAAGTCAACTCGCAACTAGAAGGTGGAGAGAAAGATAGAAGGTTCTGGCATCCCTGGCTCCTCCAGCCACTGCGGCGTGAGCCTTGGCTTCGTACTCATGACTTTCGAAAAATGTTCTCCCCTTTGCCTGCAGTGATTGCATGGCGCCGCTTAGGGAGCTAAGAGATATGACTCATGTCACAAGAGTTTCTCTTGCTGCTCTTACGAACATCTACCGCCAGCGATATTACTCCTACTCTTTATGCGACTGCTACTCTTGTCTTCCTACTAAGTAGACTACTACAAGCTTCGGGTGTCCCAGACTCAACTTGCAAGCTGCTTTGATCCGATGCCTCAACATTAAGCTTGTTCACTTTTGGGCTGCAAGTTGCGCCTCCGTCGGTATCGTTGGGGCGATATTTTATTCCAAATCAGGAGTTAAGTCGTGTGTCCTGAACCCTTAGTCACCCATAGGCTCCATTGTTTGCGGGTCATATTTAGTATCCTATAAGGTAAATCCTAAAAAGGGACTACTATGGAGCATATGGGTAATCACCTGAATCTGTCTGGTGCTTAGAAGAGAATGGGGGAATGGGTTATGGGGAGTATTAATTATTGGGGATTATATAGGGACTACTGTAGGGATCCATTCCCCAATTCCCTACTAAGAACCAGGCAGGTAATCGATGCCGAAGGGCATGCCCAGTCCTGCAGAGGAGAACTTGAAGCGCCAGCCTTGCGAAAGCACCTGTGACTCTTCAAGGCTTAAGAGAAGGGTTTAGGGCTTAGGGTTGCCTAAAGAATTACCTGTAGGGTTCCTTTAAAGGGATCTACAAGGGTTACCATAGGGGATCTGTAAGGGTACTGTAATATAGGGACCTTAATAATTACCTACACGATTTGAGGGGTTCCTTATTTCAATCATGGTATAAACACAAAGGGGGGCGGTATCGATCGAGCAGAAGACTCTCAAGTACGGAGTAGGGAGAGTTGTAGATGGAGAAGTTGCAGAAGATCCCGGAGTTGATCATCCGACAGCGTCAAGCTCTAACCCGCATCTACAGGGTTTGCCATCACCAGTCAAGCTCGTGACTCGTGACACGTACTCCTCGCGACAAAACCCGCCGTTCGCCGCTAGCACAAGGAAAGCATGTCAGGACAACAGTGGCAGTGGTAGTTAGGGCCCCCAAAATGCACATAAGCAAAATCAAGGATAGGATATCCCATATAAATCCCGCTGTAATGAAGCCCAATTAGGTAAGAATATCCCTATAAAGCGGATATGCTTACATCCTTTTTGGGTCCCTAAGTAGTGGTAGGTCCAATAATCTGCCCTGGGTCGTAGAGCAGAAGAGTTTGGACACGGTAGCCTCCGCATGTGAAGCCCCGAACTGTGACTAGCGAGCTTTTGGGGTCGTTTCAAGACCTGTCATGAAGAAGACAAACCAGCAGATAAGAAGGTCTCCAGGAGCAGTTCGAACCCCACCAACTCGACATTGTAGGTCTGCGATAGAGAGTCCGCGCAAAGTCGTTGAAATCTTGAGGGTTTGCACTTGCTTCCGTTTTCGGGTGTAGTAAGAAGATATGAGAGTGTACAGGGAATGGTTCACGGATTAGGGCTCTTGCCACTTTCGAAACCGAGACACGTGCGGCTCGTCGGTGACGCGAAAAACAGACTTCCAGCCGACTCCCTTGTAGCCAGTAGTCGTCCCGGTCGCCTGCTGAGATGTGGAACCGAAGCTCAGAAGTCGGCGTTTGGCTTCGGAATTGAGGGTTGAAGGGCTGTGCGGCCTCCAACAGTGGCAACCGGTCAGAAACTCCAGGAAGAAGGGCTGAAGAGATCACGAGGCTTCAAAAATGTCAGGGAAGGCCTGCACAATTTGCCTAACAACATGCCAGGACTTAAGGTGTGTTGCTACGCATCGCGGTTTCTCTATGCCACCGCTGCATGATTTCCGTCAACTCAACAAACCCTGCAGACATGTTTACGGATCTTCTTCAGGAACAAATCAAGAGATGACAATATGTACGACCTTAGGAGCTCAGCTGTCTCGACAAACCGCCACCCGAGGTTCCGAAATGCTCGCGAACTTGTCCTATCGTTCTGCATCGCAAATCCTGCAGCACATTCTAGTTCTTGTGGCGCCTGGGACTTGGAAGACCGGGAAATATCGCAGAGTGCTCGCACATCTGCCTCCCGCTGCCGGTGGTGCCAGGAGCTCAAGGGAAGCAAATGTTCGATTCACGTGGGAGTCTCCGAAAAAGGGGGAGAACCAAATGTAGCACCCTGAATAGTAGGACCCTTTTTATGAGGACCCCAGAATACGGAAACTCCCATTTGTTGATGGAGGCCTTGGGATGGAAATTTTCGGCCCTTCGTCTGCAGGGGAGCGTTTGATAGTGCATCGGTGTTGCGCTAAGAGCTCGGAACTACCCTAAGGCCCCATAGTAGTTCCTTTTTGGGATTACCTTATAGGATTCGAAATATGAACCCCAAAAAGGAACTACTTTGGGGCCTTAGGGTAGTGTCAAAGAGTGTAGAATGGATCAGCTGCAATCCTTCTCATCCTTTCGTCGGAGTTGAAATCAGCTCGCTCTTTCCTTCATTGGTGCACCTAATCTAGTTCATGGTAGGGATCGTATTATTAAAAAACAAAAATACATATATATATATATATATATATTCATTCCTAATTGGGTTTAAGTACCCATATGCTACCTAACTATGACAAAGTAATGTACTGCTGCGCATTGAAGCATCGCAAATGCCGGCATACGCTCAACAAGCCGCTCCTCGGTCAGCCCTTTCTCGTTGTTCGCCTCACTGAACGATGCTTCGTACGCTCTCGCTCGGGCGCTGCTATCTGCACGCGACATTGGGAAGCGCTCAACAAGCTGAAGGCGCAATCCTTAAGTATCGTCTCACACAGCTTCAGCCGAGCAGCTGCAAAAAAATACGGCGGATGTCCCGACGCTTCCGCTGGCCTGCAGCACCGGTCAGTGAGCTAACAACCTTTCTAAGCTACATGACCTCCAGCTGTTCGCAGAACAGGGATCCAATGTGCTCGTGGCATTGCTCAGAAATACCGTCGTCTGCCGGCTCGTTCGGATGCATGGTTTTGACAACACTTTACTACCCGCTTGTCCTGCGCACGAAAATATCAAATTTAACGCAGGCTCTTAACGCTGGTCTCTGAAACCTCGATTCAGCTTTGATCATGAACATGTTCATGACCGATGCTCGGGCTGAAGACCCGTTGTTGTTGCTGTTGCTGTTGCTCTTGCTCTTGCTGTTCTTGTTGTTGTTGTTGTGCTTGTGGTGGTGGTTGTGGCGGCGGTGGTGCTGGTGGTGAAGCTGGAACACGATACAATACAATAGCACCTTATAAGCAACCGAGACCTGACCTTCGAGCAACATCTATCTTGCCAGTGTGCAGCGAAACCTGCAGAAACTGCGGCCCTTCAGCGCACCTGCCCCTAAGGACCAGATTGATCCGCGGCTGCACACACTCCCCGTAGCTGTTGTCGTCAGCCTCACCAAAGCAAGCATGGCTGATGGTCTGAAGGCTTCAACTTGATGAGCCCCGAGGCACATCCGCAAGTCCTAGTAACTTTCCGCATATCACGAGCTCAGTGCCAGACATTCTGGAGAAGCTCCTTTCATGGCACCCGATCTGAAAAGTGAGACAGCTGCATGTCAATTGGAATTCCCTGCTAGACTCAGATGCAGGAATGCTGAGTACACGCTCCAACAGCAGATCGCTCGATCTGCCCATCGTTTGCAGTGAGTCTTGACGTTGTACCGCGCAAGAATTACTACGCGGGCTCCTTGCTCCCACCATGTCTGGACACTTAGTAGTGCATGCCATTTCAAGATGTCTGGTCAGATTGGTCCTTCGCTCTTCCTGTTGAGCTTTCTAGACACTACGCTCCCACAGGCTACAAATCAACAGAAACATTAAATAGATCAACAACTACATATATCTATCTGTATGTATGTATGCAGGTATGTATGCAATTATGTATGTATGTGCATATGTATACATATATATATATATATATATATATATTTATATAAGTATATATATATATACATATGTATACATACGTGTGTAGCGCCTGTGTTCACCTGCATCCTGCTGTCCGCGCATGAAACCCGGTAGGCTTCTATCCTCGGTGCTGCCGACTAGTCTGGCGGCCCTGAACCATCGGCAGAGACATCGATTTCAACAAGCTCCCTCCAGAAACCACGGTCCTGTACAAAGTGCGCCTGCGATTCGTAGAGGTCTTTGGCCTGCAAGCCCGGTAGGCTCGTGACGCCAGCTCTACATTATCCACCGAAGCATTCAGGTCGTGACAGACTACAGTGGTGGGAAACCTTCGAGCAACGCCGCACGAGCCACGCATTCACCACTCGCACAAGTCGACGGTCGAAGCTGGCGATATCAAGATCTTCGTGCTGCCCATCCATTGTGTGCTGCTGCCTACCCAGATGCCCCATAGTAGTTCCTTTTTGTGGTTCATATTTAGACTCCTATAAGGTAATCCCCAAAAAGGAACTACTATGGGGCCTCTGCGTTTTCGAGAAGGCGAGGTCAGGATGAATATGTTGGAGTCTGGAGTATATTCTGGATGCATGCGCTGTTTGCACCCGAAATTGCGTCCTCCCTGAAGAGATGCTAAGAACAGCGGTGCGAAAGACTGCAAGTACGGCTCAGGGGTCCCCCTATGAAGCGACCTAGCCGGAATTGAATTCAAACCGAATTATTTCATTGAGAGGCGTGTATAAAAGTTAAACCCCATACCATGAACCTGAAGTCTCTGGGGTCCTGGCCAAACGATCCACTGCGGCTGTCAGTGAGCGGCGCATCTCGGCCACGCCGCGACGCAAGCCCTGGAGTTTCGAAGCTTCCAATTGATCTTAAGGGCTCCAGTGACCTAAATAGTGGGTTACTGTAGTTTATAATATATATATATATGGTTAGTAACCTACTCTAGGGTATGAAAAGGCAAGCAAAGGGTGCCAAGGGCCAAAGTAGCTTAACGTGGCAAGCATCGTGTCTCGGCCATTATTTAATTGATCCAGCGTTTTGGTGGCGCTCTGAACTGAAAGGCCTGGTTTTCGATACGTGCTGCGTCGTGGCCAACCCCTCGATCTTGAAGCGAGAGTTCAGGTAATGAAGCTTGCTCAAAGATCCCTCAACTTTGGCTTAGGGCATGGAAGCCATGATCTCAGCTCGATGTGCTTAACAGGTTTGTCGTTGAGTGTAGTGAAAGATGCTATAATATGGCATACTGTAGTATAGTGCAGTACAGTATATATATACGTACACAATATATATATATATATATATATTTATATGTATATATATATATATATATATGTGTATATATGTATATATATATATAGTATACTAAAGTATAGTACAATAATATGTTGCAATGCACTCCGAAACAACAAAATCGCACAACACCCTCAAACAAAGTCATGAACATTCCCAAGAACCTACCCAAACCCAAACCAGAATCCTCACTCCGAAATTAAATCTCCACAAGGACCTCCAAACTCACTTGGGGCTGCGCTGCTGGAAGCTCTTCCAGCTCCACACCGACTAGCCTGGCCTCGGAGATTTTCAGACTTCTTGGCGGAAGGTGGCCTTTAGAGCTTTGTGGTTCCAGGGCCTAGGGTTTGTTGTTCGCAGTGCTCTGGGGAATGTTGGGGCTTACGAGCTGGTTACGGCTAGGGCTTCAGTTTCGCTGGCATGTTGCAGTCAAGTGCTTGTGGCCACAACAGTAGTCATGCAGATAACAGCTTCATTCAAGATCGTAGGAAGGACCCGATCCGGCCCCATCAACTAAAATGGACGCTGGCCTATGTCGCGCATATTCCCCACTCCAGAGAATCTGTATGAGGATATTAGAACCATGGAGCGCTCGTTGCAACAAACAGCCGGATGTCGGGCTAATCATTTCGGGCATTCGGGCAATAGGGTTCATAAGGGGGCCCTATGAACCCCAAACCCTCTTAGCCAGAGCCTCAAAGGGGTCTATGATTCCTGGACCCAGGACCTGATCGTAGCTTAAATTTCTATTCCTGCTGAAATTAAGTACCCATAGAAAATGTGAAAATGTTACCAACTGTAACAAAGGCTTTTCTTTTCCTGTGATCTCATCGGAGTGTGGACCTCTACGTCTAAGGGCTCCATAACATTCTTAGTTTCGGAACCTCGCCCTTGCTGAACGTATCCGGAGCCGTTTTCCTCGGAGAACCTCCCACTATCAGGAAACACACGCTGCACCTGTGAGCCGCCTACTCTTGTGGGCCTCTATACTCTTTACGCTTCTCGGTCTTATGAGCACAAGGCAATTACCCCAACCCCCCCAAAGTAGGTAAAATAATGGCCCAATACCCATAAAAGGCTATTATTCTACATACTTTTGGGGTCCAGGTAACAAAATGCTGATTGGCAGGCCAGCGGCCTTGCGGATATCCCGCACAACTGCTTCCTCGAGAGAGGCGCCGTCGTCCGGGCCTCCTTCTGCGGCCTGTGATGGGTTTGCTGCTGCTGTCGGGCTGAAGGGTATAGGATATACTACAATCAAACTACACTAGTAAACTATCGTGTATATATATATATATATATAACAACTATAGTAGACTATAGTTCATTACATACAGTAGATTACTGTAAATACATAAATATAGAGTGATATACTATAGTAAAGACTTTAGGGTTTCTCAAGACCCGCGATCGCAGGGAGCATTTCAGGCCCTCCTGGGCCTGCATGCGTTGCGGATGCCGGGAGTTTCCGAAAATCGGGGCCCTCATAGAGCCGCCGAAATAGTACCCTAATATAGTACCCTAGTATAATACCCCATTATAGGGTCTAGTACCCTGAATATAGTAGGATCCTTATCTGTTATAGTACCCTCATATAGTACCCTAAACCCTCATCTAGTACCCTAAATAGATCTGGGAGGGCAACTCGGATGCAGCACGCAGCATGGAGCTAAGCGGGTTCATGTCGGACGGGTAAAGTTTTGTAGCAGTAGAAAGAAGCACGCAGTTGAAGAACAACAACTACGTACCACGACGGGACCACGACCATCACCTTTTCGCTTACCTGCCGAAGACGCACACTAGCGAAAGCAAACCAAGCCTCGAACTCAGTAAACTCCCTGCTGGCCCAGAAAGCAAACTCCCCACAAACGAAGGATCAGGATGCCCTGTCTTGCACAGGATCGCAGCCTCTGCCGCCAGGCGACGTGCATCGGGAGGCAGAGCAAGCTCACCTGAACCCGGCGCAGAAGAGGCCAACACCGAAGCCCAAGCAGTAAGCTTCGCCGAATTCGAAGACTGCAAACAGCCCTAGCAACAAAAGTTGCAGCATCCTGCTTGAGCCGATAGTCATGCCAACCATGGCTTGAGATGAAGACGGCACCTCTAACCGAAACCATCCAGCATGCTTGCCAAGTGCCGGGCCCTCCGCACTTTCCGTCGCTGCTTGCCTCCAAATGGGTAGTTGTCAAAATTAGGGTCCCTTTTTGGGTACCCTAAATATTGGGTGCCGTACTATAATAAGGACCCAAAAGGGACCCTATTTTTGACAACCACCCAGATGTGTTTATGGGGAAACTGCTGGCAAGGCGACTGTGCAGGGCAAAGTAAGCTATAAACACTGCCGAGCCACTTCTGTTCCACCTTGCTCGCGACCATTACCAGCTCATCCTCGCGATGGCAGGCGCAACTCTCGGTGACACAAGATGCGGAAAGATTAATGTAGGGGCCTTAGTAAAAGTATAGTATAAGGGGCCCCAAAACCCTATTCTTATTGTTAAGGCCCTATATTATGCAAGATGGCTATCAGAGTGTCATCGCCGAAAGTTCGCCAATGCTCTTCATCTGACATGCTGACACGGAATCTTGTCTGAGCTGTATCCCGGTGAATTTGAACGCTGTGGGCAGGCATGAGATTGAATCCGTATCATTACCGAGTCGACGGGTTTGAAATTGCCTTGAGAATTCCAAGCCCAAGACTGGGTTCTTGGTAAGTTACCATAATAGGCATAATAGCGATCCACAGTGAACAATACGGTTCCCTTTTTATGGTAGCTGAAAGCAAGTTCCCTTAAGAAGAGCCCCCAAGAGACCGCTGCAGCCGGGCACCTCTTTGTCGGCCAAAGTTCGCCGCAACTGCCGGTTTTCCTGCTCGAGAGCCGCCTGGCAACAAGCGTTCCGAAACTCTGGACCCCACGAGGGTGTAGGGTTTACCTTGAATAACCTACCTGTTTAGGGTTCCTTATTACGACTTCTTTATATAAGTCCTTAAAAATCTAGGTTCTCCGGGGTTAAGGCAAGGGTTTAGAGATTTCTATCGTCTATCTTCTATCATTCTTTCCCAAGTTGAGCATCGGCTGAGGGGTGTGGACCTCTCCAGCATGCAGTTGAAACATACATGGGCTCAAGTTCTCGGCAATCCTCATCCAGCCCGATGCCGAAATGAACACCCAGATGACATCATGTGTTGACGGGGCGAGTAATACCTCCCGATAACGGCCTGCATGGCTGCGGCCTCCTCACGCTGCTGCTGGGAGACCTGGCTGTTCCCGAACTCCGAATACTCATTTTTGAATAGGTGCGGCAAGCAGCGGGGCTTTCAGCTGCATCCAAGCTAATGGATGTTTGCGAGAACCTCCTGCGACTTATTCTCAGCATGGTCTGCGGTCCAGCTACACGGCTTTAAAGGCGACTTGCAGTAGCGTGTCAGTTCTTGTGTGCCGATGCCCGAAAACAAACACATCTCGGAGCGGTCAAGACGTGCCAGAAGCTTGTAAAGGCATGATACTTTGCGGTTGATGTAGACCTAACGATACATCCCGCAACCTGTGGAAGTTTCCTCGCTGACATAGTCACCAAACGCGTCTTCCGAAGCATCATTCCCAAACCCTAGGGCTCCATTTACCGAGTATATTATATGGCTAGTAACCTACTACTTACCTCACCGGAACCCTTGGGAAGCATCAAAAGGCAAACCCTCTGAGGTACCTAAACCCTAAACCCTCTGAGGTGCCCTTTCCAGGTGTGCCAGCCGCAGCCGCAGCTCCTGGCATGCAGGTCAAGGCGTGGGGCTTGCGGAGGAAGGGTCTCAGGAGCAGGCAATAACACCAATAATGAAAATAAAAACAAAACCTGGAATAATAACAAGCATACACTAAAATGCTGAAAATAGTAGTATTAGTATTAGTAGCTGTACAGTGATAAATACGAAAAATCAAATTATATTCAGTATCATTGTCGAGGTCAGTGGATGTGTTGTTGCGACCTGCCTCGTGCGTAGTTCTCAGGTTGTTGCCTTCCCGGGTATTGCCCGAACAGCCATTCCTTAATGCCACCACCACTACTTGTAGCAAGTACATCCACCACACAGCCATCGATGCGACCACCACCACCACCACCACCACCACCACCACAACCAACGCCGTAGGTTTTCAAACCCTGCGCCGCACACCCTTACCTTGTAACTTCCCCTTTTCCTACGCAACTAATATTGTCCCTTCAAGAGCCAGCCCCCCCACCCCTTCTCCAAAAAAAACACGTGCCTCTCACAGCTGGAGCAAAGCCCACCCCCTTCGGGGTTGGACTTAAATGATGTGGGAGCTTCTCAAGAAACGAAGCCCGTAACGTGGGTATTGGACGGCCCTGTGGTATGGGAATTTACCTTTTTATATGTATATATAACTATATATATATGTATATATAGAGAGGTTGCAAGGATTACATTGAGGAAAACACATGTCCTACGACCCTCTAAGTCCCAAACCCTGTGACGAAGCCTCCTTCATGAGAAAATTGCTGCTTTCATGTCAACGGCTTTCCAATTCTTGCAAACCTTATCACGTCTCTTGCGCGCCAAATACACAAACTCAAAAGTCAGCGTGCCTGCGTTGCGGCAGCTGCCCAAAATGGACGGTGTCACCCACCAAACTCATTCTACTGATCTGGAGGGCCACTTCCGGAAGATTGGGCGCTTGTGCGCCAGATAAACAAACTCAGAGCTCAGCGTGCCGGCGTTGCGGCAGCTGCACAAAATGGACCGTGTCCACAAAATCATCCGGAGGGCCACGTCCGGAAGCTTGCTCAATCTCCTGTGCAAGGTCCGTCGCGGCATTGGCATAGTGATGATGTCGCCGGAACCGGCGTCGCAATTGCCTTCTGAAACGCTCCTTGGCAGGCCTGTCGCGCTGACCGTAGGTCCTGTTGATCGTGCTGGTTGGGGCCGAAGTTGATGAGGTAGCCCATGTGCTTGAGGTCGCTGTGGCGGTGCTTAAAGTTGCGGTGGTTGTGGTTGTTGTGGTGGCTGTGGCTGTGGCAGTGGCGGTGGCGGTGGCTGTGGCTGTGGTTGTGGGTGTTGGTGTGGTCGTGGTTGTGGTTGTGGTTGTAGTTGCTGTGGTCGTTGTAGTTGTGGTTGTGGTTGCGGCTGTGCCTGCCGTGATGGTGAAACTTGGTGGGGCACCGGCGCATGCGGCGTTGTCTCTGACCCAATTGTTCGCAACATCTGCAATGGCTGTTTTGAGCTCGTCAGTTGTCCCAGTGACTAAAATTCCACCATACCACGCATTATCCTTAGGTCTGCACCTCACGAGCAACTTTGCTACAAGGAGAGCCTTGGCGACCTCACGAATTCGCTGAACCAGACTGCTCAATTTGGGCACCTTGGGGCCCTCTTTCTGGCTTGTTATTGGACCGGCCGATGGACCGATGGACCGACTGACTGACCGATTGGAGCTCGGCGGAGCTCAGGGCGGGGCACCGACTGACCGACTGACTGCCCGGCAGGCTCGCTGCTCGACTGACTGGGCGCTTGAAGCCATTTAATCGAAAGCCAACAAAAACAACTGGAAAAAACACAAAAACATCTCCAAAGAGAACCCCACCTTGCCTCCATTGGCAAGAGAGTCCAGGAGCCTTCATGGATGCTATCACAGCACCACATCACCACATCACTCCAAAATCAAACCAAGCATCAAACTCCGCATTGCTAGCGTCATCGGGACACCCTCTGCCACAGCCAGCTGCAATGGCGTTTGCAGACCCCGCAGTTAAGCCTGGTGGAAGGGCTGAGGTATCCGATGACGTGGCGTTATTATACCAAAAAGTGTCAACTGTCGTCAGAGCGCACAAGAATGTTGGAGAGTCCACGGTGCCATTGAAAACGATGACCTGATCTCCACTTTCAGACAAGAAGAAAGACCCCTCCTCCTCAGTCCAGTCACCGCCGACGCCTGTGTATGAAAGCACCGTGCCTGCAGGTACGGCACTGGAAGCTGTGTACCGCAGGACGCCTTCAAGGTTTCGGAAGGTCCCATCGTTGTACACCCCGTTGTCCGTAACGAAAAAACTGTCACCAGCAAGCAGGTCCTCGAAAAGCAGGATTTTGAAGCTGTCGGGGCTGTCTGCACACAGCTGAATCACGGCACAATCTCCCGCGACAAGCTCTGCCACAGCACCCTCCTGTAGGAATGGCAGGATGAAGGCGCCAATCCATACCCAGAAAAGTGCCATATTAAGGCGTCATTAACCAGGCGACTCTGTTCGGCATTCTAGTCCTCTCTGAGCCAGCCGCTGCAAGCACGACCGCAACGGCATCCACAACCAAACCACGAGGACGACTGCTGCTACTACTACGACTACGACGACTACTGCCAAGACGTCGACGACGACTACGACCGCCACTACCACTATGACCGTTACCATCACGATGGCGACAGCAACGACCATTGCAAGCACCACCATCTTCATCGTCGTCGTCACATGGATAACACATCTATGATCATCTATGTGTCTTGTTCTTTCTCACTCACGGTTGACAAGTGCCACCACTATTGCTGAGTCTACACATAGTCCAAATGCCGCGCTGGCGACATACCCGGGATGGTAAACTCATCGGCTCGAAGGTGACGAAGATTCATCTTGCTGCTTGCTGCGGGCTGTGCGCATGTGACCCAAACACTAATGACGACGATGATGGTGGCAGCAATGAATATCATGATGACGATGGTGATGATGATGCGACCGGCTATCAGGAGTACGATGATAATGATGACGGTGAAGATCACGTATATGCACACATCGCAACTCAGGAATCATGGCAGCAAGATCATCGGTGATGGTGGCTTTTGTGGGCTAGTGGCTGGATAAGCTCTTGCTGTTGTGAAAACGATTGCCAGTTATATATATATATATATATATATATATATATAGCTGCTTTGACGACCCGCAGTTATTAGTGTGATCGCTAGCGAGAATGCTTTGAACTTGGCATTGCATACGTTTTTCTTGCGGCTCTGCCCTGCCTGGGGCTCCACGTCTTCCATCTCCTCCTCCGTTTTTATGGCTAGGCTCTCCAGGACGGAGATGCGCTGCAGGCCCTTGAACAGCGGGTTGTTCATGAAGGCTTCTGACATGATGGGTTCTGGTGGAGTGGACCAAGAGTGAAAGTGTCAGCTTGCTGGTCTAGAACGACAGATGATGCTCGGTCTGGCAGGCGAGGGTCTGTGTAAGGTTTTGGATTCAGGCACTCCGCAGCTAAATTCCACAAACGAAGTTGTTTGGAGTCTGCACGGTGAGGTGTGGCTGGGGTTTGGTTCAGTGTCACTGTGCGGCACCCCGCACATCTCAAGCTGACTCTGCATTCACCTTAACTTCAGGCCATACAGCTCCACCCAAAGCTCCAAGTGCCGGTTCTGAACACACAAGGTCCATGTAGCCAGAAATCTCGCGCATGTTGCATCACCGAAACAGACTTGAGCCTGTCGCAGCCGTGCAGCCGCAAAGCCTTCCCGCTCTTCTGCCTCCCACCAGCAAGCAGTGACAGCTATTGAAAACTTCGAAAACCCTCTTGAAAGCAAAGTCGGGTACGAATTTGGATAGATGATTTACGAATTGTGAGTGGCATTAGTGCGAACATGTGTTGATTCTCTGCTAGCCTGACTTAGTCTTAGCCGGATTTTTGCTAGATCAGTACCACTAACCTGCAAGTGCGATAACCTATAGATGGTTGAGTGGCTCGGTGATGTCGTAGGTACAGGAGCCGCAGTTTTCGAATTTAGGCCTCTACCAAGCAGCTGTACCAGGAGAGCCGCACTCCTCATCCCAAGTCCCAAACCGTAAAGCCTAAAGACCACTTAATTATCATGAACCTTATAAGCCTAAACCCTAAACCCTGACCATTATTTCTCAGAAAAAACAACCCTGAACCTTATCTCTCAAATTCTAAAGCCCCTGAAGACTCCAAAGGCTAATCATACCCCAGAGCTACGGAGGCTCGGCCTGCCAGGCTGCACATGATATGGGAGCTTCCGAAAATCGGGGACCCTAATATAGTACCCTAAAATAGTAGGCTTCGTATCAAAACGACCCCGAAGTAAGGTACCCCTAACTTTCGGAAACTCCCATATCGTATGTAGACTCCACAAGGTGGCTGACAAGGATCCAGCCGCTCCTGCTGCGTGAAGTCATCCAGGGTCTCATCCATCTGTTCAGGCACCAGGAGCAAAGCCGCGCGCCCGCCCCCAGCGCCTAAGTGTATGATTGCCAACCAGCTATAGGGTTGCGGAGAGTGTAGCTACAAAGGATGGACATGTACAGGATTTCCCTGACCGCTGCCCCCAAACAGATGTGTCACCTTCAACGCAAGGGTGCTCGGCTTGTGTCCCAGGGGGCGTTGCGATAAGAGAGGCTGAAGCGGCTAGTGTTGACTTATGTACTCGTGTCGCAGTGTACATGTCACTTCTGGCTAAACCCATGGGGCTGAAGAAAAGAACATAAACCTTCTAGCAAATGTCCACATGCTGTTCTGCTTGCTGAGACCACAGCTAGCAAGAGATCGCCATGCTCGGGCAGCCTTCCAGTATCACAGAAGGCAACAGTCGGTGAAATGTGAACCCTTGTGGTTTACAGGGACTTCCCAGTCCGATATAAGGGGTTGTGCCGCAGCAACGGTCACACCAAACGTAACGAACTAGCGAAAGCAATACAATGTGTTGGCTACTCAGAACTCCAGATAGTTGCAAAACCGCTCAGCATACATACTTGCAGCAGTAATAACCTAAAGGGTCTCCGTGAAGCAAGAGCCACAGCAATCCTGATGGCACCCCTTCAAAATTGGCGATGTGCACACATGAGTTTTTACACACACACACAAAACATCATCACAGTCATACAATGTACTTTGTACCTGTGTCATACCTTCACACATGTACTTATACTTGTTTTTGTACGTATGTATTTACTGGCATATGCACATTTACGTAATGATATACATACACAAGCATACATGTATACGTACTTACGTACTTACATACCTACAGCTACCTGGTTACCTAGCGACCAACCTACATACATATGTACATGCATGGGCACATAAAGACATACGTACGCGCATACCAAGATGCATCCATGTGTGCATACGTACATGCATGCAGACATACATCATACATACATACATACATACATACATACATACATACATACATACATACATGCATGCATGCATGCATACATACATACATACACACACGTATGCAGACACAGACATGCATACATACATACATACATAAATACAGACATACATACCTAGCTACATGCGTACCTACATACCTACATATATACATACATACATACATACATAAATACCTACATACATACCTACCTACCTACATACATACATACATAATACATGCGCGCACACACACACACACACAAGACCACCTAATATGATACTTGCATGCATGCATCTGCTCATCCACCGATCAACGCATCCACCCATTCCTAACCACGCATCCACCCATTCCTACCTATACATGACATACTTTCGTACAGCAAGTCAAGTGAATATACAAAGAATTACGTCATATTACGTCTATATGATGTGCTAGCGATACCCAAAGCCAGTGGCCACGAGGCCTCCAAACGTTGGAAGACCCTTGATTCGGGTTTGGGGGTCTATGGTTCTGAGTGTTCATGGATCAAGCCCTCTAGATCCTGACCCCTGCACTCCGAACTTTGGACGACAGGTCGAAGGTCACCAGAGGTCCAGACGGGCCTGCCTCTGTCGATTGATGCAGGAGTCGGCTGGTCTGCTGTGGCAGTGCAGCAGCACAGGTCAAGGCCTTGGGCCGGTTCTACAGGTTTCAAGGATGGTTTCGGGTTGAGAGCAGTTGTTTTATTACTGTTACTGTTATTGCTTTCATTATTGGAAGCAGGGATTGGGGAAAGGGATAGGCTTCGGCTTTCATCGTAGAAGATTTGGTGGGGACAGTGCACATAGAGATATCAACGTACAAGTATCTATCAATTTGGGCATGTCGGCATGTAGGCTACATCTGTCAAGTCTGGCATGTTCTGTATCACATGTATGGCTCAGTTCGTCTTGACCGATTTTGGTGCAGTAATGACTGTGCTTTCACTCTTCGTGCTCGACCATCGACGAATGCAAGCCCAGCTCAAACATGAAAGACATGGAGTAAACAAGGCAATGTGCGCCTACATACCCACGCTAAACAAGCCGGCAAACACACCCTGACACCGCGACTGACAGCTGATTGAAACTGTTTGCATGCTGTTTACATGCATGTGCATGGCAAGAAGACGAGGCTTACTCAAGCTCAGTTGAGTCTCGTCAGGCGGTGCCTCAGAACCTCGATGACCCTGCAGTCCCTGCTGACTTCAACCCGGACCGAAGCAGCATCTTGCAGATAAGGTGCGGCATCTGCAAGGGCGGGCAATAGCCTGAGAAAGCTGAAGCCAAAGGCTTCTGTCATGACTTACAGCTGCTGAGTTGGAGATCGTCTCTCCAGCTCCAGCTTGTAGAAGACATCTTGAGTTGGAGGACAAGCCTTCCGAAAGGCAGCTGCCAGAGCTTAAGGTGTACCCTTCAGACTGCCATCGTTGAACTTATATGGTGGCAGACGGGGGTCTGGCTGACGGAAGCAGCACAAGAGTCCATGTAACAGTTGTCCACACGCTCATTGTACCTTCTCGAACACACTTTGAAAGTCTGGCAAAGCCAATCCGTACCAACCCAGCGTAGGTGGTCGCTGCATCCACTACTTGCTCCCTCGACACAAACTCTGCGAAGTTTCGGCTTATGACAAACTACTGTTGTTGTACTGTTCTTGTCGTTGTGGTTGTGCCGTGATATTGGTGGTGCGGTTGGCTGCTGCCGCTGCTGTTATCGCCGTGTTGCCGCTGTTGTTGCTACAGTATGTTGTGATCCTCTTCCTCGAACTTATTTTCAGCAGACCGTATATTGCTGTTGCTTTGTTTGTTGCTTCTCACGTGGACTCGCTTGAAGGTTGCTGCTGCTATTGATGTCGTTGTGGTGGTGGGCGGCTGTGGTCAGCGTGGCTGTGACAGCATGAGCAATACCTCTGATATGGTCTTCAGCCTTGCGCGATGTATGCATTCATGTAACTGTCGCAGTAGCTGTAGCAGAGCAGGAGTAGGAGCAGCAGCAGGAGTAGTCGTAGTAGTAGCAGTAGCAGCAGGAGGGGTAGCTTTTTTGTGTATTGAGCCAAGAGGCCGACTTGCGTCAGGAGCCTGACCCGCTTTTGATGCTTCCTCGCGGACATGCGAACCCTGGGTCTTGAACCTCCAATTCCCGTCAGCCCGAAATCCGACCCGAAACCCGGCGAAGTGCATGTGATTCCCGGCACCCCACGGCACTCTTCGAGGTGCAAGACCTTATTGATCTCTGTCTTGACTCCACGAGGGGGGTTGGGCCACAAACGCTTCTGCGAAAGGGTTCAGGGGGCTCCCCCGCTCAGGGAGAGAGAAGGTGCGTTGAGGGGCGACACGAAGGGTCGAAGGGCTTTGCTCGAGACGTTATTTCTTTCGAGGAGGCAGCAACCAAAGCAAACACACGTCTCGGCTTTCGCGTGGTAAGAAGCGATGAAATTAAGACTGAATTCGTTTCCGTGTGGCGAAACTGCGAAAAGACCAAGTTGCGACAAAGAGCGAAAAGCGGCACGCTTTCGCTTTCACTTTCGGGGTGCAAAAAGCAGGGTTCAACGCAAAGACAATCCAACTGAAGCCGCTCTAGGTTCCAAAAACCGAAGCCGCGAAAAGAAGCAGAACGATTTTCAAAAAGGATAAGCCAGCCGGATAAGCCGTGCGTCTTTGCTTGGGGGAGAGGACATGAAAAGAGTAAACTCCCACACAGAGGACGGGAAGCCGCACACATGCGCTTTCGGTGGGAGAATTCGCTGTGGGGGTGGCAATAAGCTCCGACTTCCGAAAAGGGGAAGCTGTACGTCGTCTCTTTGGAGGGGGACCACGCACAAGTTATAGGTTCTTCTGCAAAGGACAAAATGTCGCATTCGTTCGCTCACGGTGGATCCAGACTGGAGAAACCAAATCGGAACGTCTTCGCTTTCGGGGTGTAAACACATTCCGACGAACGAGAAATTCCAACGAACGAAAAAGAGAGGCCATACGCCCTCGCTTTCGGAAGGGTGACAAAGCCACGACAAGAAGATGGAAACGTCTTCGGTCCCTAATCGCGCCTTTACAGCCCCCTTTTGAGCTCCCTCTTGTGCAGTTCCCACCCTTCCAAGCCCTTCTTGAAAACCGCGCCTTCAAACTCCCCTTGAAGGCCTAATCCAGAAACCGAAGCAGTAGTTACTTCGCAAACGCAATCCTAAGGATGAAATGAAATGGCTGCACCGCCCCGAGGCGGAAGAATGTGAGGCTCCCATGAAATCCAGACTGAAGACTCGGAGTGCGACGCTAGCTTAGCAGACCTCCCTCTCAAGAATCATGTAGCCCCGAGCCAGAGGAAGCCCGATGCGTGCAGTGCAGGAGGGACCCTTAATAAGGACCCCTGGGTATATACCCTTAATATAGCTATTATATACCCATTATATAGCCCATCATAGGGTAGGGGTCCCCATTAAGGGTCCCTCCTGTTTTCCCCTTTGAGACTTGTTTCCCGGGAGTCCTTCGTCCAATTCCCCGGCGCAAAGGCTCTTGCACTGCTGCCAGTGGAGCCTCCATGCTGGAGATCAAGCTCCTTCAGGACCGCTCTCGACAAATATCATCCTTAAAGGCTTCGCCGAAGCAATATTATCAAGTTTATGTGCCGAATTCTTCGGACACCTTGCCTTCAAGCACATACGCCCACGGGCCGAGGAGGTAGAAACTGTGCGCCAGTTTTGTTCTTTATTACCGCTGCATCCCAAGCTTCAACAACTCCATGATCGATTGTGTTAGCCAGCTACGGTATGTCTTGAGCTAAAGGTGAGGCGGTTTCTGGGATCGCGGCCTCATCGCAAGACTACATCAGCCGGATGAGGGCCGAAGTGACAATAAGAAAGTTGTTGGGAGGATGTTCAGCTTTAAGTGGTTGCTTCACACCTTAGTCTGAAGTGAAGTGCTTCCATATCGAAAACTACTGAGCCCAGGCATGAGAGCGCAGGTTGCAATCACGATACATTCCAAAGCAACAGAATGCAATGCACAAACAACGGCATCACT